TTGCAGAATGGGATTATTAAGGGCAATGGGTTGAAATAAAGCCCAGGATCCACAGAATGGATCTAAAGACAACAGTAAATCAAGAAGGGGTAAACAATGACAATAATCACACTACGAGAAACCAAAACAATGTGATGTAAAGGATATCTGTGCACTTGTGGATGACATGAAAGTATATTGCATACACAGTGCAGCTAGAGCGAGGGGCCTCAGTGGTAATTGTGTTAATTATGCTTGTATTATCTTGGTGTATTTAACTGAACTGTGTATCATTTCTATGAATATGGTAAATGCCAAATTAAAACTGATAACTCTAAATAGCTTTATTGTTTTCAATGCTATTGCCTACAATATTCTTATTCACCATTATTATCTATAATGTGCAGAAAAGAATCACCCGTTTTGATTCACTCTCAGAATTTTGATAAATTTATCCTGTTTTCTTCCTCTTCTCTGTATCATTTAACATCGAATTTTAATTTGAAACTTATTCAGAACCAAGTTTTTTAAAAAAAAAGAAAGCTTTGTTTTAAAAAAAGCAAATACTGTTCAATATTTTCACAATGAACACCTTAGTGCCTTTGGAACCAAGTGCTTTTAACTAACCAAGAAGAGGGCTTTAATTCAGGGTTGCAATTGACAACTCCCTCGGGGAAAATAGCTAATGATTTTTGGTGAACAGGCAATTACAACTCTTTCATTCAAACACAGCACCTTTTTCTTGTTAAGAGCTTCATGAATTAAAATTAATACTTTAAAATAGTACTGCTGGGTCAGATGCTCTCCCTTTTGATTTCTGAGTTGAAAGTAGTGCTTTTTGGTTGGGGATTTCAAAATATTTCCTGGAAAAAAATGTAACTTGGAGACTGTTCATTTTTTATAAAATTCTATTTGCACTGTATTTTCCCCCAAGTGTGCTATACCAGTTCACCTGCTTTCCTTTTCTTTTCAGTAACATTTTTTTCAGCAGTTAGTCACATCGGCAATCCTAGCCAATAAGGGATTATGTGATGAATGGGCTAAGATATGATGCTTATGCAATCAAGTGCTAACATCATTAATGGCAGCTGCATCAGGGTCATCACTCTGAATTTGCACAGGCCAGTATTCCCCCTTTTCTTTCATGTAATCACAAAAAAAAGCTATGGGACTGTAGGTTTGTGATAATACTGATAATATTTGTTAGATAAGTCCACACTTTTGGCTCAAGACTGCATAGCACCTTCTGATATGAGGAAGAAGGGAAGTAGGGGTAATTAGGTAGTCTTCAAATTTATTTACAAAATAGTTAGGCTTTCATTTTCCCACTTTTGGTGCATTAAAATTAGATATGTTGCCAATAATAGCTTCTGATTTTATGAATAAGCAGAAAAACCCACCACTGTGTCTAGTTTTAGCCAAGGCCCAAAGTGGATGGACTGAAAATAGAACCTAGATCCTTGAAATCAGTAACAAAGCAGGCTTGAATGTCTCCCTTCTTAGTGCCCCCATATCTACATCTGCTCTTTTGCTTGCTATTGTGAGCTATGTGCTAGTCTTTGCTATTTTATGGCAGCAGGCATGCTTTTTTATTGTACATTGGCTGACACACACAATGTACTTCCATAAAGCAAATATGATGCAAGGATAGTAATAAATATATTTGAAAAGTTGGCAGGGATGGTCACAAAAAAATTGGGACATTCATTTATACATGACATTGAAAAATGATGCAAAATTATAAAGGAAAATACCAATCAAGAGAGCAAACCTATGGCTTGTAGACAGCCTCTGAAAAACCACAGGACTGTTTGGAATCCACCCTCCAACCTTGGAAGAGGGAATTGGAGAACCAGCCAACCTCCTCTCTCACCCCATCACAGCTGGTGCAAAAAGAACTGCATCAGCAGGCCTCTGCGATAGGAAACCTGGCCTTAGAAAAGGGGGATTTTGGTGAGTGGGGTGGAGAGGAAACTGTAGAGACCAGGATACAAGCTACCCTGAGCCTCTGCCAGCCTCTCTCCCTTGTACTCAGAAATGCTTCTACTAGATGAGCAAAAAAGCCCACCTCACCACTCATGCCGTCCTGCACAGGATGATTGTAAGCCTCCAAGTTTGCAAACTTACGATCAGTGAAGGCTTAATAAATAAGACTGTGTTCTAAAGTTAATGTCCCCAAAGCAACAAAATAGGTAAAGAATACAGACTGTAGGAATACACTGTAACACCCATGATTCTAAGTTCTTATTATGGTAAGAAACAGAAGTATAGACATCAGTGAAATGCATTTTTAAAAGAGAACCTAAGAAATATCAGTTACAGATTCAAATATAATTTTTAGAAGAAAAAGATAAGTTAGTGTTAAGTTCTCTAACACCTCAGAGATTTACAAGTTAATGTTTAGGACTGTTTAATAAGTACAGCTAATTTTAAAATATGAAGAAAACTGTCTTCACACCAATACCTCTGGAGTTTGACATAAGGATTTTTTCACAAGTACACAGAGAATGAAACAAAAAAAGATCCAACTAAATATTCAGCCCAAGAAACTTCTTAAAGTTGCCGTTTCAACTGCCAAATAGAAAGCAAGGCAAAAAACACTGAGACCTGGAATGGCACATCTGAGCAAAGGTGCATTTTACATGACAAGGAGTTGTGTCACATTTCTTGCACTTTGTTCCAGTACATACAAAACACAAATCCCTACCTGATTAGCATTAAACAGATCACAGGTCAGAGATGCAACCTGCAGTGGAAGCAAAGGAACAGATTCCTCAATTTCATCAGCCATTATGGAATTAATGCCTTGAAAGAAGTTTGAACCAAACGTTGTGCTACTGGTTTGTGGCAAAAAAAATGAGCTGTATATCTTTAAGGTGGATGAGTAACACTGAAGATAAACAGCAGCCTTGACAACTATCAAAAAAATAGTTAATATAAAACCCAAAGCAACCGTCTTCAAGGTGTGCAACAGGGAAATGGGAACTTGCTCAGCTGCCTTTCCACCCAAGGAAATGCTGGAGGCAGCACAATTAAAAGAGGCACCATGGCTTGTACAGGACTTTGAACATTCTGCCATATTATGGACTGGAGTACTTCCACTGATCCTTCAATACCCTTTGATTTACTAAAGAGTCTGCGTAACATCTACATCACCAAGGAGCCAGTATCACTAATCAAACTGCCCCTTTAGGAACTGAACCTCTGTGTAGATTTTTAGGAAGGGGTGCTGCACTGGAATGGTGCACACCAAAACATTTGCCACATGAAATTTAAACTTGCTGCCATGCAGCATGCTATATGTAGAAGATTATGGTGGGGGACCTTTGTTGCTGCATACAGTAGCCCTCATTTAACTGTGAAGCTGAGAACACTTGAAACAATCCAAGCTATGCTGCTTACATTAAACTTTAATATTTAAAGGTTTTACTATATTTTACAATCTAAAAAATTTGTAAGAACATTTTTAGGAACCAAAACAGGAATTTGGTGCACTAATATTAAGAAAACTTTGGATTCAGACTTCATAAATGCCTGACTGGCACTATCCTCTTAAAGATGTTCAAGGTAGTAAAATAACATATTGAAAAACAATTAGCTCAAGTGAAATGACAAGCACTTGCTGCCAGGAAATTAGAAGGCAATACAATTTCTAAGCGGGAGCTAACCCTGTAGTCTGATCTTTCACACATCTGTCAAGTGTCATCAAATGGATTTGCCATACAGACTGGGAATCACACCTATGCATTTGTTTAATCAAAAGCACAAATATTTCAACTTAAGTATGTAGCAAAGATGCTATTTAAAACCTTGGCCTTTTCCATATTATCAACAATACTGTCTCAATGATAACGTATATTGTTTCAATGTTTCCTCATTATTTAACAAATGACATCTTACTGAAAAGACCCATTTAGCTTGGGTATGGCACAGCACTATCAAGTATTACTGACAAAATAAAAAGAGAGCTCACCCTGCCCTGCATAACGAATCACAGTATTAGGGGTAAATCCAAGAAGCAAACTAATGATGACATATCAGATTTAGCATGAAAATTTCTTTAGTAATCAGCTCATGGAAGCAAGGTCCTATGTTCGATGAAAATGTGAGATTAGGAGCTACACCTAAAAAGCTGGCAATGAGTGTTAAGTTTTCACACACTAACCAGATAATCATGTTTAGTCCTGCTGCTGCTAAGATTGCAGGAATAATCTCACTATCTTTTAGAATGAATAGAGGGGCCAACAACTTTGCTTGCTCTTTTTCTGCCAACAACTTTGTTTTGCCAAACCTTTTTGGCAATTTTTTTTTTGCCAAAGTTGGCAGACCAGTTGATAGACACTTCCTTGACCAACAAAGATCACTGTGGAACGTGAAAACTGCACACCACTTGTTATACTGAAGTTATCCTGATTTCCACATAAATCCTGCCAGTTAAGTTTGATCATTATGGGTCTACCTACAACCATCCCTGAAACATTTTGTGAAATTTAGAAGCAAAGCAACTTTGCAGTGATTTCCACCCTAGACCTGATTAAAAAGCTTAGCCTGTAAATTTCACTGAAGCTGCATAAGCTAAATGACCAGAGAAAATATTATGTGTGTTAAGATACAATGTTCTTCCTTGGTTTCCTTGATAACCATGGATGACTGATATGGACCCAGGGGATCTACAACTCACTAAACGTACTAGCTATTACAAATTAAATAGGAAGAAATAGTCCTCTTGATAATGAGCTCTCTTAGGCCTTTTTTAGGTACTTCTATTTGAATAAAAATGAAAATGTTGAGTCTAGAGCAGTGATTCCCAACCTTTTCTATGCACTTTTCTATGTCCTGCACTCTTAGAAAATGTTTATGTCTGCACCTCCTACAAATGTAGTATCACATTTGATCATAAAGAAATCAAATTTCTAATTTTTGAACCATAAATTGAATCACATACAGTATTGTGGGTGAACAAATTGAACTAAAAACAAACAAACAAACACATGTTTAACTCAGTGCCTAAAATTCACATATAAATTGAGCAAGTAGAAAAACTGTAAACAGTAAAATCAATTGATCAATAAAATTCAGGGGGAAAATGTCACGATTTGCAAATTGCAACACAGCCTTCCTCTTTGTCACACCCCTTGACATGCCATCTCATTCCCCCTGGGGATGCAGGCACCCCAGGTTAGGAACCTCTGGTCTAGGGTGTCTAGACAGTGTACATTCTCCCTATTCTGCAGCCTAGAGTAGTCTTTGTAGTACTCTGAACAATACAGTGTCTTCAAAAATATGATAGATCACATGATTTTTCTTAGTTTTGTCATATACTATGAAGGGTAGGACTGAATCAAATAGCCCACGGAGACAGGGAACCAAAGGGAAGTATAATAGATATGTGATTTCATGGCCAACGCATCATTAGAGGAATCCCTACTACTTTTCATCAATCTTGAATCTGACCATGCAATACAAGAGTCAGTGCTGACACAAGAACCAAATGGGAGAGTGAATGTATATTAAAAGGTAAACGCTTGTAAACTTTTAGTATTAGGTTTAATCTTTCACATTTTAATACAGTTTACAATGCCTGGAGGTGTGATGCACAAGGAATAATCAGATACCTCTTCCTCACAAGACTCCCCTTCAATTTCAATTGCCAGCAGATTTTCAGGAATGACATCCAACATACTAGAGGGGCTGTATTTGGAACTGAAAGCCAAGGAAGTTCTTGTTAAGAGTGAGGGAGTATGTGCCTGTTTTTGTCTGTATGCCTAAGGGGTGCCAAAGTCTGTGCATACAAAGGTTTCTCTGGATCTCAGCCAACATTTCCCAAGCTATTCTCCCCATGAACGTAATTATACAGCTTTCCAGTACATTTTGGAAGAAGCCAAATACAAAATTATTATTTTGCCTGAATATCAGAGCTAGCCAATTTTGAGTCTAGATTCTGGCATGGCCATTTATCAAGACAGTAAAAATCAGAGTTGTGGATACAGAGGATACTGCATGTGCTAAACTACATGGAGATGCTGCGAAACAGTTTGCAGTGCCAATTTGTTAAAAGTTCACATCTGCTTGGTTATCAACAATATCCTGAAATCAAGTTGAATATGGAAGTAAAACCTCTCAAGTTTAGAAAGCAAGAAAAAATGCTGAATATTGCAGTATTCAGAAAATCAGCAATATACAATCTGGTAATTAAACACATCAAACTTAAATAGAATTACTATTGTCTTTCTAAAGTCCCATAATATCATCTGAAAGAGAAAAGGAAAACATAGTACAGGAGAGATTTAGCGAATAATAAAACTGGATTTCTAAAATACGTTTCTATTATTATTACATTTACATTCTGCCTTTCCTCAAATGAACTCACACCAGTATACTTGCTTCTCCCCTCCTCCCTCTTTTCCTCATGCCTTGGTATGGTAGAGAGCTACACATTCCAAGCAAACTCTCCTCGATAACAAGTCTACTCTTACTATACCATACTTGTTTCTTTTGGTTGTTCAAGATAGCAAGACTTGTTTGACAAATATAAGAAGGCTTTAAACAATTCTTCATTGGTATCCCATACCACAAGTACCTTGAGTAATGTGTTCAATTTACAATCTGGAATGTAATAAAATAGTTTCTTGCATACCGTGTTGGCCAGATGGTTGTCAGGGGAGTTCTCTCTCAGTTGCCCATGCTGGACCTGTGATAAGTGTGCAGATAGCTCTGCCATTGGAACCTTCCACTCCACAAACTTTCCTTCTTCTTGAGGTACTGCAACTGTAAATGTTTTGAAAAAAGAGATATTCTGAAATGCTGTGTTATCTTATGCTGAGTTGAAAAGAAGATCCACCTTGGCCACTGGCTTCCTAGCCCAGAGAGAAGAAAAAATAGTTAGAAACACACATATTTATTTATTTATTTATTTATTTATTAAAACATTTTTATGCCGCCCCATTCGCCGAAGCCTCGGGGCAGCTTACAACAAATAAGTTAAATAACATTTTAAAATATATACATTAAAATAAATTACAAATATACAATATAAAATAAGCCGCCCTGGCCAGAAAAATTCAATAATATTAACATTTAAAATGCTGCTGGAATAAAAAGGTCTTCACCTGGCGCCGAAAAACAACGACGGCGCCAGGCGGACCTCTCTAGGGAGCACATTCCATAACTTAGGCACCACCACTGAGAAGGCCCTCCTCCGAGTAGCCACCCTCCTAATTTCTTTCACGGAGGGCTCCCGGAGAAGGGCCTCTCCCACCGATCTCAGGGGGCGGCTGGGCATATATGGATGTAAGCGCTCCTTCAGGTAACCAGGACCCAAGCCGTTTAGGGCTTTATAGGTCATCACCAACACCTTGAATTGGGCCTGGACTTCAATGGGAAGCCAGTGAAGCTGATGGAGAACTGGAGTCATGTGAGCATAACGTCCAGTCCCCGTCAGCAACCTGGCAGCTCTATTTTGAACCAATTGAAGTATCCGGACCGTCTTCAAGGGTAGCCCCACGTAGAGCATGTTACAGAATGCCACCTAACCACTCTTATTTGATCTGCTACATGCCATAGACTATACATTCCTTTCTTCCATTAGCATACCCTTCCTTCAGTTTTGGAGACAATTACAGTTGTGTTATAGTAACACTGATACTCAAGCAAACCTTAGTTAGTGAAACAAACAGTATCAACTTGAGCAATAATGAGACAAAATGCTAACTACATTTGTCTCCAAAACTGAATAAGAGAAGGATGCTTGCAAAAGCAGCATTAAATCTACAGAGTACTTCAGTCACACCTTGTGTTTGAGCAGTAATAATTGTGAAGTTTTAGGCTTGCAACCAGGCCAAATGTTCCTAAAAATGAATGGTGAAAGTGCTCAGGGCATATATGTGTGCCCACTAAATTTGCCACATGCTCTCTGAAGGGCCCCACCACAGCACAATGTATGAAAGCAATCAAGACTCCCAGTCTGAAGATAAAGAAACTTATTTTATTTGTAAAATGCCTATGCCACTTACAAACTGAACTCTTAAAAGGCAAAGCTTAAAAATATAAAAGGCAATCATATAGTAAAATATGACATTAAAACCATGAGTGTAAAAGAGAATAAAATCAAAATAGCAACCAAAATAAAAGCTTACCAAAAGGGTTGACTGCAATTTTAAACTTTGACATTTGAAAGAAGCCCAACTGGAGGAAGCACATCTGATATGTTGTATACTATAAAGTATCCATCTAAACCACTACTACCATTTACCACTTGTGGGCTGAATGGAGTTCAGAAGTTAGAATAATGGAGTTTGCAGTGTATATTGGACAGGAACTGTACTGGGATTAAAGGAAAAATCAAGAATTGACAAATATGTAGAAAGGACAAGGTAAGCCCAGTGATGGCTGAAGCACAAGCTGAGAGAAGGCTGGTTGAAGGAATGGTTCTGCTCAAGTACTAGGTTTTGAAGAAAGGATTTGAAGAATGTTAATAGTTTAATGAACTCAGAAGAACAAGCAGTACCAATTGACTGGAGTGTAGTATGAGAGAAAATGTACAGCACAACTAACAAGCCCCATTTTGTTCAATGGAACTTACATTCATAAAATCATAGAATACTAGGGCTGAAAGGGGCCAAGACTGCTGGTGCAGGATGCCAAGTCACATCAGATGACTGTCCAGTTTCGCCTTGAATGTCTCTAGTGTGGGAGAGCCCACCACCTTTCTTGGCAACTGGCTCCTCTGTCGCATCACTCAGACACTAGGAAGTTTTCCCTGGTGCCTAGCCTGAATCTGGTGCATTGCACTTTAATTGAATTAATTTAATTCAGTTTAAAGGCAAAAGCAGAGAACTGGAAGAGAGTACTAATATGCATAGCTTGAATTGTGACTTATGTAACAGGCATTCAGGGGTTTTGATTGTTGTCTAAAATCTATGCAAAGAATACATGTAAAACAACAGAACTATCTGTACATAATATGTAATTCTGAAATTTGGGCAACAGCACTAAAACCACAAGAGAGAGAAAACACATTAAAATCTTCAAAGACAAGCAACAGACTGAGCGGAAAATAAGCAAGTCAGTCCAATTTGGTACAAAATTACATTATATACAAAAAAATGCTCTGTAAAACCTGAAGCTAAGAGAATGGTCTCTTTAATTTCAAAGTAAGCATTACTCAAGCACTACAGTTCTTAAACTTGGAGCAAATGTGACAATCCAATTAAGAACGTGGTAGCATTCAGGTTAGTTGGAACCAACCTTCTGGGTTTCTGATGTTACTAAGAAATACATTTCCATGTTCTCCTGCTGGAAAAGTCCATTTGAGATTCACCATGAGAACAGTAAAGCAAGGGAAAAGGCCTGATCAGTTTTCTTCTTATACTGCTTATTTTACTGATGCACCAAAAAGTACTGTTTCATCAAGTTACCTGTCCTATTTTAAATAGCTATTAAAATATTGTTACTGAGCTTACTGGCAGAAATACTTCTTTATCACCATGACCAGATGTTCTGACAGAGCTTTGGCAATGCAAACAACAGTGACAGTTCCTACAGTTTCCGGTCTGATTGCAAGATCAGTAGGCCAGCTGATGTGGCCAATATCCTCCTTTCTCCTGTTCACAAGCTTGGCCAAGCTCCACCCAAACAACTCCACAATAAAGAATTGTACAGAACTCAGACAACTGATCATTGTTTTGTACCTCAGTAAAAAAACTGGTGAGGATTTCAATATTCACACCATATGACACAAAGATGAAATATTCTGTAATGGGTTTACATTAAAAAGAGAGTAATGAAAATGTATACGATTTTTACGTTTTTCACTTTTTCTATCAAGTCAGAGGAAGCAAGTTTGAAAGTGTAAGGAAATTATACTAAAAGAACAGAGCTAAATATGATTTAGTGTACTTCCACAGTTACAAGAAGTTATCCTGAAGAAAAATGATTAACACAGAGTGCAGTAGTTATATCCCATTCTACTCAGGAGGACCAATTTCAATGTGTAAGGAAATATTATCAGAGAAAAAATGATACAGGAACATTGTATATAGGAATAAAGGAGGGCAGGAACAAACTGTTATGGAACAGGATGGGATAGGTGAATACCAGTACTGGTAACAGTTAAGTGTTCCTATCCCTTCTTTCTACCCATGTGTTCAAGTTTTAACAAGGCAAGTCTTTTTATAAAAATGGAGGAAGCTTCTGAGGGAGTCATTCCAGTTTACTTCCAAGTAGACATATCTGGAATACCCTGGTTTTTGGCACCAGGTTTTTCTTTGTTATTTTGTACCTTTTTATATTTAAATGTAATTGTATCATTTATATTTGGTTAAGATGTTCATACTTCACCTAGAAAACATTTGTTACTGAGCACATAAAAACATAATAAATGAATAGGTCTGGGTAGACATGCAAAAGTCTGGGTCTGGGAATATTATTTGAAAGTGATGTTCGGTGATTCTTTCCTGCTTAGTTCCAAGTAAACAGGTAGAGATTCATCATGCTGACTTTTAAGTCAATATGCTGCCTGTGCTTACTTTTGAGTAGACATGCTTCCAACTATAAATTGGTAGTAATAAGATTAGGAGTTGTTTCTTTTTGAAAAATTTCAGACTTGTCCAAGTCTGCCTTTAGTCTTGCCCACCACTGGAATGAACATATGAGAGTTTCTTTGAAATGGAATCAGGTCTTCAGACTGAAAAAGGTCTTCCTGCCCCCCTCCCCCCCACTGTAAATGATACAAGCTGGAATAATTAGAAACAAATAGGACAAAATTTGAATTCCAAGAGCATGCTAGGATGCAAAATGGGCTCATGTGTATTTGCCTAAGTACAGATCACCTGTTCTTAAGCAGGCACATTTCTTTGAATAATTTTTTCAGCAGAAATGTGTTTTACAATACAAGTCCCGTACAGATGCAACCCTGATGAATGCTTAATCATGGTTAAACAATCAAGAATAGACTGCAGGACTTAATGCTTCCTAGAACACAAATTTGACCTGCTGGACCTAACATACCCAAGTTAAACTGGTAGAGATAGTGCAGGTAATGGGAGATGAAGGCAACAAACATTCCTGTTTAATTTGGGATCTGAAGCCATTATGGGTTAACCATTATGTTAGCAGTGAGATTAATTAGGGTGAGCACTAACCAGGATCTCCATTCTTATGTGTTCTTTGATTTGGAGATCATGGAAATAAAGTGTCAGGAAAATACAATCCACTACTCAGTGGCCAACTGACAGATTCTGAAAAGAGTCTGCCAACTTTTTGAAATGAGATACCAAAAATGGCCTTTAAAGGGAAAATTAGAGAACTGAAGCAGTCTTTGTTTTCTTCAGTTATTTCCTATTCAGCACAAATAATTTTCTATAGCCATTCTTGGGGAAAAAAGAAAAAAATGATAGGAACAGAACATTGCCTTATAGTGGTACTAATATAAAATTAAAACACTCTGATATACGTATTTGATTAGGCACTCAAGGCAGTTACAATCATAAAACAACACAACACACCAAGAAAATGGAAACTACATCCAACCCAATACACTGGCTTACATGCTGAATGGCTGCTAGAATAAAAAGATCTGCCTATTGGTAATATGACAGCAGAAAGGAAGTGAACCTAGCCTCCCTCAACAAGGAGTTCCACAGCCTGCAAGTGGCCACCAAGAAGGTACTCTCTTATGCTGCCATTATAAGAAGAGCTTGAAGAGCTTCTCCTGAAGATGTTAAGACCCAAGCTGTCTCATATGTGAAAAAGCAGTGTTTCAGGTAGCCTGGTCTCAGCTTTTTTTCTACCCATTCAGCTGAAGAAATATTGAAAGGGATCACAAATTGTAGTAACTGATCAGCTTTAGGATGTCTACAACATGATAAAAATTTATAACCTGGATTCAAGTCATAGGTGAATTAAGATTACAGGTCTTTATCACACAATGTGTTCATTGGTCCCTTTCAGGATGCTTATCAACACGATTTGAGAATGGTCTCTGTGATTATAATGCACACACTACAGGTTGGACAGAATTATTTCACCACTTTTTCACAATTTATTCTCTTGGCTTCAGTTAACATTTTTCTTCCAACACCCATGGGTAATATATATCTACCCACCTACCAAACATTATATGCATTTGAAGATGTTAGCTGCTGTATACAAAAGTTTATACCATAATAAAAGTCCTTCATGTAAGTACAATGAGGCTCTTCTGTTATTTTTCTATATTGGAGCTTCTATATTGAAGCTTCTTCAAGACTTGTATTAGGATGTCCAGAAATACTGAATGATACTCTTGACAAGATCACAGCAAGTGGTCTTCTTTGTTCTGTTTTATGTCAGAAACTGTTTTGTCCACATAGAAGGTTAACATTACTAGCACCCTGATACTGCCATAAATGATATGGCAAAGGAAAACGCGTGTCTTCTATTAACATGAGAGCAGAATCACACTTTCGACAGATAATGCTTTCCCCATCCTCGTTATGAGGTCAGCCCCAACTAAGGAGTTTCCTCATTTTGTAAAAGCAGTAAAGCGTCTGTTAGAAACAATGAGGCCCCATCCCGAGCCGCTCCTCTGGGTACACATTCGGTATCACTTCCGTGTGGTTTTGACACTCTTTCCCCAACACGTATAGATGGGAGCGGTCCGCGAGTCCAGCCCTCATTTTTGGCCATTTCCCACTTATGAAGGGGACACACTTCAACCCACGTTAGAACATCATAAAAGGGAGGTAGCCATTACTCCGGATTTACAAACGCGGAGTTTGAGGGCAAGACCATGAGGGCCAGCGCGGCTGCTTTAAGCGAGGGAAGGCTCAAGAAAGGCAGCGTATTACGCCCCTCAGGCTAGAAGCACTCGTGCAAGGTGGGCAGCCGTAATGCGAGGGGGACACAGAAAGAGCACTAGTGCCAGCTCTCCCTCACAGGCCTCTTCCCCATCTCGCTTTTCGTCCTCTCCCAAGGCCACCTCTTACCTGCCCCGTCAAAGCCGGTCCTATCGGGCTGTTTCCCTTCCGACCCGATTCGGGGCAACACGCACCCTTCCCCCCCCCGGTGCTTCCGGCCCAGGCTCCGCCCCTCCCCACTCCAGCGCCGCGTCTCCGCCCACTCTCTGGGGTGCGAGCCTGGCCTATCCGACCTTCTCCTCGGCGAGCTATCGATGCGACGCGCGCCGGCCCCCGCCCTCGGCGGCCAACAACAGCTGCCGCGGTCAAAGCAGGAGGAAAGAGGCCGGCGCGCAGGCGCAGCTTCAAACAACCGCCCCCGTCTGGCAGGTGTTCGAGCCGGTGCAGTTACGGTTGCCGGGGGTCGAGCCTGGCCGAGGGAAGGCGAGCGGTCTTCCTCTAGGACCGCCAGGCAGAGCTCTTACTCCTTTTGCTAGGGTAGATTTTGTACGTTTTCAAAACTAGGATTTTAAAATAATAGTAATAAGTTCGCAGCCCATCCTATAGATTTGCCTGTCGGGAGTAAGTCCCACTGCGTTCAGTTGGGATTATTCTCTGGTAAATGGACAGGGTATTGCAGATGCCGTCAGGTTCGCCAGGCAACAGCTCCTGGTCACTTGCTTTTATGTCACTTGCTCGTTAGCTTCGAGGGGTTGCAAACCACACGCTCCCACGTTGGCGCAAGTCGCCTTAACTTCAGGTACAAGCAGGTGGAAACTGAGCAAGCCAAGAAAGGGATTTTGGGGTTGTAGTGGACAACTCGACCCAGTGCGTGGCTGCTTTGGGAAAGGCAAAGTCTATGTTAGGCATGATTAGCACAGGGATTAAAAAACAACTTAAAAAGGGGATTCTGCTAGCTTGTATAAATAGATGGGGTAAATGTACTTAGAATATTGTAAAAAGAGTTTTTTCTGGCTCAGCTATTTGTTAACATTTGCATGATTTTACCTATGAAAGTTATATCTATTAACTTGTACATCAACTGCAACTGGAAAAATGACAGTGAGTTGGAAAAAAAAGAAAGGTAACTAAAATGACCAAGAAATTAGAGCAGCTCCCTTGTGAGTACCGGTAACAGCTGGGATTGTTTAGCTTACTAAAAAAAGAGTAAGGGGAGAATCGGAGAATCGGAGAGGTCTTCAAAATTATGTTTAGTGTGGAGAAAATGGAAAAAGAAACATTCTGTTTCACTCAGATGGTAGATTTCACATAGATTTCCCTGTAGTTCAGGGACGTTTTATACATTGTCATTTCTACTGAAAAGTTTTGATAAAGAAACAAGAATTCGTGGATTGCAGCAGGTGATGATTCTACAAATACTTCCCACTTGTGAATGAGGTAATCTGCAAAGAAACCTTGTGGCCATTGCTCTCCTAAACTGCACGATTATTTTGAGTTTTAGCGTAAGCATAGCTCTGAAACCCCTCAACCTCAGTTTATGATATGCAAGGATTCAAAAATTTAAGCAATAGAAATTAATCTTGGTCTCAGACCTAGTTTATACTATAACAGTTAAACTCAGTAAAGATGCCATCTATGCATTAGGTAGAAAAGGTCCTACAATTCCCAGCTTTTATATTGGCTGAGGAATGCTGGAGTACTTCTGCATAGAATTGTTCCCTAAGAAAGTTGGAGCAACTTACTGTATGAGGAATAGAGTTACCAGTGTAAATCTGTGTTTTATCATTTGTTGTGAATTGTCCAGAGAGCTTTGGCTCTTGAACAATATAGAAATGAAAGTATAAATCTAGCAGCAAGCTGAGAGTATGGAGGACCAGGTCTCAAAGAAGTAAATTGGCTTCATTTAATTTCTAGGGGCAAGTGTTATTTTTAAACTTTCAAAACCCTGTTCTGATTATCTCTGAGATTTTCTCATTCTCTACAACAGCCTCCTCAGAATCATTTATTTATATCCAAAAATCAGATAGCTAAGCAAGGACTTACTCCTTCTTAGAGATAAGCACCTCATTAGATACTGTCAGTCCATTTATTATTTTAAGAATGTGGTTAAGCTGTTAAAGAATTTGGGATTAATGCTGAAAACAGTATTAATGTAGAATCGTTTTGATTGCTAATTTTAGTGCTTTTTATGTTTATTCTTTAACTTTGATGGGATTTATATAAGCATTGCAAACCACACTAAGGACTCCAGGGAACCATGCAGCTGCCTTCATTATCTTCCACCTGGAAATAGTTTTAATTTTTATTCTGGATATTACAATGTGTTTTGAATGTAGTTCATTGTTTACATTTTTATGGTGCTACTTTTACTGGAATCTTCCACTTATGAGAAAGGTATGCCAACAAGGTCCAGCCAAGGATTATGCATGATTATGTGTCCACTCATACTGAGCCTTCACATTCAGAAATTAGCTATTTACTGAATTAGGAGCTGTGGGATCTTTGCAGTGAGGGAGCCCTTTAAATACATAGGCTATTAATGCTTTACTGTTTTCCTCAAAAGTTCCCTGATCTTATGCCAAGTGAGGCCACTGGTCCAGTGAATGGCAGTTGCTTTTCAGGGATTCAGATAGATACCAGGAATATTTGCATCCAATGGCTATGACCATTTCTCTCTTCATGAAGAGTTTGGGTATTTTTCAGCAGAAACAGGCCATATTATTCAGTGTTCATGTCACTTTTTGGTGTCCTCTATTTTTAAGTTCATGAGACAGAGGACACTAAAAAGGGATGAGAGAGGGAGGATGGCAGTGGCACTAACAAGATCATGGGAGGTGGGGCAAGGGTTTTGCTGGGTGGCTCTGCATCTGTTCCCCATAACATGCAGTTAAGTCCTGCCAGGTATGAATAAATACTAAAATGGCTGTGGGTTTTCTCAGGCTGGCTTGTTTGTGAAAAATAAACCATCCTGCAGAAACCTTACTGGGTTCACACAGTACAGCAACCCAGCATCATTGGTTGACCATGGTGGGTTGTCATGTGGAAATGAGGTCACTGTGATAAATTGGGATATCAACAAGTGTCAACATATCCATTATTTCTGAAATACGTCCTAGGCAGTTACAACCTCAAAACATAAGTCAGAGTCCAGATCAAATATATACATTTTAATATCTGAAATATTTACATGGTGGAGCCTTTATAGTCCCATTAGTTAAGAACAGTTTTTCTTCAGCTGTCTTCTTATAATGCAAGAATCCATTAATTCAGGGTCACAGTTACACCTTCTAAATAGGACAACCTGTATTCCTTCAGGTAAGGAGAGATCAGAAGAGCGGCTTTAAAAAAATGAAGATGATTGTTGCTTCCTGGAACGTATTCATCCTGCAATCCCGAAGGCCCACAACAAAGACTTTTTACTTGTGTATGAGATTTTTAAAAATGCAGTTACAGTACATGGTTCCTTATACCACATCAGCATATGTATAAAACTCATACAGAATAAAAGCAGGAAATATCAACCTTGATTAAACAGACAGCTTACAGTACAAAAGGAGTTGCCACAGCTGACCTGATGGTATACATAAAACATTTTTCTATGGTGTGATGACATATGATTTACTATTGTAAACTGTTGTGCTCAAGTTATATCTTTAAACCTTTCCAAAAATAGGTCCAACTGGCCTATAAATTTTAAATAGTAAAGAGTATTTAAGATGTCAAATATTTATTAGTAGGAGGGCTAAAATCAAAGATTTTTGTGTACTGTTTATCCTTAATTAAAAAAAAACCAAGTATGCGTGAACTGTTATTAGCATAACTTGAACAAAAGGCTTCATATAATGAGCAGGAGGGAATCAGTAGCTTTACAAGGATGGTGGAGTTGGTGCAAATCCATGTTCTACAGGTTCATGTATAAATATTATGGTCCAACAAGGGAATGAGTCCACATCCATGCAGATGAAAAGTGTTTGCCAGCAAAATAACTCCCATCCACTTTTGGAATTTTAATGTTTATTGTAATCTTTAAAACTAGAAGGAAAGAAGGTTGGTGCATTTACATAAAATTCAATTATTTTGGTATTGGGTAAGAGCAGATGTTTTGTAAAACATGGGTCTTTTTCATATTTACAAGAATCAGTTTAGAAGAAGTTCAGGGACTGAATACAGCAGCTGCAGTTTATAAACCATACCTTTAACTGTACCAAGTGAATGAAAAACCAATGCAGGATTCAGATAATTACAACCAAGGAAGCTGAGAAATAGGGAAAGGGGACCCCAGTGTAACAGAGGATGGGGGGGGGGGGAATTCACATTTTCTACATTTAAAAAATACAGGTCTCACAAATGTCTCTGGGGACAGAGAAACTTCAAAGTTCTTCAGTGATGTGAAACAAAAATTGAAATGGAGCCCTAAAAACAAAAAAGGATTCTTTATTTCACCAGACCAATCTTTTTGGCTTCTGTTTCATATATCAATAATCTCCACATTTTGACTATAAAAACTTCTGCTTCTTCATCTAGCACCTACAGCAAGAAAGGAGAGAAAAATAAAATTTAGGGCATTTAAGTCTATTTTGTGGAAGCAATGATTGTTATTCAGGTGAAGAATTACATTTATACATGTTTGTATACCATTTTTGGCCTGCACTTACCATAGCGACATCATCCAGGATGCTTTGTGGTGAACTATGAGCCATAACCTGAAAAGAAACAGACAGAAGGTTGGGGACACAGCACTCAAATGGAATAATGAAATAGCTTTTGTTACTACAGGGACAAGATTTCTAAGTAACAAATTTATCAATGGCAAGATTTGTTACTTTTCATTTTGAATTAAATCCTTTCTAACAAATAAAGCAGTTACCCACACTGAATGGTTTGAAAGGTAAGCCAGAGTGTACATTTTAACATTTCCTTCTTTGATTCTTGTTGAGACAGTACAATGTTATTTGCAACTGCTTGAGTTAGGCTGGTGCAGAACCAAGCCCTCAAATTATTATAGTTAGAGCAGGTCATTGCTCCAAAAAGAACAACCTACAAGAGTCTTTACATTATAGGATATATATCCAACACCAGCATTTCCACTCCGGGCCATCGTTTTTAAAGCACATTAACACAGTCCTTAGTTTGACAAAATCTGTACATCCCTGTGTCTGGTTTCTTTCTTTCTGTTGACTGATAGAACTACATTTTGGGGAATGATAGTAGGTGCGAGAATTTAATTCCTGTTTGAAAATCTGCAGTTGCACAAATCCCATCCCCCAAAAGTGTTTAGGAAGTGTGCACCTCTGGACAATTGGGAAAATCCACAGACTGGGTTTACAGAAGTCTGTGTTCATTTGAATCTCTTGGATTTCTCTGATACTTCTAGCCAGCATATATTTGTGCACAGAAGACTAAGCAACACACAAAGACTGTCAACAGGTGGTTGTTGGGGTTTTTTGGATAAAGCATAGTCAACTAGAAAAATACAAGTGGGGAAAAATGTAGTACATGCCACTCTAAGTATATATTTATAGATACAAGTTTACCTTTGAGCAAACAAAGTCAACTAGTGTTGCTTCTTCTTCACCAATATATTCTATTATTTTCTTGTTGATCCATGGTCTAATTCGACGTTCCATTAATGTCTACAACAGAAAAAAGTAACAAGTTAGTTTCCCATTGTTTTGTATTTGCATCACACATTGTTATAATCCATAAATCAGAAAACAAACCTAATAAAATTGATACTTTAATTGGTACAGAGCATCCATGATTTACTTTTGAGGATAATTTGTTCTAGAGTTTCATTATAATGAAATAAATGGAGAAAATGTTTGGAGTTGCAATCCTATAAAAAATTGCCTCAAGTCAATGGGACCTAGTTCTGATTAGAGATACATACAATCACGCTGTGGAATGGCCTTCCCTTCTTACAATAAGCTGTAACTTATTTAACAGCAAGTTATCTTAGTCCTGTCAGTTCATTAAATAGGCACATATACAGTGATTGTAATATGTAAAAATAGTAAATGTTTACATCAACTGAAGCTCATGCTGGTTGCTTTAAATTTTACTATCCCTGTGCTCTGAAAAGTGTGAGTTGGAGAAGGGAAAAGTGCTCTGTGCTTACAAGTGTGTGGCAGGGGGAGAGGGTGCGCACTCATCTGTATTACTCTGATCTAATACCTGTTGAATCCCTCAAGATTGAAAACATTATCCATCCCTGTTTGAAATCAAAATGAATATGGAAGCAGAGAATTTTATTATGTTCTATTTTACAGTTTTAAATTTTGGAGCATCCTAGAGTCAGCTGTTGGGAGTATAAAAATATACAATCATCATTAAGTGTTCTTTGTCAGACTATTTGCATTGACAGATTGCTGTCCGGGAGGTCATATTCAATATTTTATAAAAAGCTGCACTCACTGAATCCACGATAGACCAGTCTAGAGGATAGGCAAATAACTCTGGTTTGGCTGTAGGGATTTTCTCAATTAAACTCTTAATGTGTTTGCGCTTCTCTTCGGTGTTGACACTCCCTTTGGAGGACCCTTTGTCTTCATCACCATAATCTAAAGGAACCAGTTTCCTTTTCCGAGGCATGTCATCACTGTCTTCATCTTCAAATTTATTGAAGACACTGTCCACAGTAAGTTTCTTTCTTTTCACAGCATTGGGCTGGTTAGGGCTATTGCACGCACCTACGCAAAAAATTAAAATCAAGAGGTTATGAACAAACTATTTCAAAAGGGCAAGGGATCATTAAAGGATGATAGAATTGAAGACTTTTATGCTATCCGTTCTCACTTAGCTCTCCAATGGACCAAATATACATTCTGAAGGTGTGAAGCAGGAAGGAGCAGCGAGAACAATAATTAGACTTGAAGTTAATTGTGGCCCATTGTGAATACAGCTTCTTTTTTCTACTTCATCAAATCTTTTAAAAGGAAAGCAAAACATAAACTTGCCCAGTTTGAGGCTAAGTCCTATTTTAGGTCTATATTCCTCTGGTTGTTGCTGATCAGGAGAGTTTTCATGGGGGATGATGATACCACAGGGAGATTCATCCCCAGGGGTATTAGGTGTTGCATTGCCACTTGCTGATGAAACAGATGGAGCAGAACTGATGGGGCGTAATGTTGGCTTAAGGCAGGGTTTTTGCTCTGGTTCCTCCTCCTCTTCCTCAGGCTCTTCCCGCTTCTCTTCTTTTTCTTGCTTCTCCTCCTCCTCCTCCTCAGATTCTGGCTCCTGTTTGGTTTGTGGCTGTCGACGCCTTTCAGCCTCTTGTTCCATCTATAGAACAAGAAAAACTGAGGGAATCAAATTCAGTGATCATAACACTAGAACTGCGATTCTTAATTAGTGTGTTGTAGCAAAACAGTTAAGAGTTGAGCATACAAAGCAAGCCTGGTTGTCCTCTCATTGTAAACTGACAATCCTGGTTAATTCAGGGTAACTTTTAAAAAGTTCAATTCTATTTAAATTTATACAAAATAATCCAGATTAACAATACTAATGCTGCTTTAAAAAGAAATCTGAAATCAAAACCTGCTTTCCATGCAAGCATAGGGATAAACGAACAACATGCCAAGCAACGGGTCAGTTGCAAATCTCTGGGTTACTCAAGTACATGACACAGTCTACTATTACAAGAATGCCAGGTCATGACCATTTGGCAGAAAAGTATTTTCTTACCCTCTGTAACTCTGCATCAGGATCTGGATGGCCTTCTGCAAGAAGACGCTGTCTGATTTCTTCCAGTTCTTCTTTTTCCCTCTTCCTATCCCGTTCATCTGCTTCCATTTCTTTCTCCCTGTCTCGCAAACGTTTCTGCAGAGCACTACCCCTGTAATGTACAATGACATTTGATTTATAGTTTCTTGCAACACAAGCATTTTCTTATGTTTCTGTAGAGATAAGCACACCATAATGACTTTATTCAAAATCTGGACTATAAAATTTGTATTTCATTCTCTAAAAGTCAATAACTTTCTTTCAGGCAAGAAAGTTAAATAAGCAGGTGTCTTATACCTACTCGGTTAACTTTTGTAATTGAGCAGGAATAAACCACTTGCTCCTTGACAACTTGATTAAAGAAATGCCAGGAAGGAATAGCAAATCATAAATTAAAAATACAAGACATCCTATACCTATTATCACTTAAAGGTTAAGAACTTCCTCATTCTTCTACTGAAAAGTCATTTGAGTAGGTTGGTTTTCAGAAAGGAGATTCACATTTGCTGGGTTTTTTCAAGCATCAGCACATTCACAGTTTCAGCTTTGTTCCCTGCAAACAGACCCTGGAGGTAAAGGTTTCTTCAATAGCACGAGGCTCCTTTTACCAGATTAGGCTAGTTCACTGGCCATATCCCTACCAGGGCAGAGAGAACCCAGTTCCATTGATCCATGCTCTGGCAACTTACTTCAAGGGTAGACTACTCTAATGCATTACATGCCACTGAAGATGGTTTATAAAATACAGTTAGTTCAGAATACGGCTTTTAGACTATTATGGGGACTGGACATAAGCATAATATGCTTACACTCTAACTGCACTAGCTCTTGGTCTGTTTCCAAAGTGAATTCGAAATTTAGTTACTTAGCAATACTTTGTAATGTTTTTTATGTAGAACAAATTGAACCTCTTTACCAATGCTAAAATTACAGTGCAAAAATTATTAGACTAATGCAATCATTATACAATAAAAGCAATAAAAACCAGCAGCCATGAAATTTTTAAAAATATTTATTTAAAGCTTTTATATGTCATCCCTTATGCATGGCCTCTCAGGACAGCTTACATGAGAGAAATGAGATTTTTATATAAATAATATAGAATATATATTAAAAAGTATATATATAGACCTATAAAGCTTTTTAGGACTTGGGACAGGGTTCCTGAAAGATCACCTGTAAGAATTATCAGTAAGCATATATTATGATTTCACTGTAAACCATTTTCTAGCTTCCTTCACCAGTTATCTGTGTGAAGGAGTGAGCCCCTGTTGCTTTTTCCCAGTTCCTGCCAACCTAGCAGTTCAAAAGCACGCAAATATGAGTAGATAAACAGGTACCATTTCAGGGGGAAGATAACAGCACTCCATGCCACATGACCATGGAAACCAAATGACCAAATGCTGGCTCCCTCAGCTAAGAAACGGAGATGAGCACCACCCTCTAGAATCGGACACGACTGGACTTAATGCCATAGAGAAACCTACCTCGGTGCTACCAGCAAGAAGGGATTTTCATTAGTGGCACCTTGGTTTTAGAAAGCTTTGCTCAGAGAAGCAGGCCTGGCACCCATTCTGATGTCTTTCTAGCTGTAGGCTAAGACTTTTCTATCGTCCCAGGCATTATAGCTCTTTAAACTGTCATTGATCTCTTTATTTAAATGCTACTTTACAGAGTTGCTGCTGTTTTTTTTTTTTTAAAAAGCATATTAGTTGTTTTATAAAAAATTGGCCTAATCATTTCAAGGGCAGAGCATAAATCTGAATAATTAAACTTTATACATTTTCAAGAGCTGAAAATTATAAATCAGAGCAAAACACACACAAACACACATGAGCAATTTGACATTAAAGCCCTTCGTTTCCAAGTTCAGTTTAAGCCACTGGCTTTGATCTTTAAACCTGTTAATGGTTTGGGACCAAATTACTTGAAGACTGTCTTCCCCCATATCAGCTTGCTCTTACTTGATGAGCACCATGCAAACTTCTTTGTACTTGCCCACCTATAAGGATAGTTAGGTGGGCAAGTACACAAGGGAGGGCCTTTTCCACAAGGGCCCCACACCTCTGGAACAAGGTGACATCAGGGGTTGACCAAGGCCCATCACTGCAGGCTTTTAAGAAGGCCCTGAGGACTTACTTGTTTCCCACCCCATATGCTTTATCATACTGGTGTGGAGCTACAACTGTGTTGTAGGTTGTCTGAGGGTGATTTCTGTAGTCTTTTGGAACACTTTTTATAATTACATGAAAGATGGGCCTAGAAATAGTAACAGAAATAAATTATTTAATTATATTTAATAAATTAAATAAAGATTATGTGTAATCTTTTCTCAACTCTTTTGGTAGACAGGCAGAATGAAAAGTTTTAGAATAAAAACTGCTGCAAGGATTGGTCAAGGACTTTAAGTTGTGCTTAGTATGTGTACTGTGGTGGTGGAGACGCAGGGAAAGACAAGCTGTGGTCATTTCCCTCAAATTATATTGTTGCCTCAGAATCACTGTACTTCCGTAGCACTAGGTCAGATGACATTTCTTGCTGTAACATGTATAACTTTTTATTAGTAACCATGATAAATTAAATGGAGTCAGATAATATAACTGATGTGATTCATTACATAGTAAACATACCTGTAATATTTTGGATCATCTCTGTCATCATCATAATCTTCTAGAAATTCTTTTAGCCGTTTAGCTTCTTTGGCCTATAAACATGAAACACATTTAACAGTGCCTTAATAGTCTTAAAACATATTAGTTATCTCTAAAATGTTTTTTTCAGTACTTTGTGCAAAAAAGCATTTTAGAAGCCAGAAAACTAATAAAATGACACCTTGTTCTAAGTGAATAATTACTACTAGTTGGTTTTCCCACTCTTTGGGGCTGCATTACTTCCTCACCGGTTACTGAACAATCTGATTCTCTCAAATCTCAAAAGTAAAACAGTGATAAGAGAGATTCTGTTTCTTAATAAGTTAGGGTTGGAGGGGGATAAAGTCTACTTCCAACAACGGTTGTCTGCACAGAGAGTAAGAATTTGAAGTAATTTGCATTAGCGCTGATACTCTTATGATAATTTGCTATTATATAAACATGGAAGAACCAATAAGATGTCCAGCTTTCTTTCACACCAAAGAATTTCACATTTTTTTCCTCTAAAAAAGAAGGCAAGCACATGTTATCTTGTTTTTTCTTATTTTTCTGTTGAGTGAGCACACTCTTCTAAATTCATGGGAAGGTGGCAAGTAATTTCAAATAATGACAGATGAGTGCTTTTAGATAGCAGGTGCAATTGTTTAGTGTAATGACCTGTATCCCATTTCCTCCCTGAGGAAGTAAAGCAGGAAAGCGCAACTTGTGGTCCTCCACATGTTTAGGTCTACAAATTTCATACTCCTTTAGGGCTGATATTGAGGCCAAACACCTAGAGGGCCACAAGTTGCCCATCCCAAGCAGCCATGGGGAATATCAAACCTTGCCTTGATGGCTTTATTGCTCAGAACTGTCATTTGAGTTCAAGTAGCACTTGTTCCCTAGTAAGTATGCTTAAGATCACTTCCTAAATATCCAAGTTATAAAGTCCATCAAATGTCACCCCACAACACTTAAGGCAACATTAGATGAGCTTTTGGAATTACCAGGTGTAGGTACAAACTGTCTTAGGAATCTAAGCCTTTCATATAGGCAACACTTGCTGAGTCTAATGCTACAGGAGACCAGTGATATATTAGAATTTAGTTCACATGAAGACAGTATAGTTTTACAAAACTGAGGAAAACTTTTTGAAAATTATGTTCTGAACACATACTGAACATGGTGAACTAAAAAAGCAGGCAACTATGTTGGTCCATTACAAACAATGAAACTGTAGCAGAACTTTCGTGTTACTTTTAGTTTGTCCTAACACAGTAGCTAAGTCTTTACAGTTTTACATAATTCTTCATTCAATTTCAGATGAATCAAAAAAGGCAGCAGGGGAGAGAAAATACCCCAGCAGCAAAAAGGGTAGAGAAACCACATAAACAGTATATTATAGTTGTAAGATGGTTGTTGCAAACAAATTAGATTATATTGCATTCAGTGCAAAGGTAACAGGAACAATAAGATTAAACAACCATGGCCCTTTGATGATTTAAAAAGTATCAGTTATTCAAAACAAACTGCAGAACTAAATGAAAGTCATAGGCCCTTACAAGGCAGAGAGCAGAAGAAACAAAATATTGCATCCATATTATTTATTTAAAACTTTTGTATACCATCCCATCACAAATGTCTTGGGACAGTTCACAATATTAGCAAAGCTGCTATTACGTTTTAGCAATTCACTAACTCTGATGTCAGTGCAAAGCATGAATGAATTTTAATTTTACAATAGGACACCCTAAGAAAAGTGTAGATTGTCATTGCAGAAGTGAGAAGTGCTTTTTCTTGTAGTTACTAACCTGCTAAAATATTTTGTAAGTGGTACCTCAGCTCACAAACTTAATCTGTTCCATGACTCTGGTCGCAATCCTAATTGGTCGCGAGCCAAGTCAAATTTCCCCATAAGATTCAATGTAAATAAGGTTAATCAGTTCTGTAAATATTTTTTTAATCACAAAAAATTGAAACAAAGTAACAAAGAACAACAAAGTAACAGGGTACAGTACAACAGAGAACACTAACCTAGGTGGGGGGGGAGGTTATTGTTTGGAGGGAGAGTCCAAACGATAATTATGCAATAGCAATCATGCTCGGGGGAGAGGAGATGGCCACAATCACGATCGTATGGCAACATGGCCACGATCATGATCGTCACCCATTGTGGAGTTGGTGAACTGAGGCAAAATTTTTCTGAAATTTCGGTTCGCGACCCAATTTGGTTGTGAACTGAGGCATTCGTGAGCCAAGGTACCACTGTATTTGTTATTTATGTTTGTAAGTCACCCTGAAGACTATTTTGGCTGAAAGGTGACATAGGAATAAAATATAACATATGATACTCCAGCAAAGCTACTTAGTATTGCTGTTGTGTGCCAGCAGAGGGATTCTGCTGTTCAGGCACTGGAAGAATAATGAACTGTTTACCATTTCCCTTCGCCTTTCTTCTTCCCTCTCAGCTTCTTTTTCATATTCTCTAGTTTTTTTCCGTTCTCTGATTTCCCAGTTTTTAAGACGCTGAAACAAAACAACCTGTTTAGCATTCACTTGAGAAATAAAATATAGCAAAACTACCTGCATTTATTTTAAATAAAATAATTTTGTTGTTCTAGTATTCCATTCCAGTGAAGACATAATCTGAATCATGTTGCCCAAAGCTATTAAGTTATTAGAATAGAGATAGCATTAGAACAGATATTTTATGTGCAAAATATGCATATAGCAAACTTGTCCCATGCTAATGGGAGCTGAATTCTACTACTGCAACTAGAATTCCACTCAGAGAATAGGGCTTTCTCCCCGCAAAAAACTTCTCCCAGTGACCAAAGAATGGTTGAGGAGGGGCTTCAACTCAGTAGTCTGCAACTGGAGGGAGAACTAGCAGACACAAAAGATCCCCCACCCCTGCAACCAGAAGCATCTTCCGTGTATTTTAGGGTCCCTGTGGCTTTCCAGGTACCTCTTGATAAGCTGCTTCCTTTTCACGTAGTTTCCTTTCCAGTTTGCGCCGCTCATAGGCATCTTCTTCATCCTCTTCTCTATCCCTTTTCTTGTCCTTTTCTCGCTCACGCTCCCGTTCTCTTTCCCGCTCTCTTTCCCGCTCTCTTTCTCGCTCCCTCTCCCGTTCTCTTTCCCGTTCCCTCTCTCTATCTCTACTTTTCTCTCTGTGGACAAACATAATGACAAATGGTTAATACATATAAAATTCTACATTTAGTAATGTTAAAAATAAATTTTAGGTTTAATGAAATCAATGCTACAAGATCCCTGAAGTATCTTTCTATATGAGTTGTATATGAATAATGGTTCAGAGCTCACTCTAACTGAACTTTTCCCTGAACTTCTATCTGACCATAAGTTAGGCATGTCACTGCTCATGCATAGTCATTAGGCAAATACTCTTTTTGAACAGTGACACAGTATACCACTATGCTGACTTTATACTGCTATACAAAAATTTTCTCTATGATGGTATCTGGCTTTATCGACTATCAAAATAAAAGAAGAGGTCTGAGAGAAAAGGCATCACTCTTATAATAAAATCATAAAATTTAACATTGATTGTTTACTGTACTCTGGACTTTTGGTACAAAGATTTCTGATTATCCAGAAATCAGCTCTTCTAAAAAAAAAAAAAAAAAAAAACCACCCAAAATCCACAATGTTATTAACAAGTATTCACTGCAATTGATAATTTACCTAGACCTGCTCCGATCTTTATTGCGGTCTGAGCTTCTTTCGCGGTCTCTTTCCCGATCTCTTTCTCTGTCCCGGTCTCGGTCTTTAGTGCGGTCCCGATCTCTATCCCGTTCTCGTTCACGCTCCCGTTCCTTCTCCTTTTCTCGTTCACGCTCTCTCTCCCTCTCTCTTTCACGCTCTCTCCTCTCTCTTTCACGCTCCCGTTCCCTCTCTCTTTCACGCCGCTCTTTTTCAATTTCTTGTCTCTCTTTCTCCTTTTTGCCTTTTTCCTCCTCCAGTTTCTAGAAACCAAGAGGATTTTAAAAGTTAATTTGTAGCTGTAGCCGGGGACCCACCCCACCACCACACAAAACACCCAAGTCTGGTAAGTGAGCATATCAAAATCACCAATAATTGAATCATTTGCTTTCAACTCATAAGAATGAAAACAAAGTTCTGCAATCGTAAGATAGATTTCGTGCAAAAAGCATATATCTAACATAGACCAGCAATCTCCAACCTTGGACAGAAGGGCAATGCTTTCCTCGTATATATGGATAATTAATTACATAGTGCATTGCCTTTTAATAACTCACAGAACTCCCCACCCTCTCAAGATAGAAAAAAGCTTGAACACAAACAAGATGAACTTTTACCTGACATAATTAATCCTGCCTATGGAGACAAATAATTTAATAGGATGCTGACAAGGACAAGATAGGTGATTACCCCACAATGCAGCCAAGCCAAATTCATCCTACGTAGGGTGGAAGATAAAACAACTTCAAACTACACTGCGGAGTGACTGGAATTGCTTAGAACAGTACATCCTCCCAATAATTTTACGCCCCTAACTTTCTTTTATTTTCTTTTTCTTCTTTTACCGTACATGCTATAGTGTTGGATTCTAAATAATGGGATCCTCAAGAAGGAAAAGGTTGGAAATCACAGAAAGACTAAAAGGTTATACAGTGTACTTTTACGGAATTTCTATAAAGTGCATTTTTTAATTGAAAAAGACATGCCTATTACCAAAACTCCCATGAAGACAATAGAAAAATAAAGTCTCACTAAAATGACAGATAAATCCATCCTTGGAAGCAATTGGTGTGTGTTAACTTACAGATGCTGTGCTAGGACATGGACCGCCAACACTGGATTAACCTTGCCTACAAAGCTATATTTCTGGGAGGAAGAGCAAGTACATGGTTCACAAGTAAACCAAAAAAAAAAAAAAAAAAAAAAAAACATAAGCCAAATATCAGCCTGATGGATGCCAGAATATTATGGGCATGATCCTTCAGTGTACAAAAGTTGTGCCTGGAAGGATCCCATATAGGGCATAACAGAGCCCCTTTCCCACTCCTCTCCTTTCAGCGCGCGCATATATATATATATATATATATATATATATATATATATATATATATATAAAATCACCACACCAGGCTGTTTCAGGGAACGGGAGGCTTGTGTGCAACTCTCCTAGTCCCATCCATCCACATTTACCACTTGCGAAGGAATGTTATCTATATACATTCCTTGACTGAGTGGAGATGGGAATAGGAATGAGAGGAGTACACAAGTCTTCTGTTCCCAGTAATGGCCTGGTTCATTGCCAGCACATGCACCCATGTGCCAGGGAAGAGTGACAGAGCTATATTGTTCCTTATGGGGATCCCTCTGTGTGTGGAGGTAACACTAATGTAGGAAGGATCACACCCCAAGTATACTAAGCAGTTTAACCTGGGGAAAAGAACCCCATTTTGGCATAAAGTTTACCACAGTGAAATAAATTATGAACTTGAACAACAAGGTGTGCATATATTTCTCTCTTTCAACAAAGAATTTAAGACAACTTTAAAAACAATCTTACCTGTCAGACTGTCTTCTCATGCGCACTCATGGACCAGAGAACCAAACAGGGTCACAGTAATAAAATTAATAAACAAGAGCAATATATCTAACCACCATGCTAAAGGGAACTATAAGTAAAATATAGCCAATATGGTGTTAGATACATTGAACTCACAAAAGAAAAGGGTACTCAAGAATGGTAGAAAACAGCCATTATGAGGAGGAAAAGGTGAAAGTGTTCAAGATATGGAAATGTGCAACCTAATCTCTAAGTCAATTGCTCTTGTACAATATAATTCTCTCTTACATGGTATATTAATGTATGCTTATTCAACTTTCAAAAGCAAAACTTACCTCAAATTTCATATACTTTTATAGAAAAGTTTATATACTGAAGTGGTTGATACTTACAGATTATTTTAGTTGTTCCAATAAAATTGTTATTGGTTAAGTTCCTGGATCCCGCCCCCCCCCAAACTGTTTTTTGTTTGTAGTAACATCATAATCAATCTGTCTTGACTTTGGCTCTTAAGAAAAAGAGAGGTATAACATAAAAGCTTTTAAGATGCCAAAGGATGAATCAACAATCATTTCATACAGAAAATCAAGTAACAGGCTGCTTCCATGTAAACAAAAATTATGAAGTAGGAAATGTGACAGGGAAAGGACCAAAGATATGCTGAAGAAATGAGTAAGGAGGGTAGGTAGAAAAGCCATAAAATCTTACCTTGGGTTCTCTTCAGACTCATCTGTGCTGTAAATGGACGCCCCCTGCAATGCTGACACCCTAGCACTCTGATTATTGTTTTATAAACTCTAACCAAAAAACATGCAAAGGTTCACTGTGCTCGCTAGCCAGCCCCTTTTTAAGTATATCACCCAATATATGAAATGGCCCCTTTATATTACAATTAGTTAATCTATTTTAAAAAATAAATTCAAAATTTTTTCCAATAGAATAAATCAAAGGCAGTAACATGCCCAGTTGCTTCTCAAACAGTGAAGCATATTTTGTTTTGTATTTTTAACATTTATTTATATTTTAGTGACTTACTGGGGCTTGGAAATAGGATTATATTTCACCACTGACCAATTTTAAATATCTTCAGGAACTGTTATCCTCAGGTTCTCATTCCCAAATAATACTGGAATATTTTGCATTGCCAGCAAGGCACATCCATTTTTGCTTTTATGTTAGATATGCAAATAAGCATGACCCTATACCCAGAGTATATATTACCATTTTATACCTTCAAACCATTATACCAGTATTAGCAAACAAAGAGCACTCATTTCAGGGGTGAACATTTCACTGGTGTGGAGTATGTCAGCCTTGGTGGGCAGTTTTTATTCCATTAGAAGCTAAACATCAAGATACAGTGCATGCAGAGCTTGCATTTCACAACCCTCGCACCACCCTTCCCAACCAGAACACATTAATAAATTCACATTGCAGAAACTTTTGTAGGTGGGAACCCTGAGGTAGGATTTGCTGTACAAACACATTTCCAAGCCAGTTACCCCTTTGCATATTTTTTTGAGGGGGCATCCATAAATAATAAAAAACAGAAGCTCATACTTACATCCTATTCCATGTTACTTTCCAAGCTGTGTTTTTCATCTTGCATTAGTCACCATATGATCTCTATCATAATGGTGGGGGTCAATGAATAGATTAGCTTTATGGGAATTTACAGTTCTTCCATGCATCTAAATTTTGGTAAAGTCTGATAATCACTAACCTAATTTATTTTACCCCCATTTTCAACTCAAGAGCTACTAAATTAAATCTTAAGTTTCATTTAAGCACTAGAGCTCAGTAAAACACTGAGTCAGAATGATGTTTTGCAGCTGCCTGAATATTGTGGGAGTCTGAATAAGTTTCACACAGCAGCCCAGTTTAATTATTTGGTCTTATGGAAAAGGTTCTAGCCACTTGGGGTTAATTTTAAGAAAAGCAGTGTAGAAAGGTGTGTTTTTTTTAAAAAAAATGTATTAGTGTTAAGAAAGAAGACTGCAATGCAATCATTAGAAAATAAAAAAGATTACGTACAAAATATTAGACCACTTAAGTGGGAATATGTCATTGTTGACTTTTTAGATATAAGTTACGCCTGCTATAATAATTAAGTGATATGGTTTTGTGTTTGTAAATTTTCTAAAAGGGTAAGGGTGGGGAAACTGGATTCTGTAAAAACCTATTTTTTTTTTTATAAACAGCAAAAATAAGTATACTACCTTGTGAGTATCTCTGAATTTACTGATCTCTCGGGATATCAGGTCCCTTTTGTCTTCTTCCATTTCTATAGCATTTATATCCTCCTGTAGGGAGAGAATAGGAGATAAAATATTAAAACCCATCTGTACAGAAACAGGAGAACCAAAAGAAAAGCTGAAGGTTAGATGTTTTGTACCAGTCTTGTAAGAGATAAATAAAGGCCTTCTGCAGTACCAAACCTCACAGTCTGATGTTAAATGAATGAAAAAAAATTAGATGGACACGAGTCACAAATCTGGTAACTAGCAGTAAACATAGTCATTGTCAAAGCCTACAATGTAAACGAACCTTGGTGATGAGTGGATAAGGTATCAGTGGGGCCACTGGAAATCTGCGGAAAATCTGCGGAAAAATCCACGGAGATTTTTTTTTTTAAAAATAGATTGCACACTACTCTGAAAAAAACAATGTTCTGTATGTTTGTAGAATAAGCAATATTGTATTGCTGTGACCTTCGGTCTGACTCAACAAAATTACAGAAGAACCTCGCTAATTCTTCTTTTATTGATCTACTTCTCAGTAAAGGTTTAGTGAGTGACACCTCACCCTGGCATGACTCCATTTAAAATTGTAGGACATCATCACACTAAGCAATCTTGCAAACTAAACTATGTTTGTTAATTGATGGCCAGTGCCTTTTGTGGTATTTTAAGCCTGGTTTTGTTTCTTACTCGCTAATTCGCAAAATCCAATAATCTCAAAGGGGATTCCCAACAGTTACTGCAAATTAGCGAGGTTCCCCACATCTGAAATCAAGAGTCAGTTTTGCAATTTCCCCCCCACATTCTCAAATCTCCCACATTATCCTTCATCTTTTCAACAACAGAATGGGCAAGGGAACCAGTCAGGATTATAAGCATTCAATAAAGGGGACAACAGTGCCTCAAAAACAACTTTGCATGGCACTCACTCCAATTCATTAAGTATCTCCCCCACCATGCACAGAGCTTCTTGAGTCCCACTTCCTAAGAGATAAGGATGAGACAGCATGCTCATGTCCCATCTGCATCCCTAGAAATCCAAGATGCACTTCCACCTTCTCAAGGGGTGGGAAGATAAGGACACAGTTATATAGTTCTTTGTTCTAACAGACCACACTAATTTAAAGAACAGCCAAGTGCGGCTCTGGAGCAGCCTACGCTAGCAATGTTAATGGTTCAATCAATGGCAAAGTTCAATCTTCCGCTCTTGTAAAGTAGGCTTGCAGAAAGCAACCCTCTCAACACTCATGCCTCTCAGTACCATGGCATGATTTTCCATTGTATACACAACACAGTCCATAATATGGAAAAAACAAGAGTGACAACTTGCCTACAAAGAGGTACAGAATGCAAAAAACTTCAGTGCAAGACCTATTCCTCAGGTTAACCAGAAATTAAAAAGAAGAGCAGGGGAGGTTATTTATTCCCAGGATAAGAAATCTTGTTTCTTGCTCTGCATTTTGAATACTTCACCAGCAGCCATAGCTTTTTTACAGTGCCTGCTAGCGATGTAGTAAAAAGGAAGCTTAATAAAAGGGCTGCCGACCAGACCAAAGTTTACTTTGGAATGTGAACTGTAACAGGGCTTGCCAAGTGTTACAGCCCACCACTAAAACAATCATGGGGCCTTTACAAAGTCTCATTTAACATTACTCTACTAGGCCTTATCTTTTTCTCTCACACATTTTTAAAAGTCCAGTCCTTAGCATGGTATCCACTGAAGGTGGATTATTGCACCTTGGACTGAATGTTATATTTTTTAAAAATATGGAAGTCAGCTGGTCCAACAGCCAAATGTTAATAAACCAATTTATAACCAAACAACTTTCATACCTCAAGAATAACAAAGAGCTCCTTAGTTATGAGCACAAACATAATTAAAACAGGATAGTAAAGAAGGTTCAAGGTGCTAGCAATTAGCTGAGTTTTGACTATTATACCAGTGCAAACCTCAATGACCCAGTTACCTGGATCTTTTAAAGATATCAGACATAACAGGCAGGACCTCTACTTTTAAGGTCTCAAAAGCATCTCCCCATTTCAAAAAAACAATCTTCAATTACTTCAATACATTTTAGAAGGGATGAAAGGCTGAATCAAACCTGCTGAGATTCAAACCTGCAGCTCCAAGAAGTCTAGGCATTGCAACCCTTGTGTATACACACCTACAACATCCACAGGGTTTGGCATCTAGAACTGATTTAATTTCAGTATGAAACATGAAAACTGTTGCTAGCATCAAGGTTGTTGATTTGTGTTCTCATCAGATGCTTTGAGCTAATGTACTGGCACAAGATTTAGCCCTTATGTAGGGAGAGATGAAGTAAATCTGTTTGTGTCCAAAATCAAAACACATACGTCCTCCTTCTTTTCCTTTTTCTTCTTCCTGGGATGAGAGTCAGACTCTTGGGAGGGGGCATTGAGCTCGCTGGAATATTCCCGTATTAATACTTCAATGGCCCCTTTAATTAGCTGGTCTCTTCTCTTTGCTTCTTCATCAAGGGCTTCTTCATCATCAGTCGTAGATTCTGGTCTGGAGTTCTAAAAACAACACAAATTTTGAAGTCAAGCATGTCCATATAGGACATAGCAGAACTGTGCCCAAAATATTTGCTGTATATGGGTTGGATAGCTCTGCTATATGAAAATAGAACTTGGATGTCTCAAGTATACTTAACATCATAACAACCAGCCTTATATGATAAGTTTACTCTGGTAAACAAGGGTAATACACAAGTGACAGCAGAATCTTACAAATCAGGGTAGAGCAAAATAGACTTATCAAAATTAGAAAAATATGCTAAAGTTCCAGAACACATGCACACATACACACCACATATATATCCTAATTCTTATATTTACTGTTGGAAGTGCACTGTACTCCCAAACAACAAAAATAACTGAAACAATAGCTGTGCGACAGATCTAGAACAGAAAATCTTTCATACAGTACCAACCATCTTATTATTTTTGTCTGACACAACTACAGGTATAGTTGCTAGTCTCTGCACCAGTCAGGTTCCTTACTAACAAACATTTTCCTCAGGAAGGTCCAAGTGTGCATGTGGGGTGCGTGTCCTTGGACACTGTTGTCCCAATGCACTCTGTGCCCCTTTAAGAAAACACCTGCCTACACTCACCTGTCCAATGCTCTCCTGCTCTCAGACTCTCCCCAAGACACACAGGATGCTCTAAGACAACAGTATAGGATGCTGGGACAAGGAGGAAGTATTTATTTGGCCCTGGATAGCTAAGGCTCTTTGGGCATCTCTGCCACATAGCTGACAACAAGTTCCTCTGAAGCTAGGTGGGTGGTAAGTTGTAAGTTGCCTTGCAACTGTTTGGATCTATCCCACCCTCTTCTGCAGCTTCAAAGTTGGGAGGAGGAGGATTGCTTGTCACACTCACAAAAAGGTGATACCACAATCTGTAGATTCTTTCTAACAATTAAATGAAGTACAGGATAATAGTCATTTTACACTTTATGGGTGTTCAAGGAATTACCCTATTCTGTATGGTCATGCAGTACCATTCAACGAGGTGAAAAATACACAAAGTTGCATCATACTAACCAAGCCTATTGATCATTTTATACATTACCAAACTTGCACACCAAATTTCTCTGGGATACATAACAAATTTCTGTATGCAGGCCATAATATGCTATGACAGTACATGTGAATAAACTGTTATGTGTGCTCAGAGGACATATTTGTAGAGCATCATGCATTATAACTTACATACAAGAATGGTTGAATTTTAATTTTCCAAGAGACTTCCATGCAGGACTTGGAACCTGTGATTCTGATTAGTCAATTACTGCTAAACATTTCTCTACAATTCTTGACTATTTGCATATTTTAACATTTTAGACTGCCTTTACACAGATGGCATACAAACTTTCCAAATGTTTTTTTTTAATTCATAGAATCAAACAGTAAAATACAGTAAAAAGTCCCCCACATCAGCTTGCTGGTTCCTCCTCTCAAATAGCCAGCAACTTAGGTAATTTGTGTTCTTATTTACAGATGAGAATCTGAGCCCAAGTGGCTGCAACTTGTTCAAGGCCATTCTCAGCTCTGAGCCTCACTGCAAGAAAAAGCTGAACTCATATGAAAAACAATTTGCATATTACATAAAAACACTTCCAGCCCATCAGATATACTTCACTGCTACTCTAAGTTACTTTTATGCCTTTTAAATAATTCCAGTTAAAAGAGGAAGGATATTAATATTTTATTTTTCATAAGCTTTAACAGTTGAGAAGTTCAAGATCTTGTTTAAAACAAAACAAAAAGGAATCTCACCTGAGAATCCAAGATGGGTATCCAGTCAAGTGCCAGGTAGAGGAACAGAGAGTGGGAAAAGGAAAGAGGCTCACTGAGCAGCAGCAACTAAGAAGTAGGGGCAGGAGGAGGGAGGGGATTTCAGCTGGAGTAGAAGCTGTCATGTCAAGGAGAAACGGCCTGAAAAGACTTAGAGGGTGGGAATGATGACTAGGTGATGTGAACAGAAAATAGGGTAACTGAAGTGCTAGTCAAGGATGAGGGAATTAACTAGATTCAGATGCTTGCTTGTTTTGGTTACTCTAGATTTTGAAAATAAAACTGCATTTTATACTTAATACCAAAATGTGAACCTTTGAATCCTGGCTGGAATATCAAAGATTTCCATCTGTGAGCAGCTACATGATATAACTAAACCATTTAAAGCACCACAGAAAATCAGTGATATTTTCTTTTCTTCAATATGGCTCATATGTAGCACCAAAATACTCCCTTTTCAGCCTGTCTAGGGATTTCAAAAGGTTATCTGTCAAATTTCTATCTTAATAATACAGTTAAACCTAGGGCGTGAATCATTAAACAATCTGTTTTAACCACTTTTTTCACTTTTGAAAGTTCAAAGATATAAGGACTTGTTCTCCTTTTGACAACTGCTGAGAGAGGTTTTCTGACATCACAAACCTTTTAAAAAGTGTTCCGCCATTTGAATCCTTTTTGTAATTATTTTTGACTTAGTAAAGTAATTGTTTTGATCAAAGGATTATTATTTTCTGCCAGCATGGACATTATTTACCCTTTCCATACTCTGTCATAGGGAAATGTGTGAATTGACTTCCTAATTAGGTGCTTGTGGAAGCTTCAGGAGAGTACAGCAACTTTGCAAGTCATGCAATACTGTTATGATAGTCTAAGATTAAAACTGTTAAGATAGAAGTTTTAAATAGTCACTTACTATTGTTCAGAGATCATATATTTCTCACATGTTCTTGGGTTAGGTCCCAGCCATAACCATAAGTTCTGGCCAAATTTTTAGAAAACCTATCTTAAATTAACCAAGATATAAAGTATTTGCTGTGAAGCTGTTTATTGCTTTTTTTTTTTTTACACAGATGTCGGTGTTTTATTTGCCTCCAGGCTCTCAGAAACTCTGAAGGGAACCACCAATAAAAGGATCCAACAAAACTGGTCATTTTTATATCTTCTGCTGAAGTTAAATTAAGATAGAATTTCTAAATATTTTCCTTGTTTGGATTTTAATTTGAAATGCTGCATAATCCTAGAAAAACTGAATTTTTAGCACACATTTTCAGAGATTACACATTTTTTAAAAAAGCATGATAGGTTGGTTGGAAGGCTTGGACTTATTTGCAAGACTGATATAATGGTCCTGTGAGAATGAACTCACTTTCTTTTCAGCTCTGTATATGTTTTAAGTTCTCAGCTAAGAACTAACTTGACCATTCTTGGAATTAACTATAAATTGCACTTTCTAAACTACATTCTTTATAATGTTTAATTTCTTAAAATTCTGTGCATCTATTATGCACATGTGTTGCCATTTTGCCTGTGGCAACACATACCTGCTTGAGTAGTCTGTTCTGTGTGCACATTCTTATTTTGAGTTTTTACTTCAGTATAGCCTTGAACATGATAGTGGTTTGGTAACACATACAGATGTGATTCCTGGTGGCATGGAGCATGCAAGCATGGGTACAACTATATAATCTGAATGAATGGACCATTTTTCGTACTGTCCATTTTCTGGAAACCATTGGAATCCTGCCTAAATCCCAGAATGTTATATTCCAGAGCTGTCAATCCTACTCTTGGTTAGCAAATTGAGCTGTGTGTATAGGATGCCCGATTTGTTTTATGGAAATGGTCAGATTTAGCCAGAGGGGTCTCAAGCTGCAGATCTCTAGCTTGCATCCTCAACAGAAATAAATGAACATAAATTTAAGTAAAAAATGCAGTTGGTTCTGAACTGGGTAATTTTGAAGTTTTTACTCAAAATTTTAATTGTGAAAATTGGAAACAAAGGAAGAGTGCTGTACCCATCTAAAGGAAAAAGCATAATATAGTCAGCACAGCAGATTAAAACAGGAGCAGAGAATAAGCAAAACAGGTTGAAGAATGAAGGGCATATAATGCCAAACAAACTCATTTCTAACTCAGTGATTTCCCCTCCTGGTTCAATGTAATCACACACAGCATACATACCCCATTGGAAGCCCTTTTCTTTGCCTTCCATTCATCTAGCTGAGCCTTCGTCTTGGCATCAACTTTCACAAGTAGTTTCTTTTCTCCAATTTGGAGATCATGCAATAATCTGAGTGCACGTAGTGTAGATTCTGGTTCTTTATACTCGCAAAACCCAAAGGCTAGAAATGAATAATTGAGATTTTAAATAAATTTAAAGTTACACATACACACAACCACACACAACCACAAGATTACCTTTAAACAGTAAATTGTTTATGGGTTGTTATACAATGTGGATAGCAGAGCCCTAGTTAAAGGGTTTATTTTGAAGTATCTGGAAAAATTGCAATCCTAGAAATCCAAGTAATGGCAACTCAGAACATGAAGACTGTATTCCGCAGGTGTGAGTTGGCTTTCATATGAAACCCCATTATGGACAGCCAGTTGCAGTCATTATTTCAAGAACAAGGGGTTGCTGCAATGTCACTGGCTACATAAGAGTCAGGACAAGAAAAGTAATCCTTCTGTATCGTGCCACCTGATCTACAGAAGGATTTACTTTCCCTGTCCTGACTCTTTTATGTAGCCAGTGACATTGCAGTGTTAACAACTGTGTTGGTACAGTATTGTTGGTCTGCTTGCACTATGCGATCAAACACCTAGATTACCCTAACCCTATACTTAGTCCAAGGGTAGGAAACTGTAGCCTTCCAGATATGTCTTGACATACAACTTCATCACTTCTGACCATTGGTCATGTGGGCTGGGACTGATGGGAGATGGAATGCAACAAAACAGAGATGGTCAAAGATTCTCCCCACACCTGAGCCCTTATTATTCAGTTAGAAACATTTCAGAAATCTCTCTTTCTCTCAAATGGACAAAAAAAGTACAAACCTTGAAGTTTTCCAGATGCACCTTGAACTCTCTTCCAACTCAAAACCAAACCACATTTCTGTAAAATATTGTTTTAAGAACAATGCTTATCAAGGTAATAGGTGAAAACTTATCAGGATAAGAAAAAAAGGCTTCCACTTTGGAAGATCTCAGCAAATTTAGTGCTAGCTGAAAAAACCCATTAGTTAAAATCCTATCAAAGATTAACATGTTCTTAATTAATAGCACTCTGTCAAGTATTTTATTTGCACAGTTCTGCTACTCATCTTATTCAATTTCCTCTTCAATTGCCTACCTAGATCATCTGTATTCATTCATTTAGAGTTGAAGTTTGCCTTAAAAGCTGTCCTCTACCTTCTAATAGAGTGCATAATTGAACAGAAAAGGACACTTTTTAGAAAGTATTTTTCATTGCTTTCTTTTTTAATCATTCATTGCTCTTCAAAATATGGCTTAAAATGAAATATAAATTCAATATTACCATCTACATTTATACTACCTTATAAATTATTCATGACCCACAATATAAAGACTGACTTACATTATCTTCTACATTAAAAAGGAACATATGGGAAAAGATAGCCTTTGGAGGTTAAATATGCTAAGCTGCTTGATACCACCTACTTCTGAGGTAACACTAAAACATCCACTAGTGTTACATGGGCTACCACTGAATTTCAGATTCATGCCTATTCTCTGCCTCCAATGCAGTCACAACAAGCTCAGAAATGTTTGTTTCTTGTTTTCAACTAAACAAAATTAGGGAACTATGGTTATTTTAAACTATTATTTGTTTAAACAAGCCATGATTGTAAACTATAATTTGATTCTTTGTTTGAATAAACCACAGTTTAAATTTACCACAGTTTTCCCCAGTTTCCATGTAAGAAAACTTAGGTTAGTTTAAAACAGGACACAGCTGCTTTTACTTTCCTCTTTGCAGCCCTCCTAGAGGGGGAGAAAAAATATGAGCCCAAATTTTACTGTTGTTCAATACATTGCACTAAGCCATGGTTTAATGTTACAGCTAAGTACGTTACATTAAGCTATGGTTTAGCATTACATCTGAACCACCCAGGACTACACAAGCATCAGAATCATCCTAAAATTCCACACAGGTGATCTAGGATAGTGCTGTAGTACTTATGAATTAAAAAGCATTATGATTTTATAACCCAAACAGTGTAACTATGTTCTTTCCATCTTATAGAGAAAAACCATTTTGCCGTTAGATTTAAATAATGCTGTTATGTTTGATTTGATGCAAATCAGATGGTTTCTATTTTGACAATTCTTTACAGTGCTTGCCTTGTTTTATGAATACTGCAATTTCATGGACTGTATCTGCACTGTTTGTTTTAAAGTACAAATGAGCTTTATCATTCACCATTTCAAAGTTTGGTTATGAATCAGCTAAAATAAATCCACCAATCTGACTTCTCTGCAATGTATAATGGGCTACATTCACCACCCAGCGACGAACTGATCCTAAAAAAGATTTTGGACTGTGCAGAAATGGATAGATTGACTTTGTCATTGAGGGAGAAAGAAGATACTGATTTCTATCAAACTTGGGACTCTTTTTATTATTGGCTAGAGAAATGGGACTTCGTATAGATTTAAATATGTTTTTAAGTTATCATAAATGGAAAAAAATGTGGGGGCTGACCCAGCAGGTCTGATGTTTCTGATGATTGATGTTTTTAGTTTTTCTTTGTTTTAGGGTTATTTTGAATAAAACTTATTATTAAAAAATGGGCTACATTCAACATAATTCAAATGAACATCCATTCATACAATGGCATTTGTCTTCTCCCTCTTCTATCTTGCAGGCCACACACCCTTGGAACTCTGCTCTGAGGATAAACTTTTACACTTGTTTGTGCTTAGTGGCAGGGCTAACATATTAAGTGCTTCTAAAAGCTGAAAACTAGAGAGGTTCTTCACATCCTACAGGGTATGCTTTGGAAGGTCCCTAACCTGGGGAAAGATCAGTGGGCTCCCAGACATGGATTCCAGAAAAGCTGAACTGGTAAGACCTGGCTGCACAATGGAGCAATGTAAGCAGCACTTTAAATCTTGTCCACAAGTAATATTTTAAATCAAAACAGAAGTCATAGGACAGACACTGGCTGATTCATCAGGCTCTAGTGTGCACAACAGAGGCCAATCTAATTAATCAATCCACAGTTTTCTGGATTGCATGCTGAGCATGAAATAGTTCTGATATGAATAAACTAATCCAATTGGCCTGACCATAGGCTGCTTTGAGATGTGCAAACCCAGACACCTTCAGTTCTTCATGGGTTAAATAACCTAATCATGGATTTGCTACTGATAAGCATGAGCCAAATTCCTAAGCAGCAAAATATCTGAACACCTTGCAAGAGTAAGTTGTAAAAGAAGATTAACTTACAGCAAGGAGCTGTCGTATAAGCATATCTGAAGCCTTTTCAGATATATTGCCTACAAAGACAGTGGTAGTGGGACCACTGTTTTCATCGTTTTCTTTGTTCTTTAGACCTGGATGTTCCTTTCTAACTCCCATATGCTTTCCAACCATTGACACAGCAGTTGGGACCAACACCTGAAAAAAGGAGAAAGAGTGCCTCCATGAAATATGAGAAGAAAGCAAGTTTGTAGGACAATTTATTAAAGCAAAATTAGTTGAAAATATAAGATTAATAGTGTCTTACATTTACACACTGGTAAAGCAACTGATATAGTTGTATTTGCAACATCTGAACCAAATATTATTTGGTACAAAGGAAAAAGTGACGATTCTAAGGTGCTGGGTAACACACCCTGTTTCTTTGCAAGAGACTTCATGTAATAGTTTGGGTGAATTCTATCTCATGCAAAACTCAAATTGTAATTCATATGTCTTTTAAAAAATGCGCACAGGAAATAAAAGTACAAATCAGAAACTCAGAACTTAAATATGTTACACTATTACAGCCTGCAATCCCATATGCATTCTTTCAAATTCAAATGTACTATCTTGAGAACAACTTTCTCTAAAATTGGAAGGAGCTTCATTAATGAAGTGTAGCAATTTTAAAGAATCTGAATGCCTAGGACCAATCTAACTGATTCCCTGAAAATCAAGGCTTATATCCCAAGAGCCAGCCTCCAAAAATGTGCTCTCTTTCTCCTCTTTCTGGTGAAATCCCAACACACCTTTCTTTGATCCCTTTAACCATTGTTCACCATTGCACCTCCTATAGAGTAAACCTGGTTCTCAATCTAACCAGGATTTGCATACCAGTTGAAATTTAGAAACCTGTCCAGTGATAGCCATACAGATCAGACAGAGATAGTGTCAGTGCAGATACAATGATCAACCATGGTCAAAAATAAAACAGAAAAGGAGGAAGGCATTTGTTCCAGAGAAGGAAGAGTTAATGGGTTACTGGAGATGGCTCTTTCATTGTAAATTATGATATGCAGAAAGCCAGTGTTACATCTGCAAAAGAGAGGAAATGAACATAATTATGATTAAACATTTGATGGATGCTTTAATATTTAACAGTGCTGCTACCCACTGCTTTATTTTGTATTATATTTTAATGCTATTTTGTAAACTGCCTTGATAAATTTTTGGAGTCATCACGTAAGCAAAGAATTTTTAATAGTAGCTTATACTATACTTACAGTTGGTGCAGGAGCCATAATACCCATTGGCACTGGAATCATTGGTGTCCCTGTGAAATGAAGAGGTTGCACAATTTCAGTACAAGAGTCAAATGAAAATGTACATTTTGTTCAAAACAGATATTAAACAGGTAAGACAGGAAAACAATACTAATAAACACTCCAATACAGGTGTTTCCCTATTAACACATGCCAGAAAGAAAATGAATTCTTAATTCTTAATAAATTCTTAGCTCTTAATTCTGATTTAAAATTCTTATTGAGCATTGTGGCAAAAATGAGGTTGTTATAACTTACCAGGAGGTACAGGTGGAGGAAAACCTGGGAACTGTGGAGGTGGAATTCCAGGCGGAAGTGTTGGGATACCCATAGGAGGGCGATTCAAGTGAGGTGGAAAAGACATTTTTAGCAGTAACCTAGAAAAAGTACAAACTAATCAGCTTCAAACGGTGCTTGATTCTACAGTTTACTTCCATTTGTATCTGTTTTTTCCAAATGGGTAACATACTTTAAACAGAAAATATAAAATCTTGAAATCAGGATTTTTCAAGCACATATTAGAAAAGAGAGTACATATTGTCTCTCACACTTTCCTCACTTCTACTTTTAAACCAAAAACTATGACTAGCTGGGTTATAGGTTGTCAATGTGGCATGCAGTCTTGGAGCCCTGGGCTGTCTAGTGCTAAATACAGCACTTAACCAAACAAGAAACCATCAGTTAACCAACTGAGGAGTTGTTTTATCCCTAAATATCTTTGCCCAGAGTTTGCACATCATGGTTATAGCCTGTAATCCAGCCAATTAAAGGCTATGGATTAAAAATGGATGTGAGAAGCATGCAGATGGCATTGCACTTGTTCACAGCAAATCATGGGTTAACTAATTGCTGTTAAATGTCAACTAGGTCAATCAGTATCGTGGTAGATCAGGAGGTTATGGTCTTTTCCCTGAATTATACATCTAAAAAGGAGCATGTCTTTAGATATGTAAGGTCTTAAGCCATTTAGGCTTCCATTTAGTCAAAAAGGGCAATGTGAGGCAATCATACTAGAGCAGTCCATTCTGAATCAAAACCCAGAATAAAAATGATCAAGATAGACATGCCTAAATATATTAAATAGGTCAAAGAGTCAGCGTGGTATGGAGATCTGGGTTCCAGTCTGCATTCACCCATGAAGCCCATTGGGCAACTCTCAGTCAAACCCACCTCATAGGGTTCTTGTTGTGAGGATATGATGGAGCTATGCAAGCTCCCTAAGGTTGCTTGTAAGAGGAAAAAAGATGGGATATAAATACAGTGGAATAACAATTAAACTGCAGTATACTTATAGTATATTTGAAGTCATTTTGGTATTATTATCAGTGGGGCAGAATCATATCCAGTGTAGCTGATACAATATACATTCGTTCCATTTTACTGCCTTCCAATTCCCCCTTCCTGATAAAACTATTCAATCCAATGAGTTCTGTATTATCTTCTTCCTAGATTTCCTTCTGGAAAGATGATATTCCATTGCTTTTCTCCACTATACTGTTAACAAACAGCAAACATAGTAAGTCTAGTCTGCTCTTAAGAAGCTTCTGCTAAAACAACAAGGAGATGCTGTTGATCAGTGGACTGTGTGACTAAGGATGGAGTGGGTCTGCAAACACTCCTTGTCACCTTCGATAAGCAGGTAAGTTATCCTGTTTCCCTGAGAATAAGACCTAACTGGAAAATAAGCCCTAACATGTTTTTTCAGGATGCTCGTAATGTAAGACCTATAAGGCCCAGTTAAGATTGTTAGCCAGACAGATGCATTTAGTACATCAATTGCAACACAATTTGGGGTTTGGAGAGTTATGACCATTTTCCGGAAGAAGATGACATGACTGCATTTGAGTAAATGTAGTTATTTCTACATGAATAAATGTAAATTGTTGTACATGAATAAATGTAAATAAGCCCTAATGCATCTTTTGGAGCAAAAAATTAATATAAGACCCGGTCTTATTTAACTTCAAGATAAAATAGATCTATTTTTTCCAAATCTAAAGGCAGCAACAGTAAAACACAGAACACCAAATTAAATTTCCTGGGTAAATACAACCATTTTCAACTGGCTTCAGAAAGTTGTAAGAGTCAGGGCTATTCATAGGAATAGTTTTACCAGGAAAAAAAGTCTATTCCCTGATCAACATCAGCCTGGTAGGACAACCAGAGAAAGGATTATAGCATTCTGCAAACACCAGCACTCTGAATTGTACTTGGAAGCATGTGGCAATCGAGCATATTTATTTAAAAACTGGTGCAATAGTTCATTTAACCGGCCACAATCAGCTACTTAGCTGCTGTGTTGTAAACCAACTCAAGTTTAAAAGGGTCTTCATGGGCAGCCTGATGTACAACATGTTACAGTAATCAAGTACTAATATTACTAGGGCATCAATAAAAGTAGCCAGGCTCCTTCTGTCTAGGAAGAATTATAGTTACAGCAAAGATTGTGGAAAGCATTTTTGGCCAACGTTGGATATTTGGTGTAAGAGCACTCCCAAACTATAAACATGATCCTTAACTATGTGTGGGAGGAATGCAATCTCTTCCCTAGTCACTGACCATTAACCAACAGTACTCCAGTCTTGTCAGGTTAGCAGAAACTTAGGAGTAGGTGTATCAGTTGACACTTATAGGATAGGGTGTCTTTCTGCTCAGCGTAGAAAAAGCTGGACAAAATCAGAAATACTCCTCCATCAGTTAAAAATAATTTAAACTTTTTTTTAAATTGTTACTACTGCCTTTTTTTCCTAATGGATTAATAACACATAATAATTTAAAATCAAATTTATTTAAAGCAGTCTTGGAAGTTATACGACATACAAATGATTTAAGCATTTAGCCCTCCATCCCAACTGCATCGTTCATTTTCTTGACAAAATTCATACTTAGCCATGACATTCTCTAGCATACATTTATCAATTAACTCACAGCTTCACTTATTCCACAGGGTTATTGTAAAGTTCTGAGAAAATTAGAGTGCAACCTGTCCTGAACCCTTGAGGCAGGTTAAAAAAAAATCTAAATAGACAAAAGAACTGCTAGTTCTTTAAACAAGTCTTAAGATTTTCTTCTAGTTTTTATAATTTTCTAAATCTGTTTTAAATTTGGTTTTAAATTTTATAATGCCTTAATATTATAAAATATTATTATAAATATAATATATATATGGCACTTACATCCATATATGCTGGACCGCCCCTTGAGATCTGCGGGAGAGGCCCTTCTCCGGGAACCCTCCGTGAAAGAAATTAGGAGGGTAGGTACTCGGAGGAGGGCTTTCTCTGCGGTGGCGCCCAATCTATGGAATGTGCTCCCCAGAGGTCCGCCTGGCGCCGTCGTTATTTGTTTTTCGGCGCCAGGTGAAGACCTTTTTATTTAAACGTCATTTTAATTGTTAACAATATTTACTTATTTATCTGGCCAGGGCGACTTCTTTTCTTTTATAACTTCTTTTATATCTTTTATATTTTTTATTTATTTTATATTGTTAATTTTAATTTTATATTGTTATTTTTGTATTGTATTGTAAGCCGCCCCGAGGCTTTGGCAAGGGGCGGCATAGAAATGTTCTAATAAATAAATAAATAAATAAAATGATGCATTTTATTTGTTGTATGTATTTTATAACTTGTGAACTGTCCAGAGAGCTTTGGTTGTTGAGTAGCACAGAAAATAAAATAAAATTAAATATATAAAGACAAGACAAGACAGAATGTATTTAGATCCCAAAGCACTCTCCACAAATGTGAGAATTCATAATTATTTCCAATGATAGCTCCAGAACAGATATACATGAGCCCAAAGGATACAACCAAATTCTGTATGATATGCAAGAGTGAGCTGCAAATGGTTCACTCTGCCCCCACCCCTGCAAATACCCGTTTTTTGAGGAGGAACTACAATGAATGAGGAAAAGTATCTTAATTCTTTCATCCTTTTTTCTTTTTTGGATTTTTTTTTATCTCCAGTCAAGGGGAGATAGAGGAGCAGTACATATGAGAACTAGCCAGATGTAACTGAGGTGGAAAGCCGTGATGTGCTATATTTTTGTACAGATCCTGCCCCCATTTTTAGAAATGAAGTATTTCATAAAATAATGAAAGATACAGAATGAGAACAATACATGTCATTTCAATAATCAAACTCGTAAGAAGCCTTTTCATGTAACTATTAGAACAACGTAAGTTTTTGTACACGGCTCTGCAGTGATGCCAAAATCCGTGTGTTAACTTTTTCGTGTCTTCAATTTGTTTTTATTCTCTAAGGGCGAAAGCATTTTTTCACTGATAAAGCTGCTTCTGTCAGTAAGACAGGGAGAATTACTTCTATTCCCTGTAACTCCCATATATACCCTTAAATTCTACTTTCAAGGACTGGGGGTGGGGGGAGCTGCTGGAGCAGATTTTTCAGGAGAGCTACAGGGAAAAAGGAGAGAAGACAGCCCTACACAAGAAGTTATTTCAAATATACTGGATTCCATACTAGATAATCAAATGTGCAATCCCATGGGTGGTGGCCTCAGTGCTCATAAGCTACTGCGCTCAGAGGCTTATGAGCATCCTGTTCAGAGTGGGAGAAGCTGCAGTGGTGATCTTCACACTTCCTTCTCTACAGTTTTGCTGGACAGTCTTTTTTTTTTTTTTTTTTTTTTTTTTTTGCTGCATAGCTGGGTAATTTGGAGAAGAGGGAAGGAGGCTGCAGAACATACAGGATAGCTTGTATTCTAGCTTTGCAGTCCCCTCACTTCCTGCCCACTGGAACATCTCCCCACACATCAGGAGAAACAGCAGGCAGGTTCTTTCCATGGGTGGGAACAGGTAGGAAGGAGAATTAGAGCACAAAACAAAGCTGCCATTTCCAGCTTCAGATCTGGGACTCTGAACCACCCTTTGGACCCTCAAATTATCAGCATCACCACACTTCATTTATATCCCGCTTTTTTCCCTCTTGTGAGGAAACTCAAGATGGCTTCCATAGCTCCCTTTTATGCTCACAACAAAACCCTTGTAAAACCCTTACACTGAGGGCTAGTCTCCAGGTGGACTCCAATCAGGCAATTGGTCCCCTTAGAACTACCAGTAACATGCCATCCAATGACCTCAGTGACTCCTCATTTTGGTAAGGGAGACTGCACTCTCTCAAGTATCCTGATCCCAAGTTGTTTAATGCTTTATACACTAATACCAAAACTTTAAACCTGACATGGTAGTGAATGGCCAGATGGTGCCGTTCCCTCAGCAAAGGAGCTGCAGGTTGAGAAGTGGCAGCTCCTTACAACAGCTGAGCTTCTGAGTTCTACATTAACTCCTGCACCAACCTTAACAGTAGCTCACTGTATAGCATCCCACAGTAATCAAGTATTGAGGTTACTAGCCACTGCACCACTGTGGTCAAGCTATCAGGAGTGGTTTCCTGGTAAGAGATGGTAATTCTGTGCATTAAAGGAATTCCCCTCATCCCCTGGCCCTCTAGGCTACTCTGGTGCTGCACAAAGTCAAGACAGCCCCATCCAGGTCATTCACCCAAGTCTTGGTAATACATACCAGGTCAGCCTTCTTATCCCTAACTAAATCCAAGCCACAGCATGTTGATATGCTAAATTACTCCCAAGAAGCTATGTGTATGTTTTACTGTATTAACAGAATGTGCAATTTTAAGAAATTGCACACTGAAGAGTAAAGATAGTCAGCAAGACTCAGAATTACTTCACTGCTTTAGTTTCAGGAGAGAAAAGCAGTATTATTGTGTACTGATCAAGCACAAAATAGCTGTTTTGCAGGAGGGCTACCAGGTACTACAGTGCTAGAGGAAAAGCAAGTCCACATCTAGGGTCCCCAACATCCATATCACTAGTAGAAAGCAACGGGGACCAAGTTTAAGTGCTGCAGGAATACGTTGATTGCAATATTGGGACTGAAGATTACAAGAACTGCATTAATATATGCGTACTGCAAGGAGGCAGGTTTAGACCAGTGGAAAGTATATACAAACATTTTAGCAGTAGGAGCAGAAGAGACAGGCATAAGCCTGGAAATGCTAAGGTGGAGCAGGTGGGAGAGGGCAAGGCTTCCCAAGAATTTAGGCATATAAACTCCCAGAATATTAAAAGAAAGATCTATCCTGGTCAGAAATACAGTTAAATGTAAATAACAAAAGGTATGCTGATGGATAAACTAGAACTTTGTCCTGTCATTATTATTATTCAGTTCATTTGTATACCATCCCATAGGCATAGACAAAGGTCTCTGGGTGGTTTACAACAATTCTGAATGCTGGCAAGATAGCTAGACACAGGGAAGAGTAAGAGAAACTGGGATATTAATGCTGCAATTCTACACATGCTTACCTAGGAGTAAGCTTTACTTAACAGGACTTACTTCTGAATACTCATGTATATGATTGTACTGTACATTTGAAAACTATGTTAATGAGTTTATATTATAATATGAAAAGAGAAAATAATGGGTTAATGGTTTAATTCTCTATATCATCTACAACTTGAAAGAAATAAGACCATCAAGACAGCAAAAAAAAAAAAAAAAAAAAAAACTGGGAGGAAAAAAGCCCTTGAAATTTAAAGACAGTCATTACAAATGTGTCATGCTTCTAGATTATTCTGTATTACTCTCTTGCTGAAATAATTTTCAGAACTATATCAAATCACTTTACAAAGTTTTAAGACATCTATAGAAAATCTAGGTCATGGCCATATACTAGGCAAACCTTGAATATAATAAGCAAGTTATCCGCAAAAGTTTTAACGATACTAACATTGATAGCACAAAGAATCAACGTTACAAAAAAGTAGTTTTAATATATTTAAAAATGAATCTATGCTGATTACATTGTATAGTTTAAATTATTTAAGATACCCCTATTCTGTCAGCACCATCTCAGTAGTTTTAGTTTTTCTTCAAATAGCAGTAATGTACTCATAAAATATATCTACAAACTGTAATGTAATTGGTTTTCACTATAATGCAAGTAATTCTAATAACAGAAACTGGATACAATGCACTTAGAATTTTTTCTTAGTTTCTTACCAATGTACTGTTTAACACATAAGTGACCAACTGGTTTAAAAAACATGTGAAACAAACAAAGCATAGTTAACTATGTGGGGTTAATTTATTGATTTGGTAACCTTCCAGGTAGAGTATGGAAATGCTATGAACATAATCTCTTGACTTCAGCAAACCTTTTGATAACATGCCCGATATTCTGATTAGCAAACTAGCTAAAAGTGGGCTAGATGAAACAACAACTATCAGGTAACTCAACAGTTGGCCACAGAATCAGGATTCAGTCTTGGGCCCAGTGCTCTTCAACATTTTTATTAATGAGCCAGTGCTTATCAGATTTGTAGAGGACACAACCCTGGGTCGGACAGCTGACAGAAACAAAATTTAAAGTGATCTCGATAGGCTGGGTTGCTGAGATGAAAACAACATAATGAAATTCAATAGGGATAAATAAGTTCTGCATCTAAGAAAAAGCAGCCAAATGCATAGTTACAAGATGTGGGATACTTGGTTGAACAATACTGCAACTGAGAAGAAACTTGGACTTGTTGCAGATCACAAGCTGACAGTATGGTCAGATGGCACATAAGATATCCGCCATATTGAAGCTAAGTAGGTCTGGGGTGGGCCTGAGCTTGAAGGGAAGACCACCTGGAACCACACAGAGGCACCGTGACTTTCACAAGGGAGGAAGGCAGGATAATAAATAAATAAATAAAAAAAATGTGATGTGGTTGCAAAAAAGGGTAAATGCTATTTGGGGCTGCGTTAATAGAAATATCACTTCCAAATCATGTTACGTAGTTGTTCCCCTCTGCTTGGTACTGCTTAGGTCTCATCTGCAGTATTGTATCCAGTTCTGAGCACCACAGTTTAAGAAAAATGCAGTCAAACTGGAAAGGGTTCAGAAGAGGGATACATGGATCATCCTGGGACTGGAAACATAAGCCCTCTGAGGAAAGATTGAAAGTACTGGGCAAGTTTAGATTCCAGAAGACAAGACTGAGGGGAGAGCCAATGGAGGAGGTCAGGATCTCTTCTCAATCTCCCCAGAGTGCAGGACATGGAATAATGGGCTCAAGTTACAGAAGCCACACACTGGCTGAACTTCAGGAAGAACCCCCTGACTGCTTGAGCAGTCAGCAACTCATTTCCTAGAGAGTTTGCAGGATCTCCCATACTACAGACATTCAAGATGCTGCTGGACAGCCATTTGAGAATGATGGTTTAACATGGAGTCCTGCACTGAGCAGGGGATGGGACCCGGTGGTCCTTTTCCAACTCTACTATTCTATGATTCTGTGTTTTGTATCTGGACAAGATATGACAAGTGAAATATTCACAATTGTAGTTTTCCATGTACTCTCTTGACACATTTTACAGTTCACACTGGTTCTTTAAGTATTACTTAAGCTATAAAGTTGCACACCTTATCAGCATTTAATTTCAAGTATATGCTTTTAGGCTTTAATGTCAAAGCTTTTAGGGCTTAAAACATGCTTTTAATACACCCTTAATGGAGAACTTTCATTGAAGATGTGCATTTATACTACTGGAACATGCCATGGCTTTGTCTGCACTCAAGAACAATAAACCACTGATTAAAATGCATCCATGATCAATCCTAAGCACGGCATGTGGGTATGTTTACTTATTTCCATGAAGTTATATGTATATTTTGACACATGAATAGAATCTGCAGCTTCAAAAAATGCTAAGGAAAATAAAGTCAGTGAGACACAGGATCAGCTCACTGCTTATGTTTCAGCAGAGAAATTGATCAATACAAAAGTACTGTTCTACGGAAATCAGACATTCTGATAAAATCACATCTAAAGGTGACATTCTTCATGTGGTGACCCAGGAGCCCGTGCAGTTCACCCCTTGATGCTACACGAAATCGAGCCCGAAGCAGGCACACCGTACATCAGACCTGCGTGGAAACGCACAAGGAGCAAGGGATGCAGGATCACCTATTCGAGGGCTTTCCTCACACCGGTTAAAATGTGCTGCCTCTGAAGGCTTTCTAGAAAACTCTTTTCATTCCAGTACCCCAAATCTTTTCCCTTCCTGTTGTAGGCTATATAGCAAAGTAATAATTTAAAAAATGAAACAAAACCCAAAGAGGAGCACCCGCGTTTTGCACTCTGCGCCCCGCCCCCGAGAGAGAGAGGTAGGGCGCGGATTCTCTCCCTCGTAAGGAGGGGGGGTGACCACCATCAACCCGCTCCCGCCCCCTGCCATGGTGGCGTCCGGAGCCGCAGGTGCCCTAGGCCGGAGCAGCGCCTTCCCCGTCCCTACCTCTCTCCGGTTTCTTTAGGAGGATTAGAGGCCCGGCCGTTGCCCGCCCCTCGCCTCAAGTGCTGGCCAAGAGGCCTGTTCCTTCCGACGTCTCAGGTAGCCCGGCAAAGGCAACTAGGCCGCGAACTCACCGCGCAGGGCCACAGGCGCCGCCGCGTTACGCTACTGGTCATGTGAGCCCCCTTCGCCGAAAGACCGCCCCACGTCGCGCTCGCCTGATCATGGAGATACGAAAAGACTGTCACGGCTGCACGTAGAGATAGAAAAGTGCAGAACACGGTTCCTCAACATGGAGGGCGACCACTCCCATCGTGGCTGGGGATCAGAACAATTGTACACGATCACTTTGAAGGCACCAAGAGGTGAAAGACTGCTCTAAGACTTCCTTCTTTAGCTCTTAGGCATCTCTACTGTTGAACACCTTTTCCCTACCTTTTTGCTGTGAGGCTAATAGACTCGCCCATAAGGTCTGACATGGAAATTGTATTTGGCGCTGCCGGGAAGGGAGAGCGATTTCCCAATCTGTCCAACAAAACAAAACCGAGTTACACAGAACACGGACTCCTTCCACTGCTTCAACATTTATTTCTGCGGGGTAGGACGCGCCGCTGCCTAGTAACAAGTATTCTAGATTCGCCACTGTTTCCTGTGGACGGAGGTCTCCGTTTTCGCGCAAGGGAAAGCGGGAAATTACGTCAAAAGCAACAAGGAAGTCTCTATAACGGACAATAGATTCGTAAGCTTTACCTCCTGCCCAACTCCGCGACTGAAAGGTACGATGGTTCTCTCGCCATTTTTGTTGTGGGCCGATTGCACCGCACGCTATTTTGCGGAGAGCCGCCATCTTGAGGTCAACCCTGAGGTGCTGGGAAAGCAGCAACTTCTTCGTACATACGTTCGTTTATACGTAACACAGGATACCAGCACTTAAGCGGGGTTATCAGAGCCGTGCTTGGAACATTCGTCTTCGGTAAACCGAGAGCCTGTGTAGTGTAGTGGCTAAAAATGCAGGACTGGGTCTCAGGGTTCCTGTGCCCATGCAGCCATAAGAGTTCACTGGGTAAAACTGGGCCAGTCAAAGACACGTAGTCCACCCTACCTCACAGGGTTGTTGTGAGGATATTGAGGAGGAGAATTATCCAAGTCTTGAGTTCCTTGAAAGGAAAAAAGGCAGGATATAAAATGTACCAGCACAACCACGATAAACTTGAGAGACCCCTAAACTGTAGGGCTCCCTGCAGAGGTCCATTATTTTCATCCACTTTCTTAGCCCCTGCATGGTGTGGCTTATTCCTAGATAACAAAGTTGTGGTGTCCTGATAAATAGTAGCTTCTTTTAGGTGTCACTTTTATATTCTGTGTAGATTCTGCATCCATTCTTAGCTTCACAGCAATTTTGTAGATTAAGCAGAGAAGTTTAAAGGACAGTTTAAAACTATTAAGATGGGATCCTGATCTGATAAGGAAAGGTATGCTTGGTTTAGATATGGTAATGTATGCCTGCCCTGAATCCCCCTGCCCCTTTTTGTCCCTTGTCTTATTTCAGTCAACCATTATCACTTGTCTCTTACAAGCTGACTACTATATAAGCATACTGTGCAGAATCCTCCTTCATCCTCCCTTGTGGGCAACCTACAGCCTGCATGTATTTCCTGTGTGTCTGAATAAACTGTAATGTTCATTTGATTGTACACCCCCAGTGTACTTGTTCGTTGTCTCTTGATCTAACTGATATACGGTCACTTAGTGAGCCTGGCAGCTGAGTAGAAATTGAGTCTCTCCAGTCATAGTTCTACACTCTTACTACTGCTACACTTTAGCAAATGTACACCCAAGACCAGAGCCAGGTTTTTACAAGTTGTTCATATTTCCATAATAGAAAATTTAAGGTGCAATTCCATGGAGTTATAGGACATTTTGTGTTTAAATATGCATAATATTGCACTCTTACACATTTTTCTAGAATTTTTGTGAATTTGGAATGTGTGTGTGTATATGCATGCATGTGTAAATAAAACTGAATATATTCTAACTACAATTTTTCATGTGATCAAAGTGTTTCTGGGGGCTGAAACATGTAACAAGTTTGCTTCCAAACAAGGACAAGGAGCAGAGTACTAAGAAATGCAAGGCATAGGCCTACAGCCAATGGACACTGTCTAGGCAGTCACAGGATAATTCAACATCTGCTCAAATCTTAGAGAACTGCTTTGAGGTTGGAGCTGTGATTGCAAATGTTAAGCACCCTCTTTTGACCCCCACAGCTGATTTTTCCCATGCTGAATGTTTCTCCAAAATCACAAGAGCAACCTTGGAGCTAGCATGGGGAACAGGGAGGGCAAGAGTGAAGCACAGCCATCTGTTTTGGAGGGCGGGAAGAGCACTGAGACAATTCAGTTCTGCACTTCTACCCTCCATTGGATACCTGTAATCCTCCAAGTTGAGAAGGTTATGGGCAGCCACACTGGATGGTGCCCAAAGTTCTGTTGCAGAAATCTAATTCATGGTGTTGATATTTTCACTGTACTTGTGCTTGCTTACAAGCAACAGCAAGCATGGGTTAATGCACAGGAGGATTCCTCTAGCAATGCAATAATTTTCAGATGTTTTATAATGCAGTATGGATCCAGGAAAACATGAGGCATCTTTGCTGGTTCCAGACACTCCGTCTTCTTCTCTGAAGGTTTCTCAAGTTATTATTTTGCAGTTATTAACTGATTTGGAAGGCGACATGGAAGTATAACTAGCTTCTTAGTGTGACTGAAATTCTTAGGGTGGCTGAAATTATGCTGCAAAACAGTAGCAAGATGAGACTTTAAAATACAAAATAAGCTTCATTTAAAATATCAAGTTGTTCTGGTTAATGGGTTTTAATGATAAGCTCAACTGAAATGAGACAAATCCCTGTAAGGTTAATTAACAATACCTGCTCAGAGAATAGCCATGTCAGTCTCTTGCAACAAAAATAAAAGTGTGTCTTCACCTTAAATACTAATGGCTACATTGTGGTACACATTTGAAAGCTAAAGTTGTTTCCAGGTGGTTGATTCTAAGTGCTATCAAGTTAAAAGGCACTCTGCACCAATGCCAAGTTTACCTCTTTAACAGGCCCCCCTCTTTTTTTAAGTAAGAAAAATGGAATAAACAGTAGGAAAATGCAGAAGCTTTACAAATGGAAGGCAAAGTAGTCCCTCTGAAAAATTCCATGAGTGTGGCAGCACAGCTGCATAACAGAAATCTCATCTAGGAGTTCATAATCAAATGCACAAGTACACTCATAACTGTAGCTGTGTCTACTGAATAGGTGACTGATCCAAAACCTATTGGATCAGTCACCAATGTGCAGTATGGCCTTGCAGTGTATTATTAGGCAAATCACCAATTGAAATTTACCACTTTTTAAACAAAAATGTCTTCTGAAATTCCATTGACTGGGATAGTTTTCATGATCAAAATAAGCCAATGTAATCTATTGAAAACATGGTGGAGAGAAGGCTTGATTTCTATAATCACTGCCTTAGTGTGGCTTGCTTTATGTCCAAACCCAGGCGGTATGCTTTCTCTTAAGGGGTTGGTGGGTTGCAATAGGGCAAGTGTGTGTGTGAGGCACTGGTACTGGGCACCATTGCAGGGTCACTGCCAGGAGTAAGAGTCACAACAGCAAAATGAGAATGGTGCTGGGGTGGAGAAACTTCTGAAAAACAGCTAGTGGGCAACAGTGATAGTTGCAAGCAATGCTGGCAGATGATCTTTCACAGAGAACAAGCTAACTCTGGTTAGGACTGTGGAGAAGGAAGATGTGATAATCCACTTCAGATTTATTACCTTGAAAACTTATAATGAAACTATCCAATTTGAAGCAAGAGGTAGTGCCAGAAGAAGAGACGCCTCCAGGTTGGAAGGCACTTTATGAACTACTGGAGAAGGGCACAGGACAAATATAAATAATGAGGCTACTAGCTCAAAACCAAAAGGCAGTCTAGTGGCTGACATGCACAGAGGTGAAAGAAAAATCTGATGTTGCAGAACACATACAATTGGGACATGAATGTGAGATGTATGAACTGGAAATCATAAAACTAGAAGTGGAAAGAATGAACATCACACTACTTGGTGTGAACAAACTAAAGTGGACTGTAATGGGACATTTCTAATTAGCAAACACAAAATGCTTTACTCCAGAAATGACAAACTTAGAAGAAATACAGTGACTGTAATACTGAGGCAAGATGTAGCACAGGCACTAAGAGGCTATAATGCAAAATCTGGCAAAATAATGTCAATCAGAATTAGTATTAGATGGCTATCAACATAACCATCTTTCCAGTCTACAATCCAGTAATAGATGCTGAATAAGAAGAAATAAAAACGTTATGCAAGTGTTCAAGAGGGAATTGATAACAGACCAAAACAAGACACATTGCTAATACAAGGTGACTGGAATGCAAAAGCAGGAAACAAAGCAGAATCAAATGCTATAGGAAAATTTGGTCTAGGGATGTTGGGAGTGAGAAAGATGGCTGTTTTGGGCACTTGTTCTCAAGGACTGCTGGCTTGAGAAAGTTCAGAATGTGAAGCAGAACTGAGGCAAGTCTGGAAATATGGGCCAAGACTCTGAGATGAGAGAAGCAGAGATGCTTATTTCAAGGCTAGACTCTCCAGGTGGGCAACAATCCCTGGGAATAACCAAGATGTACAGCTGGAGGGAGGATCCAGAGCAGAGGAGTTTCTCAGATGTAGATCAGGCAGCCCTGGCTCTTTATCCCATGTCATGGCATCAGCAGAGGAAGATGACCCAATTAGAGGAGAAGATTAGCTCATAGACAGGCATAGAAGGACCCTCCCTATGGGATGGGGCCCAGGCACATTCACAAGGATAATTCCTGGAAGTGGTTACAAGATTGGGTTCAACAAACTGCTCTGTGCCTGCTCAGAGATTCATTCTGGGCGTTTTGTGCTTTTTGGTCAATAAAGAACACTTCATACAGAAAATGGTCTATTGCTTGAATGCATGAAGGAAGAATCCCATCTCACAACAAGGGGTAAAAATGAAGCAGAATTACTTGTAAAATTTTGTGAAACCAACTACCTGTTCATTGCAAACACATACTTCAGGCAGCGACTCAGACTACTGTATACATGGACTTCACCAGATGGACAATATAGAAATCAAATAGATTATGCAATTCGAAGATAAAGAGGCTGTATTCTTGTTGCCAAAACAAGACCAGGTGCAGGCTATGCTAATGATCATCAGCTCTTAATTTCAAAAATCAGAGTCAAGCTAAAAAAGATCACCAAGATAAACATAGTGACAAAATATAACTCAAGTAACATCCCTGAAAAAATTAAAGTTCACATAAATAATAGATTTGTATTATTCAACTTAACTGACCATGAGCCAGAAGAATTGTGGACTTAAACCAGAAATATTAGAGAAGAATGCCAAAAGACAATTCCTGTAGCAAGAAAGGAAAAACCCTACATGAATGACAGAAGAAACACAGTTACAAAAGACAGACAAGAAGCAAATGGTGACAGAAATAGGGTGAGAATCCTGTATGCAACTTTTCAGTGACTATCATATGGAGACAAAAAGAACTATTACAATGGCCGGCAGGAAGAAATAGGGGAGAGCAACAAAGGAGGAAAATCAAGAGGCCTCTTCCAAAGACCTAAAAAATTAAAGGGAAATTCAAACCTAGATTAGGTATGTTAAAAGACAAACAAAGGAGCATACTTTCTGCCCAGAAGAAAATAAAGAGAAGGTAGAAAGAATACACAGAGGAACTATACAAAAGAGAAGAAAGGATGACAAACTTCTTCGAAGTGGAATCCTATGAAGAAGAGCCTGCAATATTAGAAAGCACAGTGAAAGCTGCTCTTGAAAGCACTTGCAAAAAATACAGCACCTGGAGTAGATAGGGTTCCAATAGAATGATTCCAAGCTGCAGAAAACGAATCAGTCTAAATCCAACAAGAATATGCCAGCAAATATGGAAAAAAAAACAATGGCCCATAGACTGGAAATGTTCAGTATATATTCCAATCCCCAAGAAAGGAGAGGCAAAGAGTGCAGCAACCATTGGACCATTGCATGGGCCAATGTGATGCTCAAAGTGTTGCGACAAAGTATAGTATCCTACATGGAGCAAGAAATGCTGGATTCCAAAAAGGAAGAGGCACTAGAGATCATAGAGGTTATGGAATATGCTCCCCAGGGAGGTTCATCTGGTGCCGAGCCTATACTCTTTTTGGTGCCAGGTTAAAACCTTTTTATTTAATCACTATTTTAAAAATTAATATTTTTACCATTTACAGTCACTTTTACTTATTTGGTTTTGATTGGATTTGTTTTGGGTTTTTGTTAATTGTATCATATGGTTCGATCAATTGTTTTATGGTTTTGCTTTTAATCATGTAAGGCGTCCTGAGACACGATAGTGAAGGACAGCATACAAATATTTTAAATAAATCAATAATAATTAAAAATAAATATTAGTAAATATACATTGGCTACTGGAGTGCACCACAGAATATCAGGAAAAACATCTGTCCTTTATAGACTACAGCAAAGCCTTTGTGTGAATCAGGAGAAGCTATGGATGGTTCTGAAAGACAGAAAAAATAAAATATGGTAAAATATGATGCAGAGAGATGCTCCTTGTATTGGTGATGGCTGGTTCTCGTCTTTCCTTGTTCTGCTTTCCTCTTGCAGTTTTGCATCTCAGGAAGCTTTCACATTAGGGCAATTATGCAATTTTACTCTCATGCACAGAATTTTACAGGGGTCAGATGATGTTGCCTTCCATCTGTGTCCCTTTTGAGTTTTTTTCTGCTGCTTCTTCTGACTTTTGGAAAAAGCTATTAAAGAATAAAAGTCAATGACTGCAAAATGTCTTTTGAGTGTTAGTGCTAGAAGCCCTCTGTCTAGAAGTACCCTCAGTCTCCTCTCTAGAAAGATTGTTTTACCCTAACTCACTGGAACCCAGCATAATGTAAACAGTCCACAAGGGAAGAAACAAGCTTAATATGGTTGGGGCTGGAAAACAACAGGGTGAGAGCATGTAAAAAATAAAAGGTCTGCAAGGAGATGGGGAGGGGTTGCTGCTACCTGAAACAGTAAGGAAAAACAATAAAATGAAATTTATAATATGCAGGAGGTAATTTTGTTTTAATGCTGAAACTGGTTATGTCTTTCCATTTCCTAACTGGAGGGGCCAACACGGAGTAAAGTGATAGGCAGGCCAGTGCCTACTCAAGAAAAGATGGGAATATGTCTTGCCCTAACTGGGCTCACACTGAAATTAGCCCCCTGGCCTTGGTCTTATTTGACAGGATGACTAACCAGGATGTGCTTTCTCTACTGTATGTTTGGGAACTAGTGTAAAAGTAAATCCAAGTTTTATTTATAGAACCCCTGAAGGCACAATTAAATTTAACTGATGGGCTTCATTCTTGGTTGTATAGAAGTCCTAGTGTTTGGAAAGAAGTCTATAATCTATCAAAAAGTTGGAAACAAGGACTCATAGTAGTTAAACAGCAGGTGCTTCCAAAGGCTTTTATGGCTGCTTCACTTTATTTCATTCACAGAAGTTTATAGTGTGTCGAGAATTTGCATTCTGCTATTGTGCCTGCCATGTTTCTTCTGTCTTTTACCTTAACTCTGTAAGCACCCCTGAAAACTGCTAAAATTATTTGCTTTTAAAGAATTCTGCAGCCTTTGGAACCCAACCTCTCAGACTGCAAGAATATGGAATGGGCTTCCAAGGTAGGCCCCATCAGTGAGGGCGTTCAAGAAAAGACTGGAAAACCACATGTTGGAGATTACATGAGGTTGGAGCCGGTTGGAGCCAGGGGTCAGACTAAATGGCTCGGGAGACCCCTTCTGACTAGCTTTCTTTCTATGTTAAAGTTGCAAAGAAATGTCTACCGTCTTTTCCAGTCATGAAGAATACATCCATCCTTTCTTAAAGAATGAAAGGCGTGTGCTACTGACAGCTGCACAAAATAAGGTTAGAAGGATTTATACATGCTTTGCAAACGTGAAAAGATCGCTTTGGGATTCAACACCAGAAGACTTAGCGTCGGATTATGGGGTCTGTTGCCATCTCCTTCCTCGCTCCTGAGCCAAATGGTGCATCGCAGTAAACACTTATCTTCCATAAATGTGAGGGCTCACCTCTCCTAGATTCCTTCTCACGACATAAACATTCCCCTTCGTCCCTCTCCGTTACACAACAGGCTAAGTCGCATCGACCCCACCCCGACACTCTCCTCCTACTTCTACCGTGCGGTCGCAGTTGGTCACGATTACGAGCCTAGGGACTATCGAAACTACGGCTCCCAGCATGACTTGCAATCTCTCTTCATTCCTCCCTGCTGTGCACATAGGGACATGTAGTCTAGTTGTGGCATTGAACGTGGTTAAAGTAGTAGGCCTAGGTACTACAACTCCCACAATGCACCTGTCTTCTTTCTTCTTTCCTGCTAGATAGCTCACCTTCCTGTCTTGGAAAAAATAACCCTGAAGTTCCCTGCGATCAGCTGATCAACACTGACAACAAGGGGAGAAGGAGGAGAAGAGCTTGGGACTGACCCTCATACCTCCTGGGGGTATCAGATCTACACGGTGGGGTCAGATATTACAGGAGTTAAATCTTATTTCTGCGGAGGCAAGGAAGGATCCTCCTCGTCCCGTCCCCCCGCACCCCGCACCCGGATCCTTGCAGTTAAGAGGAGGAGGAGGAGGAGATTTCTTAGTCATTAAGACTTGCAGGGAGGAAGAGGAAAGGTGCTGCTGTTTTGTAAGCAACAGCTCTGGCTGTTTTGTTCCTAAATGTAGCCTGTTGTCTCATTTGTTTCTTTGCGACTACCCCAATATTCTCATGTATAGAAATATTTACTAGTACTTCAAAAGGAATAATATTAGCTGAACAGTATTTTCCTACTGTGGTTTAAAATAATTTAAGTAAACAACCCGTTAGATAGGCATTTTGTCCTTATTTAGGCTATAACGGACTGAGGGCTATTTACTGGGCTTTAAGGCAAGGGCTCGCCTTGAAAGCAAGCCACCCAAAAGTGTAAACAATGAAGAAATAGGCCTACTGGAACCTCTTGCCCTCACCCTCGCTGGCTTAAGGATTGCTTAAATAATTTATAAATCATTGTTACTGCCTTGTTTTAAGGTAAGTACATCACAATTGTAAAACAAACTTGTCTCCCTTTATAAAGTTTAAAAACATGTTAAGCTTTGATGCGGTATTCAGCCTGATTTTATTTTGTAACAAAGGATGGGTTTCATTGCTTCAAGTCTACTGTGGTATGCATACTTATTTGAGAAGAAGAGCTGCAACACTTGGATAAATAGATTGGTCACTCAGAAATAAATACCTTCAAATCCCTTCTGAATGTAGGATCAGGTCACTTATCAGTTAGTTTTGCAAAGCCCCTCTGGCTACTCTGTGTGAAGGCTTCTAAAGAGTTTTCAGATATATTTGCTGCTAAAATAGATCCTTTGTATGAGACTGCATTGCTATAGAAACAGACAAAGGAATTGCTTGTTGCTTTTCAGAAAGCACAAGTTGGAGTACCTTAATGTGTTGTGTTTTGGAAGAGGAGTCAAAGTAAAGAACTTTCTAGTATTGTCTGAATTCTTTGTTGAATTTATTGACTAATGTTTTTCTTCTTTATCAGCTTTCTTTCTCTTTCTCTTTTAGGTATTTCAGGGAAAAGATCTGGGTTGCATTTCAGAAATGTATCAGATTGTTTTTTGTTTCACATATCTAGGACCATTGTGACTTTAAGCCCAGAGTTCGTTTGGACTTGTCATTAACTGTAGAAAGCTTCAGAGTTTACATTTCTTAGGCAAACAAATAAGCAAACCAGTTATATTTGCATATCATGAAACCACTAGAGCACTAACGATGGGGAATCAAGACTGATACATGAATTAAGAGGAACACCAACATTTGCCAAGTTTCTTCCATATTAGGATAGATACTGATTTTAGTCTGTTGGAAAACCAATGTACATATCTGTTGAAGCAACAATTTTATGAAGCTGACAGTATATTGTATAAAATGAGTGCCCAGCCTCCAACAGCAGATAAGGGATTGAATACTGCCCTTTTGTGCCAGGAAAGCTATGCTTGCAGTGGTGTAGATGAAGCAGCCTTTGAATGTGATGAATGTGGCAGCCTGCAGTGCCAGCGATGTGAAGAAGAACTGCACAGACAGGAAAGGCTACGAAACCATGAACGGACCCGAATTAAAGCTGGCCACGTCCCATACTGTGATACCTGCAAGGGTGCTGGTGGGAATATCATGCAGAGCAATGTGGAAAACTTCAGACAGAGGGCAGCCGTAAGATGCCAAGCGTGCAAAATTAACCTGTGTGTAGAGTGTCAGAAGAGGACTCATGCTGGTGGTAACAAGAGAAAACACCCCATTACTGTGTACCATGGTGGCAAACCTCACGAGCAGGAGGAGACAATGGATGAGGAGGCCAGAAGGAAGAAGATGACAGAAAATGTTGTAAGCTTTCTGCTGGTGGATGAAACAGAGGAAATACAGGTGAGATTTGGGAGGCAGCAATAGCTAGACTGGTGGAGAACTTCCTTGTGGGCCAGTCATACCTGCTTGGTTCATCCTGGGAAAAATAAACCCAACAGGACTTTTCTTTGCTGCCCTTTTTCATGGCAGTGGTTCTGTAGTAGAGTTGTGCTTCTTGACATGTCAAGGCACATTCTAGTTAACTTGAAAAAATAAGGGTTCCTGTGCAGACTTTACAGAAATGCTTTTTCTACTCAGCTGAAGCGGTCTTAACAGAGCTCTTTGGTAGTTTGTAGGATGCACATACCTAGAAGGGGTCAGTGAGCTCTTATGTCACAGTAGGCAGAGACATACGGACTCCTCTTGCTGTTGCTGGCTTAGCTCATCTGATGTTACATGGAGGAAGCCTTGGGCCTGACTGGCAGGAAAGTCAAGACCTGCTCCATGAGCACCTTGTGTTAAAAAAAATGATCCAAGTATTGCCTATGTGAGTATAGATTGAGTGAGTGGTTCCCAAGCTTTAGATGGAAATAGATAAGTACCTGTTTGAGTCTGCCTATCTGTACTGTGTGCTGAATAAATGCAGGCAGTGTGCTATTTTCTGGACCTTGGAAGGCCATGGCAGCTAATCATCATACTTAATTATGGTATTAACCTGCCATCTGTAGCAGGAGACAACTGACCAGTTTGATGCAAGGAAGGGAAAAGAACCTCAGGTTAAGCATACAAGGAAATTGTGTAGTAGATAGCCTTCAAAGAGATGCGTGGGTTCCTTTGAGAAGGGTCTTGCCTAAATTGGATACTTGGCAGTTGTAGGCCTTTCAAATTAAGGAAGTTTAATCTTGTCAAAGCTTTTGTTTGACATGTAAATAATATGCAAGGAGATTACAAGCACAATCCTATGGTTTTTTAACATGCCTCAGACAGCATTCCCCTGCCTGGTAGCCTTCAGAGGCATTTGGACCCCAACTCCCAGAATTCCCATCCAGCGGGTCCATTGACTTGCAATTCTGGGTGTTCCAGTCTGAATGTGCCTGGAAGGTACAAGGTTGGGAAAGTCTGGCCTAGGAGATCATAGAAGTTTTCATAATTGGAGCACCAAGGTCCTCTGACTTGGGTGCTCAGAAGTGCTCTTGTCCCAGCCCCTTTGGAGCTGGCACAGAAAGAACCGGCTGGCTGCCCCCCTGAGGTCTCAAGTGGGCCTCGGGGGGGGGGGAAATGGGGTGTGCTGGAGGTCAGTTGTGGAGTTGTGCCATTTCCACTTGGCACCCTAGCCACCTCCTCTTCCCTTCATTGACCCAATTGCACATATGCAAAAATGACCATCTAGATGAAATTCTGGGGGATGGATATTGGAACTGCATCTTGTGCCTTGCATTGTATGCTCGTAAACCTTCAAGATGTGATTATTATGAACATTTGTCATAAAGGTGATGGGATCATGTCCTAAGCTAAGAAAAGAGAATCCTAAACTAAGAAAACAGGGCTGCTTATTCCTTGGGGATCAAATGAAATTATGCTTCTATTCATCATTCATGCTTGGGAGAACAAGTGTTCACTAATGGCTTGGTTCCTTGCTTAGCTACAATCCTTGGGTGTGCTTTTAGTCAAGGCATTTAGAGCACCATTGTCCTGACTCATTCATGGAATTTAACTGGCGGTTCAGGTAATGTCATCTTCAACTTCTAGATCTCTCAGCTTCTTTCATCTTTTTTTCTTATAACTGAAAATCTGTTATTGAAAAAAGACAGAATAGCTGCACAGAAGGCTAGTTTACATCATCAACATCTAAATCATGGCGTATGGAGGGCACAATATCATAAAATCATAAAATAGTAGAGTTGGAAGAGGCCACAAAGGCCATTGGGTCCAACCCCCTGGTGTTACAGGACACCAATTTACACCCTCCTGCCCAGATAGCTGTCCAGTTTCTTTTTGAATATCTCTAGTGTGGGAGAGCCCGCCATCTCTCTAGGCAAGTGGTTCCACTGTCATATTACTCTGACAGCAAGGAAACTTTTCCTGATATCTAGCCTGTATCTGGGCTGTCAGAACTTGAATTGATTATTTTGTGTCCTACACTCTGGTATCAGTGGGAAGAGACCTTCCTCTTTGTGACAGCCTTTGAGGTACTTATAAAGGGACATCATGTACCCACTCAGTCTTTTCTTACCAAGACTGAACACGTCCAGTTCTCTCAGTCTCTCCTCACAGGGCAGTGTTTCCAAACCCTGAATCATTTTTGTTGCCCTCCTCTGAACCCTTTCTAATTTTTCTGCATCTTTCTTAAATCTTGGTGCCCAAAACTGGACACAGTATTCCAGATGAGGTCTGACTAGTGAGGAGTATAGGGGAACTACTTCTTCTCATGATTTGGAAGTAATACTTCTATTAAGCGCATCTCAAAATAGCACTTGCTCTTTTGGTGGCTGCATTGCATTGCTGGCTCATACTTAGCCTATTGTCCACAGTTACTCCAAGATCTTTTTCTTGTTCAGTTCTGTTGAGCCATGTATTCCCCATCTTGTATTGATGCATTTGGTTTCTTTTTCCTAGGTGGAGGACTTGGCATTTGTCCCTATTGAATCTCATTCTGTTGCTTTCAGCCCAGCGTTCAAGTTTATCAAGATCACCCTGGATCTTCATTCTGTCTTCTAGGGTGTTTGCCATTCCACCCAGTTTTGTATCATCTATAAAGCTGATTATCTTTTCTTGTACTTCCTCCTCTAAATCATTAATAAAGATGTTAAAGAGCATTGGGCCTAGGACTTACTCCTGCAGCACCCCACTAGTTACCTCCATCCAATTTGAGAAGGTGCTATTGACAAACACTCTTTGTGTCTGATTTAGCAGCCAATTTTGGATCCATCTAATAGTTTTTCTATATAATCCACTTTTTGCTAATTTGTTTATCAGAATGTTGCTGGCGCTATGTCAAAAGCTTTGCTAAAGTCAAGGTAGATTATGTTATTGCCTTGGTGTGGCTTGCCATATTATTCACACCCAGGCAGCATGAATAGTTGTTGTAGTAAACATCCCTCAAATCACCCAGAGACTGTTGTAGGATTATTTAACCCTTCTAGTACCTTATACATAAGGTTTCTCTTTTCAGCTTCCTCACTCAACAGTACAGAGATGATAATCTCCTTTGTTAGCATCATTCAAATGCTAACAACCAAGACTGTGGCATGGAGAAGTAAAAAATTTACAAGAGGCTTTAGTGCCAAATGCTTCTAAAGTGTGATTATAAAAATAGTCTTCATACAGAAACACACAAAACATTGTGTGCTGGTCATTAGAAAAAAGCCATTGTGAACTGCTATATCTGGACTGTTGAAGAGTGCTGGTTAACTTGAAAGTTTCTCCACTATTTTATGACATTTTGGTTTGATCTTACTAAAGGTATTGCCTGATTATCATATGTTTACTGTGCCAAGAAACTGCAATATAGCACATTAGATGGCTGTTTCTGAATACACCAACAGTTTGGGTAATGGTTAAAATGGCAACCTTAGTATCTGATTTTCTGTGTGGCTCTAAAACACAGCTTTACACATTAGGATGTAGGAGGTAAAGCTGTCCTTGCGAAACAGCTATGGGTTCAGTTCATATGATCACTGCATTTTGAATGGTGGCCTGTTTTCAGGTTATTTGAGGGATTTTCATTCCCCCCTCTCCAATGAACTAAGCTGGCCAGGTTAGGATGACATGACAAAGGACATCTGGGCAGGTTATTGGGCAAATGGTGCTGTACATACACCACAGTTTAAACAGCACACTGTGTTCTGTTTAAGCTGAGGTGGTCAGACAGACTGGACCATGGTTATCAAGTACAAAAGAGGAAGTTTGATAAAGGAAGACAAATTTTAGCAGGTGTAGCTTGTCATGAAGGAGCTCTGCATTCTCTCGTGTTTGGCCACCATATATGAATATAAAGAAAATCTTGATCCAGTAGATTTCTGGATGTGAGGTAGCCATTAAAAACAGAGGAGCAAGTAAAATAAATGGCAAGCACAACAAGCTGTTTACAGGATTAAATCCTGCTGAAAGTTTAGTTCTGTTGGGCAAGTCTGTGGCAGAGATTCTCCTCAGTCAGATGGAATGAATGATATTCCACTTATAAAGGAGTGCTTCCACTGACTGTAATCATCTTGTGTCAACAAAAAACTAGCATTAGCTGCATTTGGAGTAATTTTTAACCCCAGACAAAAGTGCTTCATGCAAAGCAGGTGCTGCATTTGTTCTGGCTGAAATTTCTTTGCAGGAGGAAATTACCTGTACTGACTGATAGGTAAAAGCCATGGCGTTCACCTATCAGCCAATACAGGTAATTTCAGGCTTGATAGCTCCTGCTGCTATGCAAAGCAATACAATCTGCATAACAGTGCTTGTCCTCTTGACCTTTTATTTGCATAACAATAGATTGCCCTAGTAACTTAAAAAAATCTTAGCAAAGCTTTTCCTCAGTGGATTCTGTTTGCTGGAAATTTTAGTTAAGAACCTTAGTTTTAAAAAGGACCAAAGTGCTATTGTCCAAGGAATAAAAATATCCCATTAATAATATGTAATTATTTCTGTGGATATTCTGGGGTACATTTTGGCCCCAGGCATGTTTTTGTTTGTAAGGAAAAAAAAACCATTAAAAGACAGGCTAAAATCTGGCACCTTTTTCTTGGTACTTCGTGATAATTTCCTACAAGAACAAGTCTGTAGGACTGCATATGTGTACATTACAGGAAAAAAGTTGACCTAGGGGGATTCCAGTTAGCCAACAATGCAGCATAGTAGCTTTTTCTAAAGTGAAGGGGTGTTAAATTAATAGTGCATGTATACTTGAAAGACACCTCAATGATTACATTTCAGCTTGCATTTTCATTCCTGCTTTTCACAGCCACCTTGTTTCTTTTTGTTACACTAGTCAGTTAAACAATTTCCTTATGCAACAAACTGTAAATGTGTTGATTTTAATAGGAGTGAGGGGAAAGAGCTCTATCCAGTGGCTTGGTCATAAAATTTGTCTATGTACTGTTTGCAGCATTGTTTCTTAATTGTCTGCCTTAACCACACCTTGTTATGTTTTCCAATAACTGTAGTTGGGACATTATTGTAAAGGCATCTTTTAACAACAAAGTCTATCAGTTTGCAAACTAGAGAATCAGTCTGCCTTTCAAACAGTCTTACCACAGTAAAATAAAAAAAAAAAAAAGATAATAGAAGTGGCTTCTCCCTCCAGCATTTATCTTAAAGAAAATATTTTATGGGGAACTGCAAACGTTCCCCTTTGTCAGGGTTTGTGTGCTTCCCCCGTACCTTTTAAATAAAAAAGATATACAACAGTATACAAAGCCTTGGTCTGTTGATTAAGCTGCATGCCAAACAAAACAAAAAGCAAAACCCCAAAACAGAAAACCCTTGCTTACCAAATTTTGCCTGACGGGCACTTGTTAAATGTAGAGGAGGCCTGCCAAGACAAAAAAAAAGTTTGCTGTATTTACTTTGGCTATGCTGCTTTATGAAAGCTATAATTTCATATCTCCTTGTTAAAGTGCAAGTTATGTTGATATTGCAAACAGGCAAGAAAACACATGACAGCACTTCATATATGACAGGCCCCTGAATACATTGAATGGGGGGAATAGACCATGTTAGAGGCAAGTATTCATGCGGCATATCCAAAGTCTCTTTGTCCCCCCCATCCCACCTGCCCATAGAAATGGTGCAGTTCTGTCAACCCTGGTGGTGGGACTGTTAATTTTATCCCATTGGAGTCAATGGGAGGGGAAAAGAAATAGGTGCTACAGTAAACTGGCAAGGCTACAAATGTGACTATTCCACCAACAGATCTCTCCGTAGCTGCCCAGCAGGATTGCCTTAAAAGCTACTTGTAAAAAAACAAAACAAAAACTATTTTTACTGCAAATATGATGACACCAGAGTTTACTATTTATTGAGTCCAGCTGTAAAATGACATTGACAGATCCATAGATGTTTAGAAATGTTAAAATAGAATGAAACCCAGGAGATAATGTGTCACATCATTTCAGTATTTTTCCTCTGTTGCTAAGGTGTGGCATACTTAGGCAGGTTAAGGAATGCTCATATGTCTGTGTGGGTTAGCCATGTTACCAACCATTTCTTGGCTTTAGTACCAGGAAAGCTGCACTTTTTGGAATAATGTTGCCTTTTTCAGGGCCAAAAGAGAACCATCCAGCTCCTGTCCTCAAACTAAGCATGAGCTTAATATTCCTGCCACTCTTCCAAATTTGAAGATCAAGTCTAGTTGGAAAACTAGCAAACTTTTAAATTTATTCCTTTAACTGACGTAACATCTCTCCAGATAGAAACTTTTGAAAAGAAGAATTTCTACTGGTTTAACATGAAATAATGTGCAGATATAAAAGCCCATTATTTATTGCTGTGGGTGCCATGTCTGTAGAAGGATATAGGATCTTATACTTTAATGTATATTTGACGCTGCTTAGCTATGGCCATTTGATGCTGTTTTCTGTTTATTGATTCATTCTGGATTTCTAGGGATGTAATCCTAGGCGTGTTTAGGCAGAAGTCATTCTTTCTGTCTTAGAGAGAAGCTGATGTGGAGTTGTAGTCCAAGACATCTGGAAGGCATCAGGGGGTACATTGACCATTTACATCATGGAATAGGTGCCAGTGCCCATGAAGTAGAAACTCTTACCTAATAGGGGTATCCTTCTGGTCTTCAGCTTTGGGATTCTTTTGCACACAGAAAAGACTGTGTAGGTAGATCTGGCAGCTATCATCTATAGATAGTCTCATGACAAAGGCTTGTGCTCTCTGTGAACTGCCCTGGCTTTTTGTAGTCACTTGTACACAGTTAAAGGTAGAAGCTTCAGTTCTAGTCAGGTTCAAAGCATCTGGACTGCCTTGTTGCTGTCTTTCTGATGGGCTGGAAACACTCTCTTGAGGACTGTCCATTAAGTTCAGATAGCAAAGGCACATTTTGGAAGATGCACCTAGCTGCCGGGCTAGCTACTCCTGGAGGTTGGGTCAACATTTGGACAGGTGAAGGTGGGTGCCCCTTGATGTTACAAGTCTGGTTTCTGAAGTGGCAGAACTTTAGTGGCAGCCCTGCCAGTTGCAAGGTTCTCACACAGTCTTTCTTTTCTTGTGTTGGAAGGTGGCAAATGAAGAAGAGTTCATCAGGAAACTGAACTGCAAGCCTGACCAGCATGTGAAGGTGGTGTCTATCTTTGGGAACACTGGGGATGGAAAATCTCACACACTCAACCATACGTTCTTCTATGGCCGTGAGGTATTTAAAACCTCCCCAGCCCAGGAATCTTGTACAGTTGGAGTTTGGGCAGCCTATGACCCTGTTCACAAAATGGTGGTTATTGACACAGAGGGTCTTCTTGGAGCTACTGTGAACTTAAGTCAGAGAACCCGACTGCTTCTGAAGGTCTTAGCCATTTCGGACCTCATCATCTACCGCACTCATGCTGACAGGCTTCACAATGATCTCTTCAAATTTCTTGGAGATGCGTCAGCAGCATACCTAAAACATTTCACCAAAGAGCTGAAGGCAACCACAGCCCGTTGTGGTCTGGATGTTCCATTATCCACTTTGGGTCCTGGAGTGATTATCTTCCATGAGACTGTGTACACGCAGTTACTGGGTGCTGGTGAGTAGTTGGAAATGAGATGAACATCTGTTGCTGCAGTGTGGCTAACTTGGGATGACATCTGTTTGTTTGTCATTGCAAATTTTAAAAGCATCACATTTAAATCTAGATGTTGACAGATAGTACAAGGATTTAATTTTTTTTTCACCTTTACAGATAAAATATAGGTGGAATCCATTGGCTGCTTGGAGGAATTCTTTATAGTGCTTCACAGTAATAGTTTATTTAGTCACTCACATAATCTGACAAAAGGTGCTGTCAAATATTGCTGCATGTATATAAAGTACCTTTACAACCACGTTTTAAAACTCTGTATATGCTATTAGCCACAATCTTGGAAGAGAGCAAATCCGTCTGTTCTGATTCAGCTGAGGATGACCACATTGGAGTTGGCTAGTGGGCTAACACAGCAAGAGTTAGTGATGCAGAAATCTTTTTTAAAACTTGATTCTGAACCAGTCTTTCTGTAAGCTATCCCTCAGGCAAAAATACAATCAACAAAGGGTTAAATATAAAATCCCTGTGAGTGGAGCATCCCTGAGATGCTGCTGCAGGTGTAAGTCAAGGATGGGAGATTTTGCCCCTTTCCTCCTCCCCTCTTTGTTTCCTGGCTTGGGGAGGTGACAAGGGGGCTATAGGGTGAAGGGACAATTAGCAAAAAGCTCCTGGAAATTTATCTGGATCTATATCCAAACTAGCAATCTTAAGATCAATTAAAAACAATAAACAAACATAGAAACATTTGGTTGCATAGCCAGAAGTGTGGCTTGTAGATCAAGAGAGGTATTACTACCACTCTATATGACTCTGGTGCGCCCGCAACTGGAGTATTGTGTTCAGTTTTGGCCCCTCATTATAGGAAGGATATAGCCAGGTTAGAGTCAGTGCAGCGCAGGGCCACAAGGTTGGTGGCCGGTTTGCAGGGGATGGGGGATGAGGCGAGACTGAGGGAACTGGGTCTCTTCAGCCTGGAGAAGAGGAGACTCAGAGGGGATATGTTGGCGACATACAGGTATGTGAGTGGATGTCACATGGAGATGGGTAGAGACCCGTTCTCCCCTGCAGAGGAAGGCAGGACACGCTCTAATGGAGCAAAGCTCAGGGAGCCAAGGTTCCATTTGGATGCCAGGAAGCACTTCCTGACAGTCAGGACCCCGAGGGTGTGGAATGGGCTTCCACGAGAGGTCGCTGAGGCCCCATCAGTGTGGGTGTTCAAGGATAGGCTGGACGTGCTGGAGGTCAGACTAGATGGCCCGGGTTATGTTTCTATGTTTCTAACAACAAAGACAATCAAATCACTGTTTCAGACAGCAGTGGTTAACTTTAATTGTAGATCCAGATGACATATTTAGCTTTTCGGACTTAATCCAAATGAAAAGGTATGAATAAAAGCATTTTCAAGACCCACTGGCATAGACTGATCTGATTTCTTGTGGGAGATGATCCCACCATCTTGGGGCCATAACAAAAAGCACTTCTTGATGCTGTCACTCAAAAGAGTAGGCGAAGTGGATAAAACCAAACATTTATGAATACAAAGAATTAGCTAGTATTGCATATAAAACTGCCTTGTCGATGGATACCATTCCATCTACCACTTCAGAATTCGGAGCTTATAGATAAAGGGAAACTGTGGATTAGCTACAAGATGAAGTGATTTCCACCAGCTTGGATGCTTTTAGATAACTTGTCATGACCCTGCAATTTCGCTTCTATGTCTAACCAGCACTTTCTCTAAGCTTTTTTTTTCAAGAGGAGAAAAATGTGGCATTTAATCCTGAAAGTGAATGAAAGCAGTTTCCTCCTCTGTATTTATTCTATTCTGCTATACTACATTGACACCTAAAGGTGATATAGTGGAAAAGCCAAAAAGAAATATTTATTGTATAGTGCTCAGATCTCAATTTTCTACAAGACTTCAAGTAAATACAGCAGATTAACAGCCTGTTAAAAGCTTCCTGTACAAAAGCTTATAGTGCCACTGTTGCTTAGCAGCCGCTAGACTCACACCACTTTTAAAGGTGCTTTATTGTCCATCCTTCTCTCTCTCTCTCTCTCTCTCTCTCTCTCTCTCTCTCTCTCTCTATATATATATATATATATATATATATATAACATGTATCTACAGTGTCTGAGGTGAGGTGACATGAATGAGTACAGCAACGATGCCCATTTGTGTGTTTTCCTCCTAGGGGCCTTGTCCTTCCACATTAGTGTGTGGTGATTTCACACATGACACACAAAGAAGCCAGAGGTCAGGACTTGCCAGTTAGGACACCCTCATGAGGAAATGGTGGCCATTCTCGCTGTGTTAGTAAGAACTGCACTATACCTAAGCTTTCAAGCACCTGCTTATCTCATATATATATATACTACATTTTTAGCCATATTTAAAAAAAAAATCCTGTCCGAAGAGACCATCAGTTAGTCAATAGAGCTGAAGCCAGTGGGACTTATTACCGCACCTACATTGGTAACATTGGTAGTACAGTTTCCTGCAGCTCCTTCTCTCCATCCCTCAGTTCTTCTTAATCATCTAATTTGCTTCAGTGCAATAACTACTTTAACGATATTTAACCTTATTTAGTTTAAATTACCTTCTTTTTAAGGTGTGCATTGACTATTCCACAGGGCTGGGGGTGCCTGTGGAACAGTGGAAGAGGTGGTTTGGGGGTGGAGGGGGAGAAGGTGATCAGTGGAATTTGCCTCTCCCCACCCTTCTGTGAATGGGCATCTTTATTGGATTGAGAGACCTCCTGGTTGTGGAAGATCTCCTTCCCTAAATGGAAGGAAACCTTTAGGACCAACCCATTATTTATCCCAAATGACACCCATGGGTTCCTTTTATCTAGAAGAGACGCCTCCTCAGTCAGCTTGCAGCTGTGAGTGCAGGAAGGATCTTACCTCCTTCTCTTGCTGTGCCTTCAGAAGCAGTTCATTTTCAAACATCCTTTTGCAGGAGGAAGTTGATAGCTGCCACCGGTTCACCATCCAGTCTTGGCAAAGAGAGAGGACAAATAGGGTTGTTCAGTATTTCCTTTTGCATGTTGCATTCTAAATCATCAAAGCAGCTAAACAATTATGAGGCCACCCCTTTTTCTCCATCCATAAAGTTGCATTATGTAAGAGAGCAGAGATTTCACAGATGGGTGAACATAGGATTGCAGGCAGATCAAGTTAGATGCTGTTGTTGGTAATTTTAATGATCAGTATTAATAAGTGGTAAATATGTAGATAGCAATGTCATAAAAACAAGTATTCCAGGTGATGGGTTGATAGCCTGATAAAAACTGTTTTTACTCTGTTGTTCTATTGCTTTTGCTCCAGCTGGGGCAAGAGAAATAACAGTGGCCATGTAAGCAAGAATGGTGGGAAGGGTCAGGACCTATCTAACACCTTTCCTGATTCTTCACTGATGCATCAACACTTAATGTAATCCCAGTGGCAGTGTGGACAAATGTGTGGTGAAGTATGGATCCCACAAACTGAATAACTGATAATTGATCAATGGGTCAACCTGTTGGTGGATGTTGTAAATGTGTCCCTTACAAAATGCGTTGCTTCAAATTGGTGTTTCTATCTGTGTAGCATTTTTCCTTTTGAGTGAGCAACTCACTTTGGTGCTCTTCATGAGTAAACCCCCCCATGCTGTGTCAAGTGGCAAATTGGGATTCTTACTCAAAAGCTAACTTTGTTGAGGAAGGATGGCGAACTGCAGAATGATATCACAGGCTGAGAATTCTCCCCACTAACTGAGCCATTTGCAAATGATCAGCCCAGCTTGCTACTTGGCCCATGCAGCTTTCCTGTACTATGCATATGAATTGCATATGTATGAAAAGTAGCGCAGGAACACTTCAGGAAAAAAGAAGGACTGCAAAAAAAGTTATTTCATGTCCAAGAAATAAATTAGTGGGTACAGAAAAAGCTTGCCATCCAGTCTCACAGCCCTCCACCTCATCATAACATTTTTGTCTGCTGCCATTAGTCCTGATAAAAATATCAGTTTCATTACATTACAAAGTGATCCTTCAGGGCACAATAATGTAATTCATTGGCATGCTCTAGCTGAGCGATCTGTCCCAAGAATCATGCTGCCCTGCTGGCGTGTTGCAGCAATTGCATTCTTGTGCCTCAGAGGAAAATTTCCATTGAAAAGCATTGGTCAATTGATGACTTGATTAATGTTTTTCATATTTTAGCCCCATTCTGAGGAGTCCATCTTTTTTGGTTCTCTTGCTTGCATTTCTCTGTAACTAAAAAAAAACCCCCAACACAAATAGTTTATCGAAGGAGTAGGCAGTTTCCTGTTATTCCCCTTTCTCCACCCAATCATAAAGTTACATAAATGGAGGGTGAAAAAAGAACGGAAAAAGCAAAAGAATATCATCTGTATCCTCAGAATCCACTCAGTCAGAAATGGAGCGTTACTAGTGGAATTAAATGACTGTCTACAAAGCCTTCTAGAGAAAAAAAAACTGAGATATTGTTATGTAGCAATGTGGGGATTTTTGCCTTGGAAATTAACTGTTAGGAATTCAGAATGCCTAAAACATCCGTGTGTGCTGTCAAGTTGTCTCTGACTTATGGCAGCCCTCTGAATGGAAGATCTCCAAAATGCCCCATCCATGACAGTCCTGGTCAGCTCTTGTAAATTCCCAGCTGTGGCTTCCTTTAAGGAGTCAATCCATCTCATGTTTGGTCTTCCTCCTCCTCTTCTGCCTGTGGCTTTCACTAGTCTGAAGGACCAAGGAGACAGTGGCTGAAAAAAAGATGATAAAAATGGATGGACCACTGACTTGAGAAGAATTAGATTGCTTCCAAATGGAGGACCCCTAGCACTTCCAGTCAATGGACACTGTATTACTGCTCCGTTATTTCCTCCTTAGCAGAATTTCGGGAGTAAGAAAAAGGATAGTAGTAGGAACACACAGGAGAGTTGCAAATGGAGGACAATGGTGTGTGGACCATTGATGATAGCACAGTAAATGTGTGTTAGACGGCTTTTTGTGGGATGGGCACATAAATATTTATTCTTATTGCAAGAATGAACGGATGGCTTTCTTTGGTACCACATTGTTCCTCTTCATCTTTTTTATGCTGCAGATATTTTCCTATGCAAACATGTATCAACATGGTTGCTGTTTTAGGACTGGTGACCTAAGATAGCTTCTAGAATTATTTCACTGTTAGTATTCTGAGAAAGCATATAAAGAAGGAATGAAAAGTTGAGAACCGTGCACATATTTTAACATGTAGTCAGCCTCAAGTGTAAGGGATTAAAATGGTCTCTGCCTTCCCAGCAGTTGTATTTCTGGTGGGGCTCCAGGATTTCAACTGGTCCCCACTGAGGGAAGAAAACCTGGTAAGAGGGTGAGATGTCATTTGTGGGAAGCAGGAGTTAAGAAAAGCTCAGCCCCTACTTCCTACCCACTGCTTCTTCACTTTCATAGTGCAGTTCTTTACAAGGCTGATCAGAAATGAGCCCTAATGAGTCTAATGGGATGTATTCTCAGGATGGATGTATACGTCTCAATCCTAAATCAATGTTCACTTCCACTCTTCTGTTTTATATGAATGCATAATTGACCATCAGACTCTTCCGTTAATAGCCACTAAGAGCTAAAGGGGCTAAAACGGAAGAGTCTTTCCCAACAACCACACCCTTTGGACATGGCAGTGTGCACATTAGTTGGATGTGTATAAGCATGAGGGGAGTGGCCATGGCTCAGTGACAGAGCACATGCTTTGCATGCAAAGTGTCTCAAGTTCAATCATTGGCAACTCCAAGGGGGGCTGGAGAAATTCCTGCCTGAAACCCTGGAGAGACACTCTAGGTCAGTGCTGACAGTACTGGGCTAGATGGACCAATGACCTGACCCAATTCCTTTGTTCTTGGACAAAGGCCCCATGAGCTGTTTTCTGAGTGTTTCCCAAAACACGTTTGTAGAGCACAAACAACAAAGCATAACATTGAAAGAGATCTTTAAGGAGCCATTTTCAACCATTGCCAGGATAGGTTTGGCTATTTCATCTGTAATGCATTTAAATGACCCATAAATGATTGCCAAAATGCTGTAAGGTCAGTTAAAATGATGTGTTTTACCAAGTGGTTCCTAATATATTGTTTAATATGTTCAGATCACCCTTCTGAGGTGCCTGAGAAACTAATCCAGGATCGGTTCCGGAAACTTGACCTCTTCCCTGAAGCCTTCAGCTCAATCCACTACAAAGGAATAAGGACACAGAATCCCCCAACAGATTTCTCTGGACTCAGGCATGCTGTGGAGCAGCAACTAGAAAATAATACCACCCGTTCTCCACGGCCTCCTGGAGTCATCTACAAAGCACTCAAGGTGAGTATGAGATTGTGAATTATGGCTAGTGCCAAAAGTGGGTCTTTCTGCTGATGTTCCAAACTGCAGGCTCTTCCAATTTCAGTCCAATTTTGTTACTGTTAAGGTGCCAGAAAATAACCCAGTCCAACCCTCATCACAAGGCGTGATCATCCCCCCCAGATCAACTCTCATGATCTTAAAGGAATTAAGCAAAAGGCAAGAGTGTACACAGAGAATGTAAGAACATAAGAAAAGCCATGTCGGATCAGACCAGCAGTCCATCTGGTCCATCTCTCCATAACATATGGTGGCAAACTAGCTGACCGCAAGATGGTTCAAGAAGCATAGGTGCAAGATCTTTGCCTGCCCAAGCTCCTCAGCAATTGGTATATGCGGGCATGCCATCGGTGGCAAACAGAGGCAGCACTTAGCCAGCAAGGCAAGTAGCCACTGATAACCTTCTCCCTCGTGAATCTCTCCTATCCCTTTTAAAGCCACCCACATTGGTGGACCTCACCACTTTCTGTGGCAGCAAATTCCATAGTTTATATGCTGTGTGAAGAAGTGTTTCCTTTTACCTCCTAAATATTCCACCAATCAGCTTTGTGGGATAACCCAGAGTTTTAGTGTTACGTATAAGGAGAGGGAGAAAAATGTATTTTCTCAAAATCATGCATTATTTTAAACATCTCTATCATGCTCCCCTTACTTGCCTTTTTTCTAAGCTTGAACAGTCCCAGTTACTGTAGCCACTCCTCATAGGAGAGCTGCTCCAGCCCCCTGATCATGTCTGTTGCCCTTCTCTGTGCTTTTCCCAACTCAAAAATGTCCCTTTTCAGGTAAAGTGACAAGAACCGAACACAATATTCAAAGTGGAGTCTTACCAAAGATTTGTGTAAGAGGAGAAAGATTCTGGCAGTTCTGTTTGCTTTTCTGTCCTAATTATGCCTAGTGTGGAGTTTGCCTTCTTCACAGCAGCTGAGCACTACATTTTCATTGAACTGTCCACTGCTACCTCAAAATCCCCCACTTGTTTAGTCACTGCTGACTCAGATTCCATCAGCCTATACTTGAAGTTGGGACTTTTTGCCTCAAAACACATTTCTAGATTTTTAGTTTCATATCCTGCTTTTCTTCCTTACACTAAACTCAAAAATGGCTTACATCATTCTCCTGCTGCTCTCAATCTTATTCCCACAAAAACTCTTCTGTGAGGTAGGTTGGACTGAAAGTCTGTGACTGGCCCAAAGTCACCTAGTTAACTCCGTGGCCAGGCAGGGACTAAAGCCCAGATTGCCTGAATCCCAGTCTTTTGCTCTTAACCACTACAACACACTGGCTCGCTATACTATACACTCTCTGTACTGTACACTAGAGGATACCGTGCACCAGGGCTGCTCAAGAACAGGCAGGCACAGAATAATGCAGGAAGGACATCGGGTCACATGATAAGCAGCCATCCATCACACCTATAGCCAGCCTGACCCAGTGGAAAAATATGCCGGAAACTTGGCAAGCTGATCATTAGTACTGAAATCTGAGTTTGGTTCTTGACTTATTTTATTTTAGTTATTTTTTGAATTTATATACCAAAACGTATAGCCTAATTTAGGGCTCTCTGGGCAGTGTGCATCCTATTAAAAATAAACAATACAATTTAAAAAAACCCCTCCAGTTCCCAGTTTCTCTTGATTGGAAAACCAACAACAAAACAGATTAGAAAAAACTTTAGTATGGACTGGAAATGTGTAATTTTTACTCTTTTTATCTCTACTTCAGCAAATCTAATTTTTCTAACACCTGTAATACAGATACTTAGCCTGAGGCTGGTTGCTGGTAATGATAGCCTCTGCTCTATAAATGCATAAGCAAGACAGGACCTAACTCTTATAGTACAATGGAAAGGTCCATAGTGTTGTCAGGGTAACTGAGAGTGAGGACATGGTCTCCAGGCAACAACCCTTTCTCTGACTTGTCTAGATTTTGCTCAGTTACCAGTTCTGAGGACGATGGCTTTTTGTCTGTAGATAGCAAAGATGTGACATCTAGAACTAGCTGGAGTCAAGAGCACAGCTCTTCAGAGAACAATGTAAGAATCCAAGCAGCTGCTGAGAAATGTGCATGAACAAAGGCCTGTGTGTTTTAAAATGATGCGTTACTGGAAGAAAGTTTTGTTTCAGTGCCTTCCCCAACAACCCCACTTGTACACTGACAGAGTTGTTGACATTTTGTTCACACTGAATCTTTGCATTGCTAATCAGCACTAACAGGGCCACGTGTTCTGGCTTAGACTTTTGAGGGCCTCTGGGCAAAGTACCTGCTATGGGCCCTTTCCCTCAGTAAGTGCTCTTCATACTGCTATCGCTCCCCATTATCATCCTCTTTGCTGCTGCTTGCTCGCTTGGCAGGCCGTGGCATCTCCCGCTTCTTCCTACCACCATTCTCCTGGCCCAGCCATAAGGTGGGTGAGCCAGCAGATTGTAGTGGTGGAGAAGAAGAGCAGGCCCAGGCAGCTCTTGACAGTGGGGTCTCAGCAGGTGCCCAGTCATGGCTACCTTCATTGCTGGCTTTGCCATGGATTTATTCAGAAATAAGTAGCACTGTCTTCAGTGGGGCTGCTCCCAGACAAGAGAATAGATCAACTCTTTTCTTCTAGCCAATAATCAATCAATTACAAAATCACCGTAATAGGTCAAGGTTACAGTTACCCATGCAATTGACGGACATTGCTTATTCCTGAAATATCCACTTACAGATGATGGACATATGTGACATTTCAGTGAAATATGCACATTTTAATCATGAGATAAGTGATATTTTGCTAGGTAAAGTCCTTAGTCTAAACTTGAGCAGTTGCTCTCACTCCATCCAGGGTCATTGCCTCTTAAACCAAAGAGAGGTGTTGTGGCTCAAGTAACTCTGTGGTAGGGAAAGTTTGTAGGATACTACTTTTCCCAGCAGGCACTTTCAAGGTCTGGCAGTAACCCTCTGTAGTCTGGAAGGTTTCTGCGTGCTCTTTCTGCACTCTTACAGTCTGGACATTCAGTTGTTCCAAATAATAAAAAGTCAATTAGAGCTTTTATTAACTCATTTGTTTATGGAACCAGGTGTGATGAGCCTGTTTTAGCCCAAGGATCAAATTCCATTTTAGAAAAGCTCCCAGAGGCCCTATTACAATGGTGAGCTTGGCCAAAAGGGCAGGGCCAAAATCCCAGTTTATTGTACCTTAAAGCTTTTACTCCCAGTAGCAAAGCCTTAAGAGAGGCATGGCAACTTTTTTAGAATGGGGAGAACTGAACAAAATCTGGGAGACCACCAAAAGTTGGTGGTTGGGAGAAAGGTGCTGGGCCATGGGACAGGGCCATGGCTGTCTGGGAACCTGTAAGGCCAGACTGGAACTCCAGGAGGACCAGATTTGGTCTCTGGGCTGAGGTTCTGTAGCCCTTCTTGTTTAAAGCAGTTGTCTTCCCATTGTCCTGCAGGCACTGAGTGATCGGTTCTGTGGTGAGATCCCAGATGATCAGATGGCCCACAGCTCCTTCTTTCCAGATGAGTATTTCACCTGTTCTTCTGTCTGTCTCAGCTGTGGGTAAGTGGATGTGAAGTCCCCTATTTGCATATGGTGCCAGAATACATGATATCCTGTCAGATTAGGACCATGTACAAACATCTGGGGCCATCCCAGACCCTTCAGAATGTGCATGTTGTTTTTAAGCAGGCCATTTGTATTAAAAATGGGTCACGGGGCAGGAAATATAGAACAGATGCACAATGCCTTCTGATTGCTGGTGGTAGGAGCTCTCTGCCTGGAAGCACCCTCTGGTCAATTCAGTCTGTGTCCTTCCATTGTGTTCTTCTTTTTCCATTTTTGTCTACTGTATTATTCAATGATACTTCATATAAGTCACTCATGGAGGTAATTAAGTGAGGTGCTGTGGTTTGATATTTTAAAAGCATTTGAAGATTAATGGGTTTGTACAAAGAGAAGGAAGAAGAAAGCAGGGTTACATTAAATGTTCACTAGCTAACAACTTTGCAGTGTAGAAAGTGCTGTTGTGAGGGATGCAATGTTTCTTACTAGATTACATTCATATGCCAGCTTTTTTTTCTCTTGAGAGGACTCTGAGGCAGCTTACATGATCCTCCTCTTCCTCTCCCTATCACGATCACAACAACCTTGTGAGGTAGTTGTGTAAGGTAGTTGTGAGGTAGTTGGACCTGTAACAGGCCCAACTTTCATGGTAAGTGAAGACTAGAAGCTGAATCTCCAAAGTTCCAGTCCAAAACTCTTAACCACTTGATCTTCATCAACCATTTTTGTTGGTTATGTGCTCCTTCTGAACAGCTATCTTGACATATTTGTTCCTTGAAATGGGAAGTACTCTTTTCTGGAAGTGATCTCAGCCAGATGAAAAGTTGTGCTAGTGAATGTGATGGTGTCACAATGCTACATGACCACTACATTTGGCGAAGCAACAATGTCACAGAGCCAACTCAGAATGAAGACAATGTATTGCCTTCACTGTGAATGGCTGTTGCACATTTTGCTGTTTCCATGCACCTCAGAAACTGTGTTGGAGTGGGGAAAGTACTTCTCTTAAGATTTCTGTATTGCCCTGCTGAAAATCTGTCAGCACTTCACAAAAGTTAAAAGTATCAAATAGAATGGCATGATAAAACACATTAGAAACCATTTAAAGTTTAAAACTCCAATATAAAACCAACATAAAAGCCACCAGAGATGAAAGGGTATGCAAAATGTGATCCCCCTTTTTAGCTCAGCCCTAGGGGGAACATTGCCTAATTGAATCTAGATAACAATAGTTCAGATTAGGCTAAGATAGATCTTTTATAACTTATTGCCAGCAAGTCTGCCATCTCTGCTTGATTTTAAAATTCTAGGTGTGGGTGCAAGAACAGCATGAACCATGCAAAAGAAGGGGTGCCTCATGAAGCCAAGAGTCGCTGTAGATACACCCATCAGCATGATAACAGAGTGTATACCTGCAAGGTGAGTGGAGCAAGTGGATCAGAACTGGAGGCAGAAAAGAAAAGCTCAAGAGCTGGTCTGCACAAGTTGTGACCTGCTAAGCTGGAGGCATTCAAGTCTGTGACCTGCCACATACTTGTTAATCCGTGATGGGGAACTGGCCAGATTGTTCAAGTGTTCTCAACTTAACTAGGCTACCCTGTTATTCCTAAACTCTGCCTCATTCTTCTTGCCTTTCCCTCTTGGCCTTCACCCACCCTACCTTCCGATATCCTACTGGGTTGTGTTACCTAATTTTTCTTTCCATATAAACGTGGAGTTCATTTCAAAATAAAACTTAAGAAGGCATTGCTGGAGATCAGGAAAATCTGGAATGGTGGCAGTCTACTGAGGATTAAAAACACACAAATTCTGGCCAACTGGGGTTCTGGGAAGGGAACTGGAACAGGACAGGAAGTTAAAGAAAAACTGCACCTCCACCGTTCCTTGTGCAATACACCAGTTCTTTTGCCAACTCAGACAGGCAGAAACAGAACCATTAAGCCACCAATGGGGGGTGTTGTTCACTTTCCCATGGGTCAGGGGAGGGTTTCCAAGAATGCATAGGGTATTACTTTCAAATCATGAGTAGTAGTTGTTCCCCTATATTCCTCACTAGTCGGACCTCATCTGGAATACTGTGTCCAGTTCTGGGCACCAAGATTTAAGAAAGATGCAGGTAAATTAGAAAGGGTCCAGAGGAGGACAGCACAAATGGTCCAGGGTTTGGAAACACTGCCCTGTGAGGAGAGACTGAGAGAACTGGGCATGTTCAGTCTTGAGAAGAGAAGAGGGGAACATAATATCACTCTATAATTCCTTGAAAGGCTGTCACAAAAAAAAAGGACAAGATCAATTCTCACTCATACTGGAGTGTAAGACATGGGATAATCAACTCAAGTTGCAACAAACCAGATTCAGGCTAGATATCAGGAAAAGTTTCCTCAGTGTCAGAGCAATACAACAGTGAAACCACTTGCCTAGAGAGTTTGTGGGCTCTTCACACTAGAGGCATTCAAAAAGAAACTGGACAGCTATCTGGGTGGGATGGTGTAAACCGGTGCCCTGCAATAGCAGGGGGTTGGACCCAATGGCCTTCATGGCCCCTTCCAGCTCTACTATTGTATGAAAGCAATTATTTTTCAAGGCTTATTTTATGGCTCTTGTTCTCTACTGAAAAACAATTCATTCTTAGTTTTAATGCGGTTGATGTTTTCCTACAAATGTCTATATTGTGGGATTCCTCAGTGACTCCTTTTTCAGAAACAACATCTGACAAATGCGCACAGCTCTGAAACCTGCTCACAGCTTTTCAAGTGCATGCAAGACTTGGACTCTGGGATTTGAAAAGAAGTCTTTCTAATTTATCTCTCACATTCCAGGCCTGTTATGAACGTGGGAATGAGGTGAGGGTGGTGCCCAAGACATCTGCTTCTACTGATTCCCCTTGGATGGGCCTTGCCAAATACGCCTGGTCAGGGTGAGTCCAAGAGCCGAGGAGCCTTTGTTTCCTTCCTTTTCCCAGCTCCCCCTCTTATCTCTTAGAGCACACAGGAATGATGCCCCATTTTCCTCCTCCCTGGCTGCAGGTATGTGATTGAGTGCCCCAACTGTGGAGTGGTGTACCGCAGCCGACAGTACTGGTTTGGGAACCAAGATCCTGTGGACACTGTCGTGAGGACAGAGATTGTGCACGTCTGGCCAGGAGTAAGTCTGTTTCTGTGGGATGATGGCTTCTGATCCTTCAAACAGAAAGGAAAATGACAATAGGTCTTCTGTACTAACCCCATTCCAGGAATGGACAGAGGCATGTAGCCTAGAGAGGAACTGTGCATATTTAAAATGCAGTTTGATGCCACCTGGTGGTGTCCTTTGAGGCATGATGCCCCCGCACATGAGGTTCTTATCACATGGACATGTTATTTTTTGGCTGGGGGAGGGGAAATGTTGTCCTTTCCCTCTCATACCTCTCATGTATTCCTATAGCTGCTTTTGATTTTTTGAATTTTTTCAGAAAATCCTATTAAGAAAAAAGAAAATTATTAATACACTCTGTGTGGTGTGGTGATTAGAGTGCGGAGCCTAGGGGCCTGTGGGATCTGGGATCTAGTCCCACTTGGTCATGAAGCTCACTGCATAACTTTGGACTGGTCACAGACTCTCAGCCCAACCTACCTTACAAGGCTGTTGTGAGGATAAAAATGGAGCTTTGTAAGCTGCCTTGGGTTCCTCATAAGAAGAAAAAAGTCAAGACATTTATTTATTTATTTATTTATTATTTATTTATTGAAAGCTTTTATAAACCCTCCCTATACTAGTGTCTCAGGACAGTTTAGAACAAAATGTAATGCAATGTAATGATGATAATTCCCTGAATAAAGAGCAGTGTACATGGACCTGGTTCACATGAAAAGACAACCCATCAGTTTAGAAATCAGGGAGGAGTTGGGGACAAATGGGAGCATATCAACCTCTTGCCCTTTTACTCAGCAGCCTGTGATTGGCTCTTCTCCATGTGACAACTGGACCCAGACTGCTGAGTTATTGAGGAGCTAAACAGCCCAGTGGTTAACCCGACAACAAATCATGGGTTAACCATCAAGTTGCTTAGCCCCTAAGCAATTCAAAAGTCTAGTTCAGATGTTGTACTCAGCATGAACTGGTCCTGGGCTGCTGAGTGAAAGTGGAAATGCAATGCAGGCAGTCTATTTGTTCTCTCCCAGTCCTCTCTGACAACCCATTGGCTTTTAAATCACTGAATTGTTATGTATGAACAGCACCACACTTGTTTTTAAGGGAGGGTGGGAATGGTCTCTGGCAGGCAGGGCTGCTAAGATGTCCCTTGTGGCAAACACCTGTTGTGTTGCAGACGGACTGCAGTCTGAAGGACAACAACAATGCTGCACAGCGCCTCATAGATGGGATGAATTTCATGGCACAGTCAGTGTCTGAACTGAGCTTGGGACCCACCAAAGCTGTGACCGCTTGGCTGACGGATCAGATTGCTCCAGCCTACTGGAAACCGAATTCCCAGATTCTGGTATCTAGCGGCCCCCATGATGGTCCTGTATGCTGATAAGAACGAAATGCTGCTGCTTCTTTCTTCTTCTTCTTCTCCCCCCACCCCCCATCCTTATCCAAGGAAAGGAGTAATGTTTCATTATCTGGTGAAATGCAACATTAGTATTCTGAAAACCTGTAGCCCCAAGAATTGTCTGAAGTTATACATAACTGCTCCCAGGGTGGGTGGGTATTGTCTCCCACATGAGGGCCTTCCTTCTCCCGCTTCCCACCTCCATGCAGCAAAGGAGAAAGGGGCCTCCCTAGCAGGCCCTTGCTTGAGCTCTGCTCCAGAGCTGATGCCAGAGGCCCTTTCTTGCCTTTCCTTTTACAAAGAATGTGAGAAACTATTAGGCATGCCCTGTGTGAGGCTGCGCACTGCATAATCTCTTGGCTGTTTTCTGGAAAGGGAGGAGAGTACTCCTACTTTCAGCTCCAGGACAGAGCTCTGCTCTGGATTCTCTTCTGAATGGATTGTGCCAGCCTCCCAGGCTTGCCTGCTCTTTCTGTCCCTTTCTCCGCTAGAGAGAGGAGGAGGAGGGACAAGAAGAGAGCACAATTCCTGCCACACCATCTGGAGGACTATGGGTTCCCCATCCTAATCGAAAGTGGAATAAGGAAGGGAATCCAATGGGGTTTTGCTTTGTTTTTTCCCTGTCTTGTTCAGAACTGCAGGAAGTGTGGCATATCTTTTAAAGATAATGACACCAAACATCATTGTCGGGCTTGCGGAGAAGGCTTCTGTGATGGGTGCTCATCCAAGACCCGCCCTGTCCCAGAACGTGGCTGGGGGCCCACACCTGTGCGAGTGTGCGACAGCTGCTATGACAATGGGGGCGTTCAGTTAGGTAATCCCATCCTAACTATATTAGGTGTGTGACTCAAAGGGGATCTATAACCTGTTTGTGTTATAAGTGTCCTGCTGTGTTTTTGAATCTTTGGCACTGTTGTCATTTATGATCTTGGCTGAAGCCAAATTAAATGAGATATTGGAGAGGACTGTGATCAGGTATCTTGCTGCTGCTTTTTCTTTTTAATTCTTTCTAGGAATCAGATTGGGAGGGCATTGTTGAAGGAGGGTACAAGAAGAGCCCACTCCTGCTCTTGAAAGAAATAAAGCGAGATGGGATATCTGATCAGGGATTTCTAATGTCTCATCTAGTTTGGCCCTGATGTTCACCTTTGCCTCTGGGTGTGGTCCTTAACCTACAATCCAAAGCAGAGTGGAATACACTGTGCAGCAGATTTTTTTAAGCAAACCTGAAAAATACAAGTTGGCTTCCAAAGTTGTTAGTGCATTTCTAATATAAATGTTGTTCATCCAGGAAAACAATACAGCCTATACATTTAAAAATCAGTGCTCAGATTTAATCTCCTCTCTCACTTCTTGCCCTATAATAAATGAACTAATTCAACAGCTGTAATCCCCCCGCACCTTCTGTTCAGGGGTTTAGCAGTAATAGAGAAGCATATTCAACAGCTTCCCCCAAGGAACATTTCTTCTTCCTCATCATTCCAATCCTTGAGCCCCCCAGTTCATAACAAATCAGTTTGACATATTTGCAGAGGGTAAAGCTGTTTAGGTCAACCTTCCCCAAGCAGCTACCCTTCTGGCAATTCCAGCATCTGTTTCCAGTGCATCTGGAGAGCACCAGGTTGGGGAAGGCTGCTCTAGCTACCTAATATGCAGGCCTGTCATCAGCTCCTAGCATGGCGGGGGCACTGCCAGGGCCCACCACGGTCAAAACCATTCCATTTTAAAAATGACATATTTGAGATTTGGGGTGCTTGTCTCATGAGCTCCAAGTAAAATAGCTAGTGCAGATGCTCACTTTATAACCCCAGAATGCTTCTGGAGGGCTCCTGTGCATTGGGATCTAGGGGAATCCTGTAGATATAGACATGGTGGGTTCAGCTGGCACTTGCCTAGGAAGTACCAGAATGAATGCCGCTGCTTGTGCCTGCTGCTGCTTGAATAAACTTCAGCAGAGGAGAGGAACCATTGGCCATCCAGGTGTTTTGAGCTGGGACTCACAGGTGACCCAACCTGCATGACCAGTGATAAGGGTTATGGGTCAAAAGCATCTGGGGACCCAAAGCTTCCCCTGCACCGATTTACAGGTGAGGAGGCTTAATATCTCAGGGGTGGGGCCTGGGCCCCCTTCCAAACTGGTGCCAGTCCTGATAATGTAGCACTTGATTGATTGACTGTCCTTCATCCTAATGCCAAAGCCACTACTCCCTTCTTAGAATAATTTTTGAAGTTTAAAAAACCGCTTTTAAATATAATAAAGAATCAAGCAAGCCCTCGAATCTTAAAAAATCCAGGGTGCTTTTATTCTTGTTTTCTCTCCCAGATTGGGCATCATTTCAGAAGCTGGGGGTGGGGGACAGTATTGGATCCATCTGTCATTAGAAGGGCAAACCTCTGTGCGTGGATCCATGCATAGGTGTGTGGGGTGTGGAGTAGCAGAGCTCTCTCTGCAACAGAAAAACTTTTAACTACTTCCTCCCTGAAGGTACATCTGTACACATGCCATTGTCATCTTAGTATGAATACAGGATTCTAATCATGCTTCTGTTTCTAGTGTCATGGATCCGATCTGCTGTTATATAGAAGAGTTTAAGTCAGATTTATTCAGACTTAATGTAGACCAACTGGTGCGTCTTAAGTTACTCAGTGGGACTTATGTCAGTCATAACCAACTAAGTTTGCACTGATTTCGGTGGGCTTTCTCTTAGCATGACTAAATCTGATTGCACTCCATAGTCTCTTACCCTGAGATAAAACAGGGCCGCTAACATTTTAGAGTCCTTTCACTCTAACTCCTCATTTCATCCTCTGAACTCATGCTTGAGTATAAACCAGATATTTAAGCAAATTAAAAAGGTTATCATCTTTGGATAACTGATAATATAAGCAATCTCTGGTTCATTAAAGGATTTGATTTTCATAATGAATTTTCTAAGGGTACAATTTCTTAACAGTTTCTCCTGTCCCAGTTTGCCTCTTCTACTAGGCAGTAGAACCTGAAAATCACATTGCACATGTCACTCTTAGTGTGGGGAGTCATAGTAGCATCTCTCTCTCTCTCTCTCTCTCTCTCTCTCTCTCTCTCTCTCTCTCTCTCTCTCTCTCTCTCTCATTCTCTTCTGTGTGAATATAGCACCAGTAATATGTGCTTTGTTCATTTGACCACAGTTGAAAGTCATGAAAACGTCCCAGGAACCATCAAGAAAATTAGTCAGTCGTGCATGTTGCCTGCTTCTTAGTGGCTTCCATCATCCCCAACCTAGTGCTTTCCAGATGTGTAGGACTGCAGCCTCTACAATTCCCAGACAGGAATCAGCTGGGAACAATGGTAGTTGCAGTCCAAAGCATCTGGAGGGCACCAGGTTGGCCTAAACTTAGAGAGGTCTTGCAGCGGAAGAACTTGGTATCTGTTATGTGTTGGATGAATGAATCTATAGAGTTCATTCAACATTCCTTACCACTGTGGGAACTGAGCACTGGCTGACATTTATGTTGAAACATCAGTTTATTTCTAAATAAAGTAATTGTGAATTAGGATTTGGCTCTGAGCCCTAACCTCTGTCATGCAGATGTGCCTGAGGCGCCAACAGAAGAAGAAGGGGGGACAGTGATTGCCAGAAAAGTTGGTGAAGCTGTGCAGAATACTCTTGGGGCTGTTGTGACTGCCATTGACATCCCACTGGGTAAGTGTTGTTGATTTATTTGGGAATGTTTTATCTTCTCAGCCCAAATGGGAGGACTATAATGCAGGTTTATTATGGGCAGTGGCATGTAAGGCAGGAGTGAGGAACCCTTTTTCAGTGTGAGGGCCAAATTCCATTTCAGAGAAGCTTTCCAGAGAGCATTCCAGTGCTGGGTGGGACCAGAATTACCAGTGTATTGGAGCTTAAAGGCATCTCAACCTTCTAGAATGGGGGAAAATGCACAAAAATCCAGGAAACCACCAAGCAATCAATGGTTTGGGGGAAGGGGATCATGGCCATCTGGGAAACCCTAGAGGGCTGTATTGGGACGTGAGGGTTGAGGTTCTCCACCATTAATTCAGGGTAATAAAAGAAGTGTAGTGTTCTATGAAGTACTTGAGATTTCTGGCTCATTAATCAGGTTCTTCCTGATACCTCCACCTTCACTTGCACACAGCTGTGAGCACATAAGAACCGTTTTTTCCCAGTGTTAAACTGGCTGATATATCATGTGTGCAAATACTGCAACCATTTGGTCAGGGCTAATCACAGGGAGCTTCCCAGTCCAATCACAACTCACTGGGTGGGTGCTGGTTGGTTAAGAGAGATCCATGAAATCAGCCCTGCTAACATGATTGCGGTGTACACAAATACTGCAGCTGTGTGGGATAGTGCCATGGGCTGGCAACACTTCTTACCCTTGATCCATGCATGATGAAGCAAATCAAACAAAAAGAGAAGTAGTAGGTCCACACCGTACTTGGCCATTTTTGGAAGCGAGAACTTGTAAAAAAGTTCAAGGTCCTCAGTTGATCTCAAGTACAAAGGCTGAGATAGGCAAGTCCTGTATATTGTATTTACTGGAGGAGAGAGGATGTTGGTCTCTTTTGAACTTCCATGTGGAAGCTTATGGGGTCTTGGGTGTGAGGAGATGTGGAAGACCCAAGCATGTGGGGAATCTGCTCAGGTACTGCCGTCTCCATGTGAGAAGGTGGAATGCTAGCATGAGAAGCTTGCAGTGTGTTGCATCCTCTTAACCCTGTAGCCAGTCCCTGCATGTCTGTACAAGCATAAGCAGGGGAAGTAGAAAGCTTGGGTTTAATGATATTTTGTTCACTAACCTTTTATAAACCACAGAGAGAGGATAGCTTGAGTCATCCTTTCAGCTGATTTTAACCCCTCCTTAATCCCATGCAAAAAGTGGAAATTCTGCTCTTCTTGGTTGGTAACAAACAGAAATGGCATTGTGGATTTCTCTGACCATTGCAGGTCTTGTGAAGGATGCAGCTAGACCTGCTTATTGGGTGCCTGACCACGAAATCTTACACTGCCACAATTGCCAGAAGGAGTTCAGCATCAAGTTGTCAAAGCACCACTGTCGTGCCTGTGGCCAAGGGTTCTGCGATGAGTGCTCCCACGAGCGCAGAGCTGTCCCTTCCCGTGGCTGGGATCATCCCGTCAGAGTCTGTTTTAATTGCAATAAAAAGCCTGGTGACCTTTAACCCCAACTCCTTTTCCGGGTCCTCCAAAACACCATAGCTTCTCAGGGTTAGACAGAACAAAACTCAAAACATCACTGTTTTTAAGGTTTCACAGTCAGAGTGCATTCTCCGGATCACTCACCTCTTTCTCACATCTGGATTTCAATAAGGTCGCTGAGCAGCAGACAGCCAAGACGAGGCTCAATTTCAAACTGGCCTCAAAGGCTGTGATTGGGTTGTGTGGAGAAGCTTGCAGTAAAATGAGGAATCCAAAACCCCATGTATTATATATCTGTTAAAAATATGTATCTCTCTATATAATTTAGTGTACTAAGAATGCAGCTGGCTGATGACGCTTTGATGATATTCAGAAGTTAAAACAAAAATGAACAGAACTGGGTGGTGTGTGTGTGTGTGTGTGTGTGTGTGTGTGTGTGTTTGGAAGTGTCATGGGTCAACCACACAGCCTCTTGAGTGCCTTGGATTTTTTTTGTGTAAAGCATTGCTGCTTACAGCATCATAGGTTTACAAAGGCTTTGATCAGCTTGAAGTAACGACCGTTTGTAATCCCTGCTTTTGGATGGGGAGTCCAAGGGCTTTCAGCAGCTCCCATATTTATTTTATCCCAGCCTATTTCTGTTCCGTTTTTAAAACGTTGTAAGCTTAGTTTTCCCAGGGCTGAAAACCCTCCAGAGAAACTAGGAGGAATCCCCTGTCTTTACAAGGAGCTGCTCTGTTTGGGTCTTGCTGAAATGTGTGCTGCTATAGAAAATGCTGCAAATGTTTGAGATCATAAAAGGACCCTGTGTTAAATGAAGCAGAAATGTAGGGGAAAATCAATTGATGGGGCACAAAACATGAAGCTATACTAACGGCTATTTCAGCTTTACTTTGGGCTGATGAGGTCATTCTACATGTCCTCATTCCGATGTGCTTGGTTTTGCTTGAGACAGGCTCTCAGTTCTGCAACGAAACTTTCCAAGTAAATACTAGGGAAGTTCTCATTACTTGCAGTATAACAATTGCTTAGCATCCTAGTCACTAGCTGGCTATAAACTGACATGGGTGGATTCTTAAAGGTGTCTGTGTAAACTACTCTTAAAGCACTCAGATAGAACAAACTAGAAAACAGTGATGTTCTTCGGAGCTTAACGGCAGATGACACTGGGCATTATTCTTTTTGAAAAGCCCTGTATTGAACCACTTTGAAGCAGTGATCAAACCACTGAGTAAACGTACAACATTAGGCTTTTCTGTGGATCTCAGCTTCCATGATAACAAACAAGAGACGATCAGAAGCTTAATCAGAACGAAGAATGAATCCCTCCCTCCTTTTGGCTCCTCTGAGTATTGCACATTCCTCGGGTGGAGATTTGTCTCCATTCATAATGGCTGAAGTTTGGCATGATATCCTGGCACTGTTGTTGCTCCCGTCTATTAAGTATATCCTTGTATTCCTTGATGATTGAAACCCTATTTTAGAACTGTATTATTAAATTAAGTGCTATAAAGGACTATCTCTTCTGAACAAGTGTGCTGACGTCTTCTGTGTACCTACCTAATCTTGCTCTGTCGCTGAAAGAAAGAGGCAGAAACTGGCTTGCATGCCAAACCAGAACTGGATTATGTAGTAGTAAATCCCTGCTCTCTGAACTTCACAGGAATTAATATGTATTTTGTAACTAGAAGCTGGCCATTTTTTTCCAGGGGATAGAAGTAGTATAAGAGCCCTCTTGTAGAGATTTTTCAGCCTAGGTACTGCACTTTGAAGTGTTTTTAATTTGACTCTGTGGTGGAAAATACAAGTGGGTCTTGTTTGTAGTTCATGCCCTGTATGTTCCTCATGCATGTAGCTATTCTACCATGTTACTGCACATGCAAAAACATCCCTGACATCCCTTGTATAAAATCTTCACTTGTAAGCTTCTGTTCCATGGAGTTGTCTGTTTTTGTTTTTGTTTAGCCACCACAGAACTACCTCATTCTCTTAAATTGCTTCTACAATGCATGTCATAGTAGACTCGATGTATCTAATGACAGACATAAAAACCTGTAAGCTGATAAAGACTTAGCATGTGTATTGTCATCTCTCTCTCTTTCTCTCTCCACTAAAGTCGCACATTAGCTGTACATAAAAGGATTGGCTTCCTTTTCCGAGAAGAGGCAACACACTTGAGCATCACTGAAACTAAGGACTGACCTTTCTTTCATGCAGAAATGGTACTGCAAAAATAATTGGGAGAAGGAGAAGCTGAACCAGTAATTCATGTACTCTTTTAATACATAATACACCAGAGAGGGAATGATTCAAATTAATTCCAGCCCTTAGCTGTTCTCCCTTCTTGAAGTTATAAGTAAGCTAAGGGTGGGGATTTTATGACTGTAAAAAGAATCTGATTGTGTTCCAAACTCCTGAATATTCAGGATTGTTTCTTTCAGTTAATTTAATGCCTTCATGAAGAATACAATTAACATATCTAAACAACTTTCAGCATGAGGAACATAGTATATGTGTTTGACGTGCCTTTTTAAAAGGCATCATTCTTCCTGTTTTCCAAAATAAAATAGGCAAGATGTTCTTAAATTCAACATTATACCAGTCAAATGTTTTAGATTTAAATTTGGTTTTACAGAAATACACAGGGTAGCCATTAAAATCCCTCCAGCAACTTAGCATTTAGGCCTTGGGCTGCTTGTTGTCATATAATATTGTTTAGGACTGGAGTCAGTTTTGGAGAGGATTGTTTCCTTTTGACCACAATGTAGAAGGATCAAGAGAACACTCCCAACTTCTTGGGGGAAGAAACTGACCAATGTTATTCTAAATTTAGAAAAACACTCTCCTAGTATGGCATCTCAAGAAGAACCATCTCTCTCAAATCATGGGAGAGAAATAAAACAAGGAAATCACACTTAGTCAAGTAAACAGAACATTTTGGGTCCTGCATAAGCCTTCCACCGTGGTGGAAGTGATCTTCACGGATCATGGATTCCCTCTCCTCACCTACAGTCCTCTGTGCTCCCAAAAATATGCTGTAAAGGTTTGGAGGGTCTTTTGGTACAGCAAAGGGGGTGGTGCTTGAAGCTATAGAAGGAGGCAGAAAGAGCAAGCATCGCTGTTTCTCCTCTTTGCTGGCTGGAGCATTGCAAAGAAAACGCTGCTTCAGGAATGTTCCCACTGGCAACCAGAAGTTGCATCCAACCCAATTAAGTTTCTTAGTCATTGATCATTCAATTCTTAACTTGGATTATGTGTTAATTGCAAAACGTCAATTGCAAATAAGTATTCCTCATACTTCTGCTATGTTTGGTGTTTCAGACAGTCTATTCTTGAGTTGTGCTTTTCAATGGAGGATCTGTAGGTTGAATTTTCTAGGTGCCAGGGTCTGGCTTATTTATACATGGCAAATAGAACAAGATTTTCCTTACTTCAGCTACAAACAAGAAGGGTCACATGGCTGCTGAAGTGTTTTCATTTTGTCCTCTGTGATAACCATGGAGTTTGTTTTGCAAACCTCATTATGGCTAGACAGAGGTTAGGGAAAAAATAGTACAGACTGACTCATTTTCTTCTCTATATCTACTCCTGAGGCTTCCATCTGGCATTGTGCAAATCTGCATAAGCTCGGTAGCATTCAGGGGAAGTTGTCAAGGCCCTACCATGCCTTGGAATGCAGCACTTGGCAGTCTGTTCATCCTGACAGCCCTACTATACTAGCTTCTGCCGGTGGGCACTGGGAAAGAACACACCAGAGAACACTGCATGGGATAATCTCAGCTTTCCATTAATGGACTGCTTTATTGCAAGTGTTGTGCATGAGAGTACTGCCAAACCTCTGGCATGCTTGCAGGAGGCTAACCGTGCTATTTTTAACTATTCCGATTCAGCGGATGAAATTGCTTGTGAGACGGTGCAGCCATAAGCCGCAGCTCAAGGTCTTGGGACTCAGCTGGGGGAGGCAGTAGAAGAGATTAGCCCAAGGACAGGCAGGCACGCAGATCATGCCAACCATGCAAGCAATGGGGAGTTACAGCCTGCAGGAAGGGATGTTGAAATGGGACAACTCTCCCATGGGGACCAACTCTCCCTTTCAGAGGTGGACCCGCTGGCTCAGCACCAACACCAGTGAGAAGCCCAACTAGCAGCACAACAGGTAGAGTGGCGGTGTGCCCGTTTCCATAGTGCACCTCCTCCAAGGTCAGGGTGCAGACAGATTTATTTATTTAAAGCTTTTATAGACATTTCTTCAGCATACACTCCCACAACAATGTACAATAACTCAAAACAGCATAGAACATAATGTTAAAACCATTAACATATTCACTTGAAAATAAAAAATTGGGTATATTAAATAATTAAGTAGATGCATAAAATAATGATAATACAACAAATAATCCACCACAAGCCAATCATCATCTGAATAAACAATATAAAATCATTAGCTCCTATTCATCAATTAAAATAATGGGAGAATAAAAAGATTTTAACTTGGCACCAAAAGATATAAAGCATCAGCGTCAAGCACACCTCCCTAAAAAGTTGATTCCATAGTCATTAGGAGAGATTTGGGAAATGAACAGTAGATAGAGTTCAACATACTGTTTTGTGTATGCTCAGAGACGTATGTGAAACAATAAAGATTATTCAGCAAAGAAATGGTCCAAGACTGGTGTTGGTTAGAAGGAGGAACATGACTCATGACAGCAGGCTACTCAGAATGGCAGAAGTAAGTCTTTGAGGACAGTTGGAATATAGCAACACGATACAAAAAGGGACACCTCCTTTGTTCACTCATTTTGCCAACAGTCTCGTTGGGGTTTAGTTTGCATCTGTGCTAGGACTACATGCCTCAAGTAAGTAATTCTGGGAAAGGGACATGCCAAGAATTCTTCCAGCCTAAGCCAGGCCTACACACCTTTAGTGAGCTGCTAAAATATACCTAAGGAAGGCTTGGAATAACACATTCTTGAGAAAAGCACACTTTTTAATATTTACAAAATACACACATCTATGAATCTAAATTATATAATTAACAGCAAGCTTTCTGAAAAGCCCACCGCCTCGCAACAGAAGAAACTATCAACTTTGTCATGTCAGAAAATGAAAATGCCATCTATGCAAAAATATTTGTCATGGCCTTAATTGTGCCCTTGTATGATCAGTTTTAAAGAACAAAACAAAACAAAACAGGACATGTGCAATGGTGCCAGATAAGTACTGGCAGGAATCAGAGAACTAGCACAAAAATACAAATAAAATTTAAATAGGGAACCTAAAGTGGAGGTCTACTCACTTGCAAATAGTGAAATACACTATTGCAGAAATGGCCATGGCTTGCTATTATAAAGGCCAACAGGAAACAAATGTTCAGCTTTTTCCAAACTAAAATTTCCATCTAAAATGTTCAATTTTTTTGAAAACAAGACACCAACAAGGCACCATATGCATACATCAGTACCACCAACAATCAGAAAACAAACCAGACTGGTTTGCATATTTTGCAATGCACAATACATGGTTCAGAAAGCACAGCTAAATCTGAGCCAAATATGAGCCAACAATGTGATGCAGCTGCAAAAAAAGGGAAACACTATTTTGGGATGCAGCAAGAGAGTTATCACTTCCAGAAAAAGAGAAGTACTCATTCCCCTCTACCAGGGGTCGGCAACCTTTAACACTCAAAGAACCATTTGGACCCATTTTCCACAGAAAAGAAAACACTGGGAGCTGCAAAGTCCTTTTGACATCTAAAATGAAGATAACACTGCATATATAGTTTTTTACCTTTATACTATGTATAAAAAAACTATAGTGTGTTACATTTATGAAATCAATGAAGTGCTACAGAGAAAACAAGTTTTTATTTCTGCATGCAACAAAAACATTTTGAACTCTGAAAAAAAAGACGCTGGGTTGAAAATTACTTTCAATAAAATGCTCAATGTCTATCTGAGTCCTCCTCATATTTATGAAATAAAAAGCCGAACTTATATTATCCACTAACAGCAAACCAAACATGCCACCTGCAGCAAACCAAACATGCCGTCTGCTTCTGTGTGCCCTCATCCTCTTATCACGTGGTGAAATATTGAACAAACATCGCTCTCCCAATGTAATAATGTTGCTGAAATTTTTATAAGAATCTTCTTAAAACAAAGAAGTAGATCTATATCTTCATTATGATTTAGCTGCAGCTCTTGTTCAGTCACTAAAAACTGAGAACAGTTTCTTGCAAAGTCAGTGCTAAAGCGCTGCATGCATTAAACAGCAAACCCCATAAGTTCGTCAGCCGTAAAAGCAAATGAATCTACCCACATATCATTAAACGTTTGGTTTTCTTCAGAAACTTTTCTTTGGATTTATCCATGGATGGAGGGGGGAAATCTCAGTAAAGCTCAGATATAGGTGTGTTTAGTGACTGATTAGCAGATAAACAGTCAAGTGATGTGAATTGTGACAGGTCCCAAGCACAGCTTTTAACATTCAGATGAAGGAGATTACATTGGGACAAAGAGAATCTTTTCAGCAGTGTTTTGTGTAACATGAGAGCCTGCAGGAAGCTTGTTTAGCAGAGGAATGTAGCGATTTACTTAACTAGCTGATTTACTTAACTAGCTAGCACTGCACTGTGTTCCTGAGTGGAGCTTCGAGATCAGCTGCTGTGCCTGGGTGAGTTTTGAGCAATGGAGCCGCAGCAGAGGGGTTCAAGAGCCACGTGTGGCTCCGGAGCCACAGGTTGCCGACCCCTGCCCTCTATTCTGTGCTGGTCAGATCTCACCTGGAATATAGCATTCAGTTTTGGGCACCCAGGTTTAAAAAGGATGCTGAAAATCCAGAAAGAGTTCAAAGGAGGGCCTGGAAACGAAGTCTGATGATGGGAAGCTGAAAGAACTGGGTCTGTTTAGCCTTGAGAAAAGAAGACTACGAGGTGACATGATAGCACTCTACAGGTACCTCAAAGTCTGTCACAAAGGAGGAAGAAGAGACCTTCTCTCACTCATCCTGGAGTGTAGAACACAGAACAATGAACTTAAAGTACAGTACACCGGGGCAGGCTAGACGCAAGGAAGAACTTCCTAACAGTCAGAGCAATATGAAAATGGAACCAGCTGCCTAGACAGGTTGTGTGCTCTCCCACACCACAGACATTCAAGAAGCAAATAGACAGTCATCTGAATGGGATGGTATGACTGGTGTCACACCATCCCAGCAGGGGATTAGACCTGATGGCCTTCTTGGCCCCTTCTGACCCTACTGTTCTATGATTCAGACAACTTCAGGTGAAGTAATCTCACAACATTACGTATAAATCTCAGCTTACAAAGTCAACTATTCAGCAAGATATTTTTTAAAAAATTCCTCAATGTGGCAGCTGGCAAACAAAAGAGCAGACTAAAATGATTCTAAGATTCAAGGAGCTTCTTGGCTAAGATCAAATACAATTCTAAAAAGCTGGAACATGTTAAAAAAAGAAAAATGCTATGCAATATCTGAAATCTGAATTTATTGTCTTTATGTCAAAAAAACTATTAATGTTCTATAAAACAGTTCAACAAAAATATACAAACCATACAAAGTATGTAACTAAAAATAGTGCAGCCTCCCCATTGCTTAAAACAATGCAGCAACTTCACATGAAAGTCTGTTGTTAAGGATCAGTACAAACATATAGTTTCATAGTTATGTAGTTCTCCTGAAAGCTACAGTTCTCCTTCCAAAATATCATTACAGGCCAGCATTCTTCCATAAACCAATTGTTTATTTTGTGTCTTCCTTTGCTGGTTCTGTACTAGCTCAGACAGTCTACAATTTGAAGATTTCTATTCAGAAATGCTAAAACATACAGAACTACTCTGTTCTGTAGCTTCTTCTGAAAGGTCAAGTAAAGTCTCTTTTAATACCATACAAAGTCCAGAAATAGGCCATTGCTAGCTATTTAATTCTGTCTCCAATATACAAATCAGAAGGGTCTAGAATACTTTTAAAAAACAGCACATTCATTTTGTCTCATCCTTCCAAACCAACAAAGGTTTCTGTTTTAACCACACTTTTAAAAATACATTTTTTCATTAAAAAGCATGTATCTCACATAAGAACTAATTAAACCAGTATGCAATATGGTTGGTATATCCAGTACTATAAGCTCTCCAGACCTAATCTGGTTTGGTATTGAACAATTGGAAGGCATGGCGAATCAAGTGTTAGACTGGGACTCAGGAGATCCAGGTTCCAATTCTCACACAGCCACAAAACTCTCTGGGTGACTTTGGGCTGGTCACTCTCAGGTTAACCTGCATCACAGGATTGTTGCTGAGAGTGAGGAGTGTCTGTTCTATAGATCTTTCCTTCCCATAGATGGTTATAGCTTGTGAGTTTGTCCATAAATTTAAGATTCTAATTTTTTGCAGATTTGACACATTCAAACCTATTACCTCCTTTTTTCATTTCAATAACACCTAATAGCTAAAGCTCTCTGGATGGTTTACATCAATTCATAAAAAACACAAATCACAGATGCAATAAAACAGTATAAAATTCTAATTTATACTTAATTAATTTATACTGTTAATTTATATTATTTTAACGAAGTTTATTTATGTCTGTAAGCCGCTCCGAGGCTTCAGCGAATGGGGCGGCATAGAAGTTTACTAAATAAATAAATAAATAAATAAATAAATAAATAAATAAATAAATAAATAAAGTGCAAAACGTAAGAAAGAATTTAAAACAATTCGAGCATCTAAAACAACTTTAATACAACTAGTGACATAAATGCTCCCATCTGCTATTAAATGTCATTGAATGTCGTGGAAAAAAGGGCAATCTTAACTTTGAGCAGAAAGGATAATGGAGTTGGTGCAGGTGGGCCTCAGCAGGAAGATCATTTCATAATTGGCGGGTGGTGGTGGGGGGTCACTGGAAGGTTCTTTTCCATGTTGCCACCTTCTGAGCCTCCCTTGGAGACAGCAGATGGAGGAAAACCTCAGAGTGCAGTGTTCCGGTACATTCAGGATGAGGGAAGCGTTTTCCAGGTGTTGCAGTCCCAAGCCATATAAGGCTTTGTAGGTTATCACCAGAACCTTGAATTGGGCTCAGAAGCATACTGGTAATCTCGATTAGTGTTATATGCTTGAACTTTCTGGATGTTGCATTTTGTACAAGCTGCAGCTTTTGAATAGTCTGCAAGAGTAGCCCCCACATAAGAATGTATTGCAGTGGTCTACCAGAACACAGATGACTGAAATCATGTTATCCCTGTTCAGATAAGGACATAGCTAGACTAGGGACATACCTAGGTAGAAGGTACTCCACACCACTGAGATCTCCGGAGCCTGAAGTGATAAAGATGCCTCATGAGGGACCCCCAAACTACAAATTTGTTCCTCCAAGGGGAGTGCATCCCCATCCACAACAGGGCGAGGTGGTGAGCAGCCTCTATCTGATCATAAGAACCATATACTAACAGAAAGTCAGTCTTGTCTAGATTGAGATTCAGTTTGTTGGTCCTCATCCAGTCCATTGCTGCAGCCAAGCACCAGTTTAGCATATCCACAGCCTCACCTGGTCAAGATGAAAGGAGAAATAGAGCCATGTCTCATCAGCATACTGATGGCAATGCACTCAAAAATTCTAGATGACCCCTCAAGTGATCTCATGTAGAGGTTGGATAGCACAGGGAACTAACTCATGGGCAATGTCATGCTGGCAAATTCATAGCACTATCTTCAGGAGCTGGCCATCGAAGTAGTGGACCAACCACAACGAAGCACCCTTTTATTCCTAGCTTAGTCACCTCAGGAGTCGAATATGGTCAACTGAATTGAAAACTGTAGAGAGATCCAGGAGCATCACATTCCCCCAACTCTCTCCTGATGTAAGCTGTCATACTGTACCTTGACTAATATAGACAATCAGACTCATCCAGAGTGTGCCCGAACCAGCTGGGTACCACCCATCCATGGACTTTGCCCAGAAAAGGAACATTTACCACTGGCCTAAAGTCAAGACCTTCCAGGTCCAGGGAGAACTTCTTCAGGAGTGGTCTAGCCACTGCCTTTTCCACACAGCAGGAGGCCACTTCCTTGTGCAAGGAAGCATTAATCATCTTCCTTGCCCAGCTAGCTGTTTCCTCCCTGCTATTTCTCATAAGCCAAGAGGATCAAGAAGCAAGAAAGAAGTGACTGCACAAATCTGTTCAAGCACCTTGTTGATGTCCTTGAGCTGTACCAGCTGAAACTCTCCCAAGAAAACTTGACCAGCTGTGCTCTGGGTACCTCAGATGATTCAACTGCTATAACACTTAAGTCTGAGTTCCAGTAGATGCAAGAGATTCATCCTGGAAGTGTCTAGGAAATGTTATAGCAACCCTCAGATCTACAATGCCCCAGATTATCCTTAAAAGATACACTGAGCATTGGGTAATCTAAACAGATGCAGCAAAATAGTTCTTTGCCATCCTTACCACTGCTAAATATACTTGATTATAATCACATACTATAGTTCAATTGCATCCACTTGAAGGGTTTTTTTTTACTAGTAGAAAAACATTAAAGGTTGAAAGGTTGGGTTAGTATTGCATAGTGCTAGCAGAATGTATTCCCTGTCCATGCCTCAAATCTACACGAGAGGGATGGGGCATACAGGAAGAACAGAGGGGAGACAGGGAAGTCCTGTTCTACAAGAAGTCCTCTCACATCATGTTGGGGTAACTCACAGTAATTCATTGAAGAGGAAGTAACTATTGACACTGCATGTCTTGTTCCCATTACAAATTTTGAAGTATGTGTTGACTGTTATCATCAAGAAAGGATGGGTGGGTAGGTGGGTGGGTGTCTGTCCTTCCTTCGTCTAAGAATACATGTCTTATTTATTGGCACTAGTCCTGTGGAAAAGTTAAGTCAATGAGCACATTCAAAGAGTCTTTGAAATAGATTGTGTCTGTAATAGTTTCCCATAACTTTCAGGTTGCCAGCTTTCTGGAACCTTTAAGAGCGATGCTCTTTACTTCGCTCAAAGTCCAGATTGTGCTTTGCTGAGAATTTCCAACCTGTCATTGGGATATTAAAATGTTCTACTACTTTTTTGGCTGGAGACAGCAATGCTGTATTAGCTTTCAGTTGTTTTACATCCCTTCCTCACACCACAAGACAGTAAATAAATGTATTTTTTAATTTCTCTCTGCTAATAGAAGCAACACAAATGAGAACTTTAGTTATTAGGTGGTATAGAAATTAAATAAAGCAATTTCTTTATCAGCTGCCAGTACCACCTTGCTACTTAGCACTGGTATGTCTGGGTAAGCTCCATGGCTCAAAATGATTCTCAAAGTGTCTTCCTTAGCTTTCCACTGCCATAAAATTCATGCCCCTTTATTTGCAAGCTTTGTCTTCTCTTGGTGTCTGTTTGCCAAGCATCTGCTATTATGCTGTAGTGGAATTGTGGCCGCAATTCCACTCCCTCCTCACCATAAATTTTACAAGGGAATGCAATTTCTTATTTACATTGTGCAGTGACAGAAAACATCAGGGCCTGAGTCTGAATTTTTGAAAACAGCAACAGATGAAACAAAAATATGTTGAAATAGATTTATTTTTAATAGGAGTTTAAGGCAAGAAAGTTGACTTCTAGATTTCAATCATCAACATTTGCTGAAGGCTATTAAAACTTCAATTAAATCCATCTAGCTCTTCCTTCGAATGCAGAAAATGGTGTACTGAACTGGCCACATTAAGCATAACAACAGTAGAACTAGAGGGATTTCCCTATCCACTACCATTCATGGTAACTATCCCTCATGAAGGCAAAAATCCTGCAAATTGTTTTCCTCCTCTAATGAAATAGGACTCTTCTACTAGAGAGGCAGCACTCATTGCTAGGCAACTCCTAAAAATTCTCTAAACTATAGAAAGTACATAGGAAAACACGGCAATACTAGAAATTTTCTCCTATGAGCTTTAACAATACACATACAAAGAATGAACTAACTGTGCTTGGAAAGAGCAACTATGCTCCCCATAATCAGTTTTGACTTTACAGTATGTTAGGAAAAAATGAAAAAAGAAGGGTTCCTGAAATTATTGAAGTCCAGAATGTTGAAGGTAACATCTACAGTCCATGTCAATCCAATAACAATCTGTGGACACAATCACATTTTTGTTTTCAATTGCTAAGCAGGGAAGAAAAATCCATGTTCTTGGTATGGATACAATATGGATCATCTGTTTTATAGGAAAAATAATAGAGATCCTGTCTGACTGCCATAAGCAGACCAGGAACCCCTCGGGTGCCTCCAAGCCTTGATGAGAAGACCACGCTTGGGATGGAATCTGTGGCAGATGGATATGGAGAAGGGATAGTCCGTAGCAAATGAGCGTCTTGGAGACTCCAAATTCTTGTGTAACAATCTTGACCCACTGAGGAAGCAAAGTAAAGCAAATCATGACAACATTTCTTGCACCTAAATAACTTTCACACATTTGAAGTAATATTTCCTTTTCTGTGTTTATTTGCTTGCTGCAAATTCTGACAACAACAAAGCTGGGCCAGCCCTATATTTAGGCATGGTAAAGTGGCCATCTGAGGTTGTAGACACTTGGGCACAGAGACCACTGGCAAGGTGCTGGAGAACAAAGTTATATGCTGCTTTGCATTCCCTAAGCAAACCTGCTATCCTCAGGTATGGTGCAGGGACAGCATGGTAGGGTTGGGTGGTGGCCAACACATTGATTTATGCTTTTTCATAAGCAGCACGGTATTTTGGACCAGCCCTGTGTACCAGAAGGATTGCAGCAATTGTGGATGTATGGGCCATAGGGTTGGATAATGTTAAAGGCAGGTCAGACATCTAAATCAATACAAAGCAAACACCATGCCAGAATGGACGTAGGTACCAGAAAAGAATAATTGAACTCCCTAGATTTGCGTAAAAACTCCCAGTATTCCAAAACATGTTCCTTGTTTAATGTTTCTTCATAATTTATGGAGCGCCATTTCTAGGGGCATTTATCTGGGCTCTTCACTGTATATATTCACATACCAAATTAAGACCTCCTTCTTTAAACAGGCATCTATCTTTTAACCTATTAATTTACTGTTGGCTTCACTATGCTTTTAGTATTTTTGTAATGTTTGATATGTGTAATGTATTCTTATTTATAATTATTCAGTAATAGTTTTATTAATGTAAACTCCACCAAAGAAATTTGCCAATTGGGCTATATACACAGTTAGAAAGCCAGAATGCACATTTGAGGCACCTTCATTTTCCATGTTCAAGCAGAGCAAGCATCCATCCCCCATGCAGTTTTTGGCCTTTCTTTAGATAAATTCCATGTGTCATACCTGCTGTAAGAAGTCCTTCTTCCTCACTGATGTGTAAAGGGAGAACAGTATGCTCATTGTGATGACCTCTATATTCTTTCACACATTTTAATTTTCTCAGGTCCCAGAGTTTTATCTGCAAATGGATAAAATAACAGAATGATCACATTAGCAAGAGAAAAAATATTTTTTCTCAATGAAATAATAATACAAATACATGTTGTATTTTAAAAATCCAATCCCTACCCGGCCTGCCATGTCTGCAACCATGAGGTACTGCTCTGTCTTCAAAAGGTTAATAGCTGTGACTGCTGAATCATGAAAGAGGCGAACAGCATTCCATCCTTGACTTCTATGGCTGTGCTGACGGATATCAATACTGAAAACCTCCCCTGAACGGCAGCCATTATATAGTACTGGTGTCTAGAAAAGCCAGAGAGGAAGTTAATGTGTTTTTCAAATAATGTACAGCCACCTTCTAAATAGGCATAAATCTTCAGTACTACCTTAGTTATTAGAGTTATATACCATTCTTGTTAGGAGCACAGGATTATGCATATGGGCAATTTCCCCCAGACTCATTTTATCCTAACAACTACCATGAGAGAAGTAGAAAGGCAAATTTCACAACTGGGATTTCAACTCAAGTTTTCCTCTTTCAAGTCCAGAACTCAATTTATTTACTTCATTTTATTTATGAGGTTTATAGCCTGTTAATTTTCTTTTTAAAAGAACTCAAAGCAATCTCTTCCTCCTCTTCTCAGTCTTATTCCCACAATAACAACCCAGTAAGGTAGGTTGGCTGGGAGTCTGTGACTGGTACAAAGCCATGCAAATGGCTCCATGGTTGACTGGGGACTAGAACACAGATTGCCTGAGTCCTGGTCCCATGCTCTTAGCCACATTGGCTCTCAATTCACTATATCACTTTTACTGTATTCCCAAACTGTTTTGAGTTTCTATAGAAAGATTTAGTGTAGCAGTAGATTTTCTAGCAATTAAGTATTTACCACTGAGCAGTTACTGTTACCTACTAAATTAGTTGTAGTTAGAACAAAGTGTCAGCACCTGGACCACAGTAAAAAGGGATTATTTAGCAACTTCCAGTTGTGCTGGGTGGCATTTCAATCATGCATGCTTGCTGCTCCAAGAGACAGACCTTGTTTTACGGTAAAATACCTTAGTTTATTTTAGCTTTCTCTCCTAGGATTTTTTTTAAAGATTATTTAACTCACGATGAACTGAGGTGTGTGGGTTTTGAATACACAACTGTCAATGGAGTCACGGTGTGTTGTCTAAACACAAGCAATCTGGGGTTATAATGATGATTAAATAGTGAGCTCAGCCTAATATAGGAACCAGTTCATTGAGAAGCTTGCATCAAGGTGAGCCCCTCTGAACAACAGTGAGCAGCAATACAGTAGAAGCAGCCTTCTCTTTACCAAAAATCACTGGCCAGACAACTTATCACAAGTAAAATTTAAAGTAGCAACTGTTCACATGTCACCTCCCTTTCCTTCCTCTTGTATATTTTCAGCATTAGCTGCAGTGATTCGGAGTTAACAGTGTGGAGGTTCTTGCATAGATCAGGGACTGCTTGTCTCACAGAGAAGTATCTCCTACCTGGGTGGCAAACTGCTGTGCTAAGACATCACTGCTGGTATTAAATGTTTGGCGATGACCAGTCACTGCATTCGTCACAAGGATTCGTCTACTTAAACCTAAGACAAAATATAAGCACCGTTTGAGTAATAAAGCTCTGTAAGGGAAGTGGGAAGTTATTTTCTCTTACCTGTACTAAAGCAGTTATCAGCCTGAGGATTCAGACACCAAGCACAGGACCAGGCTGTGGAGATCTTGAAGCTGCACAACATTCCAAGTTGGTCTTCTAAAAGAAACAGGATAAAAATTGCTAGGAAGTGGGAAATGATGTCTTACATTAGGGTTACTGCTGGAAGTCAGTATTATTTATAGTATCATTATTCACACTATTACAACTTCAGAAGGTTTAGAAGGAATAAACACTGGAACTGCTTCTACCACACTGAACTTTGTCCCATTATACATAAACAAGGGTACAGTTTGGACATGTAAATTATGGCCTTCCTTGCACTTGAACAGTTCTGTTGGTTTTAGTAGAATTGCTTTGGCATGAAGGAATTATGAATATGTGTATGATCCATCCCAAAATGTCAGTTTCTTTAACTTATACTTTTGCCCTTTTCAGTGACAGAGTATTAACATGCTTCAACATAATGTTTCAGAAAATGAAAAATAAAGAAAAGCAGGTCAGACTCTGATCATGTTTCACTGGCCAGCCTTAGAGCTAGTGCAGATCTGGGGTGGTTTAAGGTCTTATGTCAGGAACTTCAAAGATTTATATGATTTAAAATTTTGTGCATGTGTACATGCATTTGTGGAAGAAGCTAATATGCTTTTCTCTAAGTTCTCATTTCAAATATTATACTTCTCATGCAGATAAATCAATCAGGTGAGCTTTCTGCTATCCAAAATGTAATAGCCTGGCAATATTATAAAGACTGAATAATTTTTGTTTAGGTCAAATCCTGTCTGCTGAAACTTTCCAAATGCTTCAGTATCACTTATCTCATACTACCTTTACAAGCACAACCTCTGTACAGCATCATAAATGAGAACGTTCAGCATCTGATAGTACCATACATCAGCAAATGATGTACAGTACCATTTTCATTCCGTACTACTACCAAACAAAAAAGCCTAGTACAGAATAGCTTGCCTTTTTCATACACACTAGAAGAAAGTGCTCAAATCAGGGAAAAGAACCATTGCCTGGAAACATTCACAAATAAATTTGCTTTTAAAACTCAGGTCAGTAATCGCTTCATGTTTGCAGATGTAAAGCAGCATAGTATTTATTTCTATGACTATTAGACAAAGTCACTGAAGGAGCTAGGAAAACTGACTCCCCACATATAGGATATCTGTATGCAGTACCTGCATTAGAGTTGTTGAACAAGGATGCTGGGAGCAGGCAGGCACAGCCTAGAGTTTTTGCAGTGCCCATGAGGCAGAGCTTGATGGAAGCAGTTAAAGATATTAAAGAGGCAATATGAATAGCTCTCGCAGGAGAAAAACATATCACTTAAATATCAGCCTGAGAAGCTGATCTAGTTCTGCCAAAGCAGTAATAATAAATATTTCACTAGAAAACAGAAGCTTTCATACAATCTCAAAATGTACAACACACACGATAAAGCATGCCTCATGGGGTTTCTCTGAAGTGATTATTTCCATTTTCTTTCATAGAAGCCAGTGCTTCCAATCTCTGATTGCAACTGGAAAGAAAAACATGGAGGAACACATAACTTCATTTGTTTTCCAGTACCAAGGGGGAAAAACAGCACAGGCTAGAATTAGTGTTCCTTCTTTTGCTTTAGAATCTGTAGAAAAGGAAGCTACTTCCTTCCCCAACCTAAAGTCCTCCAGATGTTTTGGACTACAATTCCCACCAGTCCTATCCAGCATGATGGGAGACATAGCTGAAACATCTAGAAGGAATGAGGATTAGGGAAAATTGTTCTAGAGCTATATGTAAATGGACACAATTAACTCTTCTTCAATATTCTGGAAGATTGAACTGACTCTGTGGATTCACTTTTGCATTCTAGCGTTAATAATCTACCATATCATTTTATTCCAGTTCTCTAATATTTGACTCACATCTGGAACATGTGATACACACCCAAACCATTGTACTAATATTACTTCAATATTCTGAATTCTCTCAAATTATTTCATGATTACTTTGTTGGTACCTGCTGTTCGCATGCACTATGAAGACATGTGGATTTCAATCTAGCAATGACAACTCTTAGCAGTGGGAGTGGTTTTAAAGCTGTAGAACCAGTTTTACAACATTTTTACCACTGTCCTTTGCCCTCCTTTCTTTCCCCGGTCTTTCCTCACACCTATTTTCATGGCATAAAAGATAAAATGCATGAAGATTGTTTTTATGCCTATTTTCATTGCATACCTACAAAGCTGCACAGCTGTGAATTGCCAAATAATTTATTTTGGAAGAATTCTGCAAAGTTGCAGATAGCTGCAGCTACCCTTCTTTAAAAAAAGTGAGCACTAAAAATGGCAGCATGACCATCTTCCTCTCCTCCCCCCATTTTTAAAAAATCCATTGTTTCCCCCAGCTATTTCTCAGAGTGCACCTACAAAGCTGGGCAAATATAAGCATGCTCTTGTTTTAAACCATCCATACCTGCACAGCCTCAAAAATGTATACACAGTTAAAAGGACTGATGTAAAAAGACCAATGAAATAACAGCATATCCTCCTATTTCTCTTATGGTACACCATAGTGAGCTGTGTGACATGTGCTTGATACAAGCAAATGCTAAAATTTATGACTTTCAAACAACTCCTCCTTTTGCCACAATCCCAGCACTATCTGTTTGTGTGGCACTCCCAAAAAGGCAGTGGATACTAGGCTGTGCTTGTTGGTGTATGCCCCTCTCAACCAGGGATTGCATTTTGAAAAATTACCACCACAGCGGTGCCTCACAAGCAAAAGCAAAGGTACATCCTATTCTAATCGAATTACTATGCATGCATCTTGGGTTCTCTCATCAGCTTTTATCCGTCTCTTCTCACATTCAAATCACTTTGGGTTTTGGTGCAAACCTGTTTCCCATCTGCTTTGTAATGTACTGTGTGTAATGTGATGCAGATAAGAACTTCTCCCTCCCACTATGCTACAGCCTTGAGTTAGCATGAGTTTGTAATTATTTTCCAAAGGGGACCTAAGCTATAAGTGGATAATCCCTGTTATTTATTATTTATTTTTATTTAAGGTTTTTGTATGCCATTCCAATTACTAAAAAAGTCTCTGGGTGGCTTACAGAGTAAATTCACTGTTCATTGGTGGTTTTATAATACACTTGCTTCTTAGTCAGAGTTTCTTCATTTTAATGAAAAGGATATAAAATATGAGAATCTGGATGACTTAGAGAGGCCCAACACAGAGAATTCACCTTGAAAAAAAAAGATGAATGAACCAAGTTAACTGGAAAAAGTAGTGTGGAAAGAATCAGAAATCCAAGAACAAACACAGAATATAAACAAAGAGAAAAATGTGAATACGTCAACTTCTTATGATAGGTAGGTCCCACCTAGTCTTGCAGTGTCATAGCAGAACAATAACTGATCTGACTCAATTTCAAGGACAAGGACAAAAACTGTATTCTCAACATCCAGCCTGCAACTGTATTCCGAACTAGTGGCAGCCCCATATATAATGAATCTGGATCTTTACCATGTTAGTAAAGCATAGCTAACTGAGGAAGACATCCAAACTGTTGTGAACACCGCTCCTTTAGGAAGAGTGCAACCTCATCCAGAACATTTAATATTGTACGTAAGTGCAGAACAGCTCTGCTTAGGGCAGAACTTTCCTATCAAACAGAAACTGAAGGAAGTCATTATAGGTACTATAATTATGGGGGTGTTTGGAGAGACTATGGCAACGTGTCGCTGCCATTCTGAATATGAAATCCCTGCTTGGCAGTTGCTGTGTCATGTGAAGCCAGTAAGAATGGCTAACATAGGGCCTAAGCAACCCTTACATAAATCATGCTTGCCACCTTCACACAACAGTCCCCAACCAGGGGTTGTATATGCAAGCTGGTGTTCATGTAACCCACTGTCCCAGTTCAATTTGTAAAACTCGGTTAACAAGCAATACTCATTATTATGCATCTAAAAATACTGTACCCTGTATTATTTAACCAAAAGAATCTTGACTGAAGGGTTGCATTCTAAATAATAAGCCTCAAAGAGAATGACTACATTCTAATCTTAAAGGAAGGACATAGCATACCTTGCGGTTTGTGAAATAGAGGTTGTCATACATCTCCACAGTAAGAGAATTCTTCCCCAAGCCGCTAAGGTTGACAATACCATATTTGCACCTTCCATGTTCCACATCATTCAGTGTAAATATTCTTTCACAGGCAGTGTCTGCCTGCAAAAGCAAGATGGAGAGTTTTATTTCTGCAGAGATGTGCCATTTACAAAGCACTAGTGATAAATATTTCATACTGCTCTCAGATTCCAGTCATTTCCCAGATATCTCATATTAACACTTGTCAAATGTTCCCCCACCTCACATTGCATGGTCTAGCTAGTGGTTGCCATTTTCCAAATGTATGACAGGGGAATTATAAGAATGGCTTAAAGAAATAATCCTTGCTGTAAGATATTGTCACAACCCTAAAGATAAATGTGTCTTCCAACATAAAATAAGAGGGCTCCCAACATACCGCTATCAGTTTAAAATGGTTGCTTCCAGAAACTGAGGAATCTGGGCTCCCAATTTCTAGTTTCCTTCTCTGCATGCAATTCACCTTTAATTCATGGATCAGCCTACATAAGATAGAGGAAGAGAGGGAAGGAAAATTATAAACTGATATTTAATGTCAACTGGCAAAATCTGTGTAAAGACTTTGCTTCTTAACATTCAAGTGCCACTGCAAATCCATTGCTTTGATTGTTCAAATAGTCCCAAACCTATTACTTCCTGTTTGGGCTTTAGAGGGGAAGAAAAGAGGAATTTCATTGCAATGAATAGTATGAGACTAATTACTTGAAATTAAATCTAGTCCAATGAAACACCATTAGATGCATAAAAGAAAATAATTTGAGTTAAGTTAAGGTCAACATTCTATCAAGAACTATCTTAGTAACATTCCTTACATCAAGCCACCAAAAAGATGTTTCAAGGCAGGAGGAGACTTCAAATAAAATAATTACAAAGAAAAAGGGTTGTATCTCTAATGTTCATGTATTGCAGGGTCAGATACAAATAACTCTATAAGCAACAAAATATCTTAAATAAATATTCTGCTACAAGGAAGTCCTATGGACCCTGGAATATTTCAAAGTTCCACCACTGAGGCTGTAAATAATTGTACAACTTCATAAAGGGAAATTAAAACAGGGACTATTTCCCTTCTACCCCTAACAATACTGTAGAAAGGTCCACAGTAGCTTCCTCAGCAGATGTCAAGGTGCCAATATCAAATGAAGGTGCAAATGAAGAGGAAAACAAGAGACACTGAACATATGCAACATCCTGAAATTTCCCAGCTCCTGTCCTTACAACTCCATTAGCTGCACTCAAAGCATGTGTAAAAAAAAGTAAAAAAAAGATTTAGTGTAAAAAAAAAAAAGAAAAAGAAATAAAGAAAAACAGAGAGGAGAATGCAGATGCAAAGCTTGCCTCTTTTATGCCTTATTTGCCAGGAGTCCACCAGTAGAACACTAGAATTTTGGAGTGTTCCTTTTGAAAGCATAGGGCTGGCCTGCCTAAGACATGCTTCCTTCTCTGCAGGTCTACAACAGTACAGCATAAAACAGTTAACATTCTAGTAGAAAAGTTTTCTAAAATAAAAGATTTTAAGTCATCTTACCTGCAATAACTGATGGAGCTAAATAAACCTAACTGCCTCTTGCGTAAAATGATGGAAGAGTTCAGGCCACATCTGGTTATTTTCTATTTAAAACAGTGGAACAATGGAATCATGTTGCTTGTACATAGAGCAAAAACAAACAAACAATAGAGAAATTTAAATTGAAGTCCAATCCAGCACA